GGTTTTCTTTAGGGATTCTTATTTTCTCTATTTCGGGCATAGCGCAAAGCACATTCAGTTATTTAACTTATTTTGCTGCAACATTTGATTCCAATTGATTCTGTTGATAGCATAAGTATGAAAGTATACGTCATTATTTGTTTGTTGATAAATATAACTCATGTCACACATAATGAAAAATGTTTTGCAACATTTTGTATATTTAAAACATATAATTAAATACAGAAGTAAAATTAAAATGTATAACATTTTGTTTATTTATAAGGTATGATTAAATAAAGAAATAAAATTAAAATTTATATGAAAAATAATCATAGTTATTGATATGCACCAGGGGCATTATTTTAACCTACTATTTCAAAATGATAACTGAATGCTTTTTTCTTTATGTATACACACATACCATCGCATTTATAATCAGTTTCTCTGTGACTTTTATAATGGTTACCTACTTTTATGTGTCCTTCTGACATTTCTTTTAATCCTTAAGATACTTACTCTTGCTAAATTTTAATACATGTTTCTAAAGATAATAAAACATAAAATTTTGTTAATTTGTTGAACGTTTTGCGATCTGATAAAGATGGTATCATGTTATATTCAAAATTTTCTTAAAGTCCATATTGTTTCAATTACTTTAGAGCATGACTATTAACTATAAATTCTATAGTATATGATCAGATGGGTATGATTACCAAACTGCCTTTACTGAAATACATTATTTTCGTTAAATTTATTGATGAAGGCCGCCAGGACGAACCTATATAGGTCTAAACGTCTTCTCACGTGTTGATCTTGTATCTGTACCTTCACCAGCGGCGTCATGTCAAGCTGAATCTATAGTTAATCCGTTCTCCGTGCTTGGAAGAGAGGAGAAGACAATTAATCCATGTATGTAACATCAAAAACTAACGCATTTTCGAGTTATTCACGACAGGTCAACCAATCATCCCTAATACTTTGAATGATTTGGCATGACCTGCCGTGTGCCTTCTCCTCTACGAGAACGCAATAGAAGGTGTTGCAATATAAAAAGATTAAATTGAGTGTTTAATTATCCTCCAGTTTAAAGTTTTCAATACAAAGATATGCTCTAAAATAATTTGCAATTATGAAATGATTCAGGGTCCGCTTGTAGCCAAAGTGTTAATACCGAATCTGAGTCTTTCAAATAGAATATATGACCGTATACAGAAAAAAGTTTTGTTAATTTGCGTGCTACATTTTACACATGAACATTGCAACGTGTGTTATTATACAATTGACTAGTTTGCCATTGATTATGATGTGATATTCACCGGCAGATAACATATTGACCGAGGCGATAATTGTTTTAATATATGGATAGCCTATAAGAATTTAAAAAAATCACAGAAAGTACAACTTTATACATGTACAACTTTAGTCTGTTTCGTTAGAGCGCGGAAAAAAGAACGCACGTGTAACGTGGAAGACGTGCAACAACTACGCGAACGCTGCGCATTTAAAAGTATATCAAGTCTATACTCATCATTGCAGTGTAACTTTTAACTACAACAGTAAAGAAATGATATTTTAATTGATAAAGAACAAAACGCAACAATTAGTTTTAGTAAGCACGCGTAATTAAAGATCCTGTAACACAATTTTTTTATGGTTTTAAATCATAAATATGATGCTCAAATTAAGATTTATCAATATTGTAGGTTCCAAAAAGCATTATTTATAAAGATATTACCGAATTTAACATTTCATGTAAATAAAGGGAGGTAATAAAAAATTGATTTTCTATAAAGTTTAAGTAAAATTTTACAACGGATTTATATTACATGTAATATAAATCCGTGATTTAACAATAAGAAATGAATACATATATTTTTATGATTACATATTATATGCACAAATATTTGCAGTACATATTTAACATATTCTTCGATGTTTGAAAATTGTTGCATCAGCATAATTATATATATATATACATGTATAATCTCACGTACGAGTGGTATACAACCTCAAAGATCTCAACAGTTTACGCTATATGGTCATTGAATATGAGTCTCAAGCTATTTTAGACTTGGAAAATCCAATTCAGCCAGTGAATATGATACTACTACACCCTATAAAAAGTTCTGTTGACCAATGAGATTGCAGCTATATTTAGATGATATAATAAATATGTATAAATCTGCTATCTGTACAGATTTATCATTTTGGTTATAGATAAAGAATACTTCGAAAATACCCGTATATAAATGAAATATGCTTGTATAATAGCCAAAAGCGCAATTGAATGAATTTATTCCTAAACCGAGAAACAATCTGATTTAAAATATAATCGATCATATCATTATGGGGGATATTAACGATTGTAGATTTTATAAAACATTTTCATATTAAATTTTACAAAACAACTATTAAATTATGAATATTTCAGGCATTGACAAAAACTGGATATTATCTGACAAAGGGAAAGTTATTTGGAGAAAAGGCGATGAAGAAGTTGGAGTTGACAGCGTAGAAGGTTGGGAGGAGACGGTCGATTTAAGCCTTGAATGATTTTTTAATAACTGAATAAATAAATAAATTAATTAATTAATTCGACAAATTCTTAACCCATAATTTCACATAGTCACTTTAAACGTTTATTACTTTCGTCAAATTTGAAGCCATGAATCTGTGTGTAACATGGACATTTCATTCACATTGTTTATACATTTCATAATAAAGTAGAAACGCCCATACCAGGGTAAAAATCAAGCACTTAAGATCTTTTATTTAAATACTGCATCGCCATTTTATGAACATTGCATTTTTTTGGCTTGCAGCCACGGCTGCAAGCCATTTGTTTTGGAAAAGTTGTTCCGGTTAGGAGGTTTCCTGCTTACATTTGTTAGTGCATGATTGAACGGGAACCAGCTGCAATCGTGCCAATCGCAACTTTTCGGCCCTTTCCGTCACTCTTCGGATTAATGATAATAGCCGAGATAGTTCCGATTGCAATCGTGACATTTCGGGCGTTTCCGTCATACTGCGGAATCAGACGAAGTAATATTATGGAAATCTAAGCTATTTTAGTTACTTCGGTAATCCCAGTTTGTTTATATAAATATGATTTCTATTTTTACTTGGTTCCGTTTCAGTTCTTTTTCAAGACTCAAAAGTTAGTTTCTTTTATAATTGGTTTTTGTCTTTATTAGTTTTATACAATAGAGAATGGTTACTGTAGTAGTATTCCGTCTTCAAAGGGCGGTCCTGCTTACCAAAAGATCGTGACCGAATCCCGCAGAATGTTAGTGCATGATCAAGTTATATTTAGATCTACTGACAGAGGTGAGGTAATCTAAAAATGGTGCTCGTCCAGTCTTGGGCTTACCCTACCTACATGTATCCCTTTAAAAGTGAAACTTTTTTTTTCGAGAAAAAAAAACAAACTAAATAAACCCTTTATGATATACAAATACCGTAATTCAAAAAAAAAATGTGATAATAAATTGAAACAAAAAAAAAATTAAAGGGAAGGGATGATGGCACAACTGAGCAAGCCTTTCCTTTTAAAAGGAAACTTTATTTCACTTTCACTTCTTGCCTTTTTATGTGGGGAGTCGGTTTTCGCGACAATCGATATCAATTATTTATTATTCGAATTTCCCGAGAAAGCTTTTTTTAGCCATGCAATCAAACCGGTTTTTACATAGGCATTAGAAGAAGTATCAAAATACCATCACCCGTGGAAGCTAAACAAATTGTCAATTTTTGTTAGAAAAAAAAATGTTAGAAGTAATTTTTAACAAATTTACATGAAAAATAGAGTCAATTTTTAATTGGCAAGATTCTTTTGCCAGTTTACTTGTCGGTTATATGGTTAACGCCATGTTTGTTCTCGAAATCGTAAAAATTACCTACTCAGTATTTGTTTTCCAAGGGTAAAGATTAGAAACCATATCGCTTTCAAAATTATGAAAGCTCACCGTCGCCGACGTTGGCTGTGTGAAAGCTCACCAGAAATGACTTCGTATCTGGTTACGGTCAGATCTAAAAGCGGAGTAGCGTTATTTAGAGCTGATTTTAATCAGATTAGATCAGTCTGTATAGGATAATATGAAGCGTTAAATGGTTATAGAACTACTACTTTTTTCAAACGGTAGAAAAAACAACATTTTGATATCAATAATATGGATAAGATCATCAATATTTTTTATGGTTTCTATTCAGTACTTAAACATATTACGCTGTTCTTGTATGGCAGATTGTTTAAGATACTAGGAGATCGGTTGTCATTGCACTTGCTTTTTTCTAAAAGCTAGTTGGTTGACTCCATGGTTTGCAAATATAACTGTTGCAATGTTGTTTTGTTGTGAACATACGCTGACCTTGGTACTACTCCAAGAAGTGTTTAACATGTAGACAAAGTAGTATTTAAAACATAGCACTGACGTTTCACTGAAACAGCCCTGTACCATTATAATGGCCAATATCGCAGTGCAAAAACATTTTAACATGGGACATGAACATCAACATTTGGTACTATTTCAAATTCTTTATATTCTTATTATACATGAATGTGGCTGCATTTTGTATTATCATTGTATTTGACTGGAGATACCAATTGGATTTTTAGTCAAATTGACACCTTAACTTTCCAGCCTTACTGTTGGAGTAAGGCCTCATGTGCCCCTTCGTGCATTATTTCATGAACTGGAGTTACTTAAACTGCATTGCATAACATTAAACCCACGTCAAACTACAAAACATCTGGTATAACCGTAACAGCGCAACATATGGTAGATATATATTATTGCAATTCACTTTATAAAGACTATCATCAGAAATGTTTGCTGCAGCAACATTACATATAACAACCTTGCAATCTATTTGTGTTACTCTTTTATATAGAACATATATCAAGATATACAACATCTGGTTTATATTAGAAACAATGTCATCCATCTATGTAATGGCATAATCATTTGTAAAGTATGTTAAAGAAAAAGACCATCACAAAACAATAAAAAGATGAGGTAAAAGCACACCTTTATTTTTTTTTAAATGCATACATGTATATCATTAACAAATGATGAAGCACAATAAGATATGACTTTGTAAAACACAGCTGACTTTAAAAATCGTAATAATCTCATATATTATGATAATTGTAAAACTGAAATATTCTGTTATACAATATAATGTAAAATATCATAACTTTACCTTGTATAAACATCTTCTTTATTCAGCTAATTTTTATGGTTAACAATGTAATAAAGGGATCTATAATTCTTTAGGATGAAAAGAATTAAGTGCACCAATTGTATACCCATCAGTAGAAATTTACAAACAATTTAATGACATCGGTTCAAAATAAAATGTCTACCTATGGGATTATTGTGTTCAACATGCAAGAGACAAAATGTAAATGGCCATGAAGCTGAAAGACAATCTGAAATAAATGCAAGCTAAAAGCACACATAATTTTCCTATTCACAGTCTGAGGTCCTATTACATGAATATCATTAAACAAATGGATGCCCAAATGTTGACAAACTTTGTCACTTTCAAATATTTAATAATACCCTAACATAAGTTACATAAAGTAATGTGATGGTCAAAATTATTTTCAAAATATTTGACTAGTACAAATTAATCTGGATTGCAAATAATAAGTTTCATGTCTGTTATACTGTGATGCAAGTTATACCTTATAATGCACGGTCAAGCATTTTTTATTTACAAATTTAATTACTACCAGCTTTCAAACTACCAACTAAAAGGTCTTGGCCTTTAAAAAAACACCCTGTATGCCTTGACACCATGTCTTCCTAAAGGTATGATATATAATGTACAAATAATGCATGATAAAAAAACATGATCTGTAAAAATGTTCCCTGTATTTTTTAGAATTAAAAGGTACAACCTAATTCAAATGATGTTATTGAAATGTTAAATTAATGTGACTGTCAACAACAACAAAACTAGACATCTCTAATGATTGTACGTGTGCATTTGACATAATACATTAATGACTTAGTGAATTTGCATAATCACATAAATTATGATAGTTGTTATACTGAAATAGTCTGTTCTATATGTAAACTGTTTATCTGGTACAGACCTGCGATTCTAATGGTAAGTAATTATCATTCTGAAGGATATTTAAAGAATTACATACTATGTATATGCATCACATCCGCAGAAATTTAACAACAACTAAATGACACTTGTTCAGAATAAACATCTACATCTGGTATTACTCCCATCTACATACAAAGTACATGTACAATAAAAGGGCATGACAACCATGCCGTTGCAGTCACAGATACTTCATTTTATTTCTTTATTAATGGCACAGATACAAAAAATAACATTCAAAGAAAAGGTATGTGATCAAAATTATTTGACAACCTTCCTTAATATTGACCCAACACTGTGCAATGAGGAAAAACTGTTTCAGATAAAACACATTATGACAGGTAGTCAGGAATTTTATAACTTATCTTTAGCACTCTCTCATTATAAAGCTTAATATATTGTACAATTTAAAAACATATGAAGTACATTTATGAATAAAGACTTTAAAGTGGCATGTCTCCAGATTCATGTTGATTTTTATGAAAATTTTGTAAATGTATGTAAAATGTAAAGTATTATATAGTGAACAACACATTGCAATCCATATAAATTAGCAAAAAGAGGTCAAAATATGGAAAATTTGTGATAACCACTGAAAAATCAGTGCTAGATTGCACATGACATGTAAATTATTACTGGAATCTAGCTTAAAGTCTTAGAACATTTTTCTAAAGTTTGAAGTTCTTGAAATATTTTGGCTCATCTAGAGGCATGCAGCTTTAAAATATCATGTTGTGATAATAAACAAAATAAATAGGAATATAAACAGCGATTTATTTTACTGAAAATTAGATCTACCTCCTTCATGTAAAGCATAAAAACATAATCTGAACTAATAGACTTGAGATTCTTATCGGTAATGAAAACTGTCTATTTATTTATTACAAAACTATCATCTTTTATGAATAATCTTAAATTGAGAATCCAACCTTCAATAAAACATAACATTTAAACTATGAGATCTTTTGCTCAAACAGATTTAAAGAAAAATTAATAACTGAAACAATTTAATTGTTCAGTATTTTATATACTGTGCATTTGTTTGAAAACATAATACCTTCTTATTAACTTTGTGTAAGAGTTTAATGTATCTTACATAAAGCCCTTCAAATTCTATATTCATACATTTAAAAATATATATTTGTTCAATGTAATAACAGATATTTACACATATATACATAATTCCTTGATAAACAGTGACAGAAAATGTGTTCTACACACAAACCCTTAATATCGCTAACAGTTTTAAATGCAATTTACACACTGGTCTATAACAAAAAGTTCAAAATAACTTCTGCCCTTTATGTTGAGCAGGTGGAAGCCACAATTATTAAAATCATAGCTTTGTGAGTTTGAAAAGGAATGAAAAACATTAACACTAGGGTTTCTATAAACCTGTATTCTATTGTCTGAGTCTTTAAAGGCCCAATCAGCACCAGAAATGCTTTTGATTTTATTTTTCAAAAGCTTTTTATTTTTGGTATCCTGTTGTAGTTTCCAGAAAGTTACCTATTGGCAATTTAAATTTGTACCATCTTTTGCTCCTGTTGCATTTTGGTAATGAGTACAGTATTGTAATTTAGTATTTTGTATGGAAGTCAAAACACTACTTTGATTACATTTTGCTTCTTTATGACACATTATTTCACATTCAGCCCTACTTTCTACAGATGACAAGCATCTAGCATTTACTTAAACCATTATTTCAACATTATTAAGCTTCTGTTTGGTGTTTCTCAAGAAGAAAACAAAATTGTATCTGAGGCAAAATGTGCCTTTAAAAAGATAAATCAACTTCGGCCCACCACTCATTTAATTTATATCATTACAACAAAATAGGCAATCCATATAATGAACCCATAACCTAAGCAATAATGCCATGATGAATTGATTGCAAAAGCTTGTTCTTTAAAGCATTATCAATTGTGAGTATATATAACAAAATATTAATTAATTAAAAGTAAAAAGTAAGAAAACAAACTCTTTTCACCATTCCTTGATTCTATTTTTTTCCATACATTTATTATCCAAAATATTTGTTCATGTGGCAATATGGGAATGAGTTCTCTTATAATTATTTTGAGCATTTTATGGCCAATATTTAACACATGTTTCCAACCACCTTTTTAGAAGCACAAATTCAAAAAATATATATATCACAAAGAAATGTAAAGCTGTGTATTCAATGTCACAGATTTAATGTTATCACTGATGTATGGTCCACTTAGTACTGTACGTATCTATACACATATCACTTCTTTTGTTTCTTGCTTGGTGGACCTAAAAAAATAAAACAAAACAGTTTATAACATAATTTTATTTCATTAGTGTTTCTCAAGACGAAAATAACATTGTTTCTGAGACATTCATGTTCCTTTTATCCTTAATATATTTCTAAATAAAAGAAGTTTACAAGTAAATTCAAAGAAAAATCACAACAGTTTCAATTTCCTGCCTTCAGTCGATGCTTTTCAAAAGATACAGAGCAAACAAAATTGCTGATGAATGGACCAAAGTGACCAGGGGTATAACATTATATGCTAAGTTTCCTTTGAACATAAAAAATGATAAACATATGATAAAAACAAAAACAAACAAAAATAAAAGTAAGTCAATACGAATGCACATACAAGTTATAGTAATTTACTTGACTTCAAAGCTTATAAAATTATGACTTTTCAAAAAAAAAAAAAAAAAAAATTATCAAACATGCAATATATCTTACAGCTTGAAATAATTTATGCAGCTTAAAATTAAGTATTAAGCAGACATGCCTGATAATAACTTACCAAATTTAATCACATCAACTTTCTTTGCACAAAAAAAAATATATATGTAAATTGAAAATAAAAATACAGAAAAAAAAACAACTCCTTATTAAACACAACTTATTTCAGTTTCTAGAAACTTATTTCAAATTTGAACAAATATGCATAACTTGTTTTCTCCATTCAGTATATACTTGATTAAGTTATAATAAATTATCAATAATTCTGACAATACAAGAAACATGTACATTGAAATCCCTATTAAAATATATTTATTAAAATTCAAAAGTAGAGTCACATTTCAAAGCCTGGCTCTACACTGGACACATACATGTGTACATGTACTTGCCATTATTCATGAATATAAGTTAGAAACTCACAAATCTTGAAAATCTTATATTTTGCACTTTTTAAAGTTCACACTTTTCCGAACTCTTGCAGTTCAGGAGCGTAATCCTAAGAACTATTCACTCATGCTGGTTATTGTCCAAGTGCTTTAAGGTAGTCTTACTCTAATGCTTTCCCGCCAAAAAATTTCTAACATCGGCCAATATCGTAATTAATCGGTCATTCCGGAATGCTACTTTTCACAATCTTCTGTATTCAATATTTTTTAACCATTTATAACCTGAATTTAGTACAAAACGATATAAATGATATGTGTTTGTAAATAATCTAATGCCCAAAATTTTTGAAAAAAATAATCTTCAGGAAATAACCGATTTGCTACGATATTGGCCGATGTTAGATTTTTTTGGCGGGAAAGCATTACAGTAAGACTACCTTAATTTGATAACATGTAGTAAAACCTACCTTCAGTCTTGCTCTGTCCAGGTGAAGCTTCACCAGGTGTGAAATGTTTCTTTAATGGCTGCCAGCAGGTATAATATGTCTCATCCACCTTAGTTTTGTTGCCCCACTCAGTCACCCTCCAACTTAGAGATGATTCAAACATGAATGCCTGATAAATGGTTTTATAAAAACAGATGTTATTTATTTTTAAATGCACCAATATTGTTCTCCTATCATTGCCACTTTTTTTTACACACAGGAACTTGATATGATGAGGCAATTAGCAGAATAATGTAACCAACAACTAAAATTATCTTCATTTAACATAATTAGAAATGTTGAAACCTCAGATTTCTTACAAGTCATATGTTTATTAAAGAAAAGATGGGAATTCAAAATAAAATGATATCTGTTGAAAATAATATCAATCACCAAAACTAAAGATTACCTGTGTGCCTTCAGCCACACGGACTGGGTTCAACTCCTCTGTAGAAGCTTTCTCAAAACATGTGGCATCTGGACCATGTGGTGTCATCATGCTGTGTAATGTACAACCTCCCGGTAAGAAACCACTCTCCTATAACAAACAAATATTGACTCTTAAAAGTGATATTGGTTTCCATCAGTGATACTGGTGAAACAAGTGGCTACAGTAACACCTGATAAAACTGGTGGTGGGTGCATCTATTTTGACTTTACGGGCATGACTACTAACACACTTGTTGCACAAGAAATTGGTACATATATGAAAACTGAAAATAAAGTAACAATAAATAAATAATTCACAAGTCTTTGAATGCTTCTTAAAGGCGGTTGCTTTGATTACATATAGACATAAAATGAAAACTACATAATCGAATTTCATTAATTTTTTTTAATGATATTGATATATTTTGAATATGATAACAGAAAAATCCTGACATCATCATAGAATGTTCTTCGTATAACCATTTCAAAGTTCTTGTGTTATTTAAAGATCATATTTTATTTTTTAACAAACCTTTGCTTCATATTTCCCAAGTATTAGTCCCATAAACTCACTCATGCAGTTTCCTGAAAAATACATTAAAAGGACTAGTTTACTTCAACCCAAATGTGTAATTAAATGCACTCAATGCAGACATTATTACATGTACTCATAAATCGCCAATGCCACCAGGCTAGCCTTACACATTTATGCAATCCTACCAGATTTTATAACGATGGCTGCTCAATTTTACATTTATTGGAACCTCGTTAATTAATACCAGAAAGTTTCAAATTGAAAGGTATGTCCATTTCATAAAGATCAAGTTGAAGGTGCTAATATGAATGATAGTGCAGCTTTATGGTAGTTGACCTATATACATACTGTGATAATATGGAGGACGGAAGGTGTGATCTGCTACTCCCCATCGTGGTGGAAATATCACAAAGTCTGCTATAGCTACTCCTGGCTTTGTTGACTGACATGTTAACACAGTAAATATTGATGGATCCTGGAATTATTCACATTTCTATATTATAATTTAATTAAGAGACATGAGTAAATGCCAGAGGGATAATAATACATTCTGAAGTTTATTACATGCAGAATACACCTGAAATATTGGTTATATCTTTTTCTATGGATATAACAAAACACTAACATTTCTTCCAGCTGCGGTGAGTAGTAAACTTTTGTAATTTATCTGTTATCAAACATGGACATGATAAAGTTCTTTCAATAAATATATATATATATATATATATATATATATATATATAATATACATGTAAACAGAAATAAATCAATAACTGGTTTTGGGTTTTTATATCTCAGCAGTCTGGCCAATCTATTCAGCTTCCTGGATATCTAACCAATACTAACAAGATTCCCTGTAATTCTCAGCAAGTGGCCGACTGCCATTTAGAGTTCAGTACCTTAAACCAGAAAAGTACATTATAACATTGACATATCACATGACTATAAGATTTCAATATACAGTGTTAGTTCTACCAGCTCTGTTACAATGTTAGATAATGGTAAGTTGATTAATTATCATTATGTATTACAATACTAGTACATTATTATTGCTGCAGATAAAGTTCTAATCAGATATACTTTTTAAATATTTTGATCTGGGATCTAAACATTTTTTAAAGTACACATGCATTTATTCACCCCTACCAATATTACTTAATCTTATATATGATTGTACCGATATATCTATTTATCTTAGCTTTTAATAAAAGTGAAACAAGTCTTACCAAGATAATAATTTATGTTATACTTCATTAACATGACAAACCTGTATGAAGAATGTTTAATAGTCACATACAGTCTACAAATATATGGCCAGATCAGCTTGCACAAACATAAAGTATAACCTGGTGGTTTATTGCTTAATATTAGTTTGATGTAGATATCAAATAAACCCTTCATAGTAAAAGCAGACAGTTGCAGTTTAATTGAAACTTACAGCATGATCAAAGGCCACAGAGTTGATAACCATAAAGTTTTTCAGGTTATATTTGTAAGGTGCATAGTTTCCATGCCATGCTACCACATCAAATGGAGAGTGATCCTGAAAACAAAAACCATAACATAACTGTTAACTATCTACTCAAAAAGTTGCATTTGTATCTTAATCTTCCACCAATAATGAAATCATACACTTTCTTATCTAAAAACAATACTTTATAAGAAGATACAATTCAGAAATAATATAAAAACAAGAGCACCACTAGGCGGAGCATTATATGCCCGAAAGTGATTTTTTTTAGTAAAGATGAAGCATTTGTAATACATGGGAGTAAAATAAAGTATTACCTCCTTTAAGTAATAATCCTCCTTTGAAGTTTCAATATTGTGGTCCAAATAGAACTTAACTTAATTATGCCCAAGAAACTGTTTTCAATTTCTAAGAAATAGTGACCTTGACCTTTGACCTTGTGACCCCAAAATCAATAGGGGTCTTCTACCCAATATGGACAATCATCCTATAAAGTTTGAACACTGTGGGCCAAATGGAACTTAAGTTATGCTCCGGAAACTGTTTTTAGTTTTAAGTTAATAGTGGCCTTGACCTTTGACCTTGTGACCCCAAAATCGATAGGGGTCTTCTACCAAATATGAACAATCATCCTATGTAGTTTGAACACTGTGGGCCAAATAGAACTTAAGTTATGCTCCGGAAACTGTTTTCAGTTTAAAGGTCATAGTGACCTTGACCTTTGACCTTGTGACCCCAAAATCAATAGGGGTCTTCTACCCAATATGGCCAATCATCCTATGAAGTTTGAACACTGTAGGCCACATGGAACTTAAGTTATGCTCAGGAAACTGTTTTCAGTTTTAAGGTCATAGTGACCTTGACCTTTGACCATATGACCCCAAAATCAATAGGGGTCTTATACCCAATATGGACAATCATCCTATAAAATTTGAATATTGTGGGCCAAATGGAACTTAAGTTATGCTCCGGAAACCAAATTGCTAACGGACGGACATACGTACCAACTTTTGATGTTTATGAGGCAAATCAGCTCATAAACACCACCTGGACCAACGTCCATAAGCAAAATTAGCTCATTAAAACAAAAAAATAGCTCTTAATTTGAATTTTATGAGTTTTTGTTCTTTACTTTACTACGGAATGAAGCTCATAAATATTGAATGTTTGCTCGGACCGATGGACGGACGGACCCACGAACAGACGCCAGGGGGTATAACATAATATGTCCGAAATTCTTTCGGGCATATAATAAGAGACAGAAATTCAATATTTTCAAAGAATAAAAATATTAAAAGTAAATTTATTTACTATAACAATTCTATACATAGCAGTAGACAGGTACAATGAATGTCACAGACCTGTACAGCTTTGAATAAATGTCCCTGGTATTTACTGATGACCTGATATTCCTTCACTTCCTTGTCCTCATACCATGCCTCGGGGGTAAGGAAATCCCTGGGATTGGCAAGACCATTAGCACCTGTACAAATAATTCATCAAATATGTTTTAAAAAACTTAATTGCCATAGTACTGGAATGGATGACATACTTTGTTTCATTGCATTGATATTCTTTTTCGCAAAATGGCATCAACTTCAAAAATATTTAACTGACTTATTCAGTGGGGACGCAGGTCATTTTCTAACAACAGGTGACAGGCTTTAACTTCTTTTGCCTCATGTTTCTTTTCAACAGGTGAAGCTGCAGACAAACTGAATTTAAAATCAAATTTGCCCATGGAAGATTTTGGTATCTAATTACATTTATATTGATGAAAGCTAGAATTTAATGATACCTTAATCGATAACAAATATGGAAGGTAACAGTTACATGTGTAATAATAAGATTCTAATTGTGTTTATTTAACCACGGATAACATATTCATAAACCACAGATAACATTCATTCATGATACTTTAAAAGATATATAATAGCACACAAGTTCAAAATTAACCCACCAATTGGTCCTAGATCAGGGAGTTGAAAATGACCATCAAACACTTCCAGCATATATCCTCTAGATGGTCCAGTTACAGAGACATTAAAGCGCATTCCTTGCTGTAAATATATAACATTAAATATGTAACATAATTAATCTTTCACATTTACCTGCTTTACATACTATACACTGACTATTACACTTAGCTATTCTTACTTATAGCTAACTGATGCTGTGACTATGTATATATTCATTTGCACATCGTCAAAATATTGAGGAAGACAAATAAAGTTACTGAATTATAAAATCTTTATACAGATTGGTTTTAGGATTTATGAATACATATAGCCTGTTGAAATCAATATAAACATTGATTGATTTGATATCTGGATCACAGTACTGCTGTTTGACCTTGTATAACCCAGCAACATCATAATTATATAAAACAAAAGTATTCCATAAATTGAACAAACTTTTTACTGGTTAACCCCGTTTATTAACACCGTCATGGGTATAAGAGGGTCGGGTCATCCCCCTCAAACTTGGAATTGTACAAACTTGACAAACCTCTCATTAGAACACCAAGTACATGTACCATATAACTTTAATCATGTCAATAATTTATGCCATGTGTAAGAACTCACCTGTATGACACATATTTCATTGGGCTCCACTAACATCCTTCCAAACTCTGTTGTTATAAAAAGGCTACCCTGTTGTGGAACTGAAAATATATGTACAAATATCACCATGTGGTAACACAAATGCAAGTCATTACACTTGAACACAACTTAAATGCTTTCACAATATTCACTTTAATTAAACCTTTTTTTCAATTAAAATTTCTTTTAAAATTACATAAATAACATACCAATCAAAAAATCTCCATCAGCACTGTAAAAACACCTAAAATAGAAAAAATAATATTACACCTCATAAAACATGGAGATTTTAACAAAATTACATTGTATATAAATATGATTGTTAAAAAACCATTCACTTTTCGAGATATGTTTTAACAAGAACCTTTTTTTTTTGTTTGCCTAATTAGCTTAAAAGGGAAAGAATTGGATATATAATACAAGGGTAATCCTTAGGCAAGGTGATATTTTTCTATTACAGTTGATCTCAGACATTGAATATAATGGTCATTTTACTAGTGAATAATATGGGATAACTAATCCATCTCTTGCCGAGGAAATTGGTAATTACTGGTTAGTTATCCAGAAAAGTAATTACTGGTTAGTTATCCAGAAAAGTAATTACTGGTTAGTTATCCAGAAAAGTAATTACTGGTTAGTTATCCCAAAAAATAATTACTGGTTAGTTATCCAGAAAAGAAATTACTGGCTAGTTATCCAGAAAAGTAATTACTGGGTAGTTATCCAGAAAAGTAATAACTGCTTAGTTATCCAGAAAAAACTGTATTATACATTATATTACATACTTGTTTCCCATAGGAGAGTTACATGTGAATATATAGATAGCTGCCCCGTGTCTTGACATCGGTTCTCCAGCTCCACAGATTGTTGATAAACCCTGACAATATACAATTTAATGAACATTAAAAGTTAGAACATTATCAAAGTATAATCAAACATCGAGAAATAAACCAAAAACACTTTTACTTTGCTTGAATTTCTTAACTACACATAAGTAAAATTTCTATCCCCAACATGAAACAAATTACCTGATTAAGACAGAAGGTTAAAGCTAAAAATACTGCAATTATATTAACTTAATTTTAAAACTATGGACATGACACTTTTTTTATGTGAATCATAAAATTGTAGCCTGAACATGTATGTGTAAATTGTATATAATAAACAGGCAAGCCACACAAACACGAACATTCAGTTATTATTTATTCCCAACGTTTCGGCTATATGCCTTCATCAGTGCAAAACATAACAAGAAACATGGCAATGCCATGAAACCAGGTTTTCAATTATCACCATTGTAGATAAATATGTTGTATTTGAAATACAAATACAAGCAACAAACAATGTAACTATGTGCAATGTAAAACATGAATAATGTAGGAGGAATTGCCACTGAAGAAGTGTTCACTATAATATTATGTATAAGGAAAAAAACAAAGGGCCATAATTAGGTCAAAAACTATCCAATCACAAAACACCGACAATATGTGCCAGGGTGCTTGATGACAAAGCTTCTGTGAAAGTTTGAACAAAATCCGTTGAGAAATGTAGGACGAGTTCAGCACAGAAGAATTTGTTCACTATAATTATATTGATAATTCTGTATAATGAAAAACAAGTTACAAAGTAGACATGTATAATATATCATATCTTTTTTAAATTACCTCCAAAGATGATATGACCTTTGACTGCCAAATCAAGTTAAAATCATGTAAACAGGATTTTCAATGTTAATGTCACTGTGACCTTGACCTTGGAGCCAGCCATGCGGAACATGCGTTCTGCACGTCATCTTGATGTGGTAAACATTTGTCTGAAGTTTCATCAAAATTCTTCAAAGGGTTGAAGAGTTACAGAGCGGACAGGATTTTCAATGTTAATGTCACTGTGACCTTGACCTTGGAGCCAGCCATGCGGAACATGCGTTCTGCACGTCATCTTGATGTGGTAAACATTTGTCTGAAGTTTCATCAAAATTCTTCAAAGGGTTGAAGAGTTACAGAGCGGACACAATTTCGTTTGACGCCCCGCCCGCCCATCCGCCCATCCGCCCGCCATACCCCAATCTAATAACCAGGATTTTCAAAATTGAAAACCTGGTTAATAAAATTACCGAAGCGATGTCATAACGGAACAAGCGCAAAAGTATGATAACATGTAGAAACAAATATTTATGTTATAAATAAAGCTGATACATGAATTAAAATCGATCAATAGTAGTGATACAGATGTCTATTAGACAGTGTTGATAAAAATAAGATAATAGACAAACATATTAATATTCATGTAACACATTATAAATCAAACAATACTTTATAATTTAGTCCATTTGGAATTTTTGGTTTATTTCTCGATGTTTTGTATATTGTATATAAAACATAAACGATAAATACTTTTATATACAGTTGACTGTTATATTGCATTACTTGATAATAAAATCCCTCAAATTCAAAAAGTATATTTTAATTGAAAATGCAAATGCATTACTCATTGTCAATACAAGTTATTGTTGGTGTTAAAAGTAATATATTTTCAAACATGAATTCTAAATCTAAATCTACATCCAAGATTTGCTAATTCTCTGTTAATTTACCTGCACAAAATCCTGTGTTTTTTCTTTCTTGGCAGGAATGTCAAATGGAAGCCATCTTAACTATAGAATCAATTCAAAGAAAGGTAATGTTTTATTGTTTTTTTTATTCCTCTTTTCATTTCTCAATAAGAACATTGAATATATTTTTGTTAATAAAACAAGCAAATGAAAAAGTTAATAATTTAAAAAAAATAATTTAATAAAGTAAAATTTTAATATCAAATCATTTTCCCCCTATAATATTATAAACAATGAAAATTTATCTATAATTTAAATTTTTCACCAACTTTTACAATGAAAATCCAACAAAAGTATTACCTGATTAGGGTTTGGATGTACAGTGTTCCAGTCATCTGTCATATGGCCACGGTCTGCCTTCTCAAATGGTTTATGAAGTGCTGATGGTCGTATCCTGTACAGCCAGCTGAATAAATAAAATGTGATAGTATTTCATTAGAATTTTCCTGTTTAAAACTTTTACTGGTAAAGAATAAGTATTGGGATTCTAACATGAATTCAGGTTATAATCAGATTATAGGTTTATAAATATGATGATTTTACTCAGTTTATACAGTGTTTTTTTTATAACCATGATGAAGACTCATGAGAGTCGAAGTGTTGGTTATCATCATTAATATTTTGATAGACCTTAAAACTTATCCTGTGTTGATTGTTTGTTCCACTTGTATCATTTTATTTAGTATTTATTTGAATTTTATAGTGTAGCTTATAAGACGCAGCCTCGAATCTGTTCCTGGAAACAATTAGTACTGAGAAATGAGTGTCAAGTTTCTTGTTTATGGGAAAATGGCTTGCCCCTTAAAATTTTTTAACCTTTTCAGCTAGCGATCCTTAGATTACTTGACCAATGTGTTAACTACTAGGCAATGCTGCTTCTTCAATGATTTACTTATGATGCAATACTAGACAATTCTAAACTACAAAGAAGTCAATATCAAACATTAAGGTATGCTTCAGTGCAATACTTAGTTACATTTAAAAAATTCAGCAGGAGGAAGCAATTTCTTTATCATAGACTTGTATTAATTAATTTCTATACATGTATACTATTTCATAAGATAAATTATTTCAGTATAAACCTTTATTAAAACTGAACTTGGCCAGTCACTCTTTGAATCATCTCCTTTTTACTATAAACAGAAACTTTTTGAGTTACTGATATATTTTTACAAATAGCAATAAACCAGTAACAACAGTCAATCTTAAATAAGCATTTTTTTAGGCATTATAATTTATCTACCTTCTTTCATTAGCATTTCTTGGTGCTGTAAATGCTGTTCCAGACAACTGTTCAGCATATAATCCATATGGACACTTTTGTGGGTTGTTCTGAAACATATAATCATAATTGAAACAGCAAGAGTATTATATTTTGCTCGTTTTGTTGACTTATTCTTAAATGAAACAACAGAGGTAAAATTGTCTTATTTATTCATTTGCACTTTGCAAAAGATTTTTATCTCTCTACTTGAATAAATCATAATAAACAGTAATTCTCCAAAATTTTTAAAATTTGAATTAGGGAAAACCTATTATCTTTAGACACCTTGCAAGATAACTAAACTTGACCTCTCTGCAATTGAATTCAGCACAAAGGTTAAAATGTTATGTTAATGTTGTCTTTCCAAGTATTATGAAAATTGGTTGAAAATGATTTAAATCACTTTCTTTGTTGACAATAATAGGAATAATATTATACAAAATCCACTATTACATCTTATATTGGTGATTTTATATTTCCAGCTAAAACACTGCAATTACTGTTTTTATACATTGTGAATCAATATGATTATATCAATATCATATTGCATACATCTACATATAACATTTCCTTTATATTAAGTATATCTTTGGTGAACTTGGTTTACATACTTTTCATTCAATTTATCTCAGTACAGTTAAATGCAATAATATATAATTATGCCTCACCTGTCCTTTAGGTAAAGCTCCAGGGCATCGTGGATCCTCTGAGGCAAACTCATTGCCAAATCCTGACATGTACTGTAGTAAAACAAGGTGTGATACAAAAAAAACACAATAGAGTTATATAAACATTTTCAACTAATCAGAAATAACACTAAAAAGGTGAATGTTGACTGATTGTTACCAAGTATGCTAAGATTTAGTACAATATATTTGATGGCTTATGTCAATTTTTACAAAAATATTTGACAAATAAAAAGAGCTTAATTCCTAAAAATACTACTTTCAGGATATTGCCCCTTGTCTCACAATTTAGTGTATTGTCATATATTTATTATATAATTAAAAATCAACTCTTCCATGTAAGTGCTAATACCTTTGATAGTTTTCTATTGTACTAAAAGGTCTAAAATAAAAAGCAATTTTCAAACAAGAAATGTAGAATGACACATATGCCCCCCCCCCTTTCAAGCCCTTTCAGTCATAATATTGATAGTTTTGTTATAGAAACATGCCATAAATCAAATGGATACATGGAAGTGTTAAGTTATGACCAATCAATATGTGCAATATATATAAAGACTTGGTAACTAATTGGTGTCATGTGAATAAGAGGAAACCATTTTAACAATCAAGCTTATTGCGACCTTGACCTTTGACCTAGTGACCTAAAAATTAATAAGGGTCATCTACTAGTGATGATCAATCAAAATATTTAACACAAAGACTTGATAAAATGAGTTGTTTTGAAGATAATAAGTGGAAACCATTCTGACATGTAAGGTCTCTGTGACCTTGACCTTTGACCTAAAGACCCCAAAATTGATAGAGGTCATCTACTTGTTATAACCAATCAATTTGTGAAATATAAAGACTAATTAATGATAAATACTTTTCATTCAAAATAATTAGCGGAAACCATTCTGACATTTAAAATCCTGTGACTTTGACCTTTGAACTATTGACCCAAAAATCAATACGGGTCATGTATAGTGGAACCCCATTGTATCGTGCTATTCATTGTATCGATCTATTTACAAATCTTTCGATTTTTTTGCAAAATGCCGTAGCTACTGATTGCTTACATTTACAAAAGTGTCACGAAAATCTTTCGCATTTGTTTTGTGCCGTAAAAATGGTCAAAAACAGGTTTCCAGTACCGTCAGACTTTGTAGATAATAAATGGACTTATAAATAGTGTGTTCTTATTAAAAACACATTTACTGTCTGTTGAAAGTTCCTAAATTTATGCTGACATTTTAAAACAGACATCTTTGATTCTAATTGACTGAAAAATGTAGCATAAAGATGGGTCAGACTTCCAAAACTTTGACTTAATGAGCGATTCTCACAATGCATCGATATAATGGCGTGACCTAATTCTTCAACCTGTTTGACATGTCTGTAAATAATCGTATATTCCAAAGCTAAAAACTATATATCAGTGATGTTTGCCATGTAATATTTATGACAAAAGAATCAAAATAAATGATACAAAATAAAGATTCAGGGAAATTTAATGTTTTTAACTGCAGTTGTGATTAATGGGTTAATAGATCGATACAACGGGGTTCCAGGCTACTACATATGACTAATCAATATGTGAAATTTGAAGACCTTGTGATAAATAGTTTTCAAGATAATGTGCAGACACTATTCTTACATTCAAGGCCCATGTGACCTTGACCTAAGTGAATGGTCATCTACTACATATGACCAATCAATATGTGAAAGATGAAGTCTTTGCGATAAATAATTTTCAAGATAATGAGCGGAAACCAGCCTGACATTTATTATTTAAGGCCCCTATGACGTTACCTATGACCTATTGACCCCAAAATTAATAAGAGTCATCTACATGTACTCTAATGACTAATCAGTATGTTAAATATGAAGACTTTGCAATAAATAGTTTTAAAGATAATGAGTGGAAACCATTCCAATATTTAAGACCCCTGTGTCCTTGACCTTTGACCTCAAAATCAATAGGGGCTGTCTACTAGTTATAACCCATCAGTATGTGAAATATGAAAAGTTTCACACTGATATTTTTTTTCATTCTACTTTGAAGCATTTATAAAAAAAATAGTTAAAACGTACATATATAAAGTGATAAGTACCGCGGATATACGAGGCGCCAGTATACATGTAACTTTTAAATTGCTTTCAGGAGAATACAACTGATTCTTGCCATATAATATAATAATCAACTATTCCAAGTTCAATGAAGACACCATACAAATTTTAAAATCATGATACTTAACATGCAATTTAGACATCAAAGAGGCATAACTACAAACATCAAGATTTCTGAATAATGTCACATGTTGTGCAACTGTGCCTCAAGTTTTCCAAGTTTATTGGCTGTAATTTGAATCCAAACAAAGTAAAATATCAATTTTGAAATATATTTTATTGAAATATATTTTATATGGTACAACATAGGAAAATCAAACAGGGGTTTTTCAAATTGATATTGACATTTGCAACATCTACATACAAATGTGTATTAGCCAATCAGATCAAGTAAAATTATCACACCTCCACGTGGACTTTTACTTTTAAATATACTTTCGTTTGTTGGTTGGTCGATTTAGTTGTTTCAGTTAATACAGAAAAGCCATATCCTTAACATAATTGCATTTGATGCACACACTACTAAATGAAAGAATATCTGAGCAATGACATTGAAATGTCATGAAAATAGGTCATCTCTGTTTATTTCTGCAGAAAAACACAAATACCTTATTGATTTACCGTTGACAGCAACTCATGACGATTGAAAACATATCAAACGACTTTAATGAAACGATAAACACAAGCTATTTTCAAAAAATATGATTAAATTGCAAGCATTTCTGTAAAATTACCTTCAATTCTTTCGTCATGTTTACACTTTTGACTTAACACTTTGCATCAAAAAATCTTCTTTGGGTTAATTCAATATTATGCACAGTCTATCAATAGGTTTATTTTTCTTTTTTTAAAATATAGTTTTTTTTTTTTGAAATAATGTTGCATAATCCTGCTTTTGTCAATTTAGGCTGAAGTTTAATGATAACATTTAGTTTTTGTAAAGTAAAATAAAAAGAATTTCAGCAATGTTAAAACCAGTCAAATCTGACCTTGACATTCTTCTTGGAAAAACAGAAAACAGCACCTGTCAATGCATAATTTGCATTTATTTGGACATTTCTTGGTATTAAGGGATGTGTTTTCTTAATTTATATTGGGAAAAGACTAATTTATGTAAGTAATAACATATTACATTATATTATTTTATTTTAGCAACAACATAGATCACAGTTACATAATAAGATATATATATAAATAAATATATATATAAAATAACAGTTTATCCAAATTAAAATATCATTTCATATTAATAATAAATAAAACAAATTTAGTTAATGACTGAGATCAGATGAGGCATAGGATAAATGTATTTAAAAAAGAAGCAAATGAATAAATTAATAAAATCACATTTCAGGTTAAGACTACAATAGTCAAAATTATAATTATCACAGAATATTGTTAACTTAAAGTTACTGATAAACATGATATAAAAGAAGTAAAAGAATTTCAATAAAATTTCAATACAAGGGTTTTGTTAAATAGTGATCTATGGTTACAAGGATAGCCCATTAAGCTGGTGTGCTTATTTCCAATGGGGTCCTGTTAACCAAATAGATGGAAACAAGATAAAACCAGAGAGACATTCATTCCTCAAATAAAAATAGACAGTGAGATAATCTTCAAATTATTCAATCACAGTAGTTTTGCATTATCACATAAAGAAAAGCACAGGAAAAAATAAGATAACTAAAAACAATAAAGTTTGGCGAACCTATGTCGCCACTTAATTAGTAATATAAAAAGTCACTTTGATGTTGCGCAGCCCATATTGAAGCAAGATGGCTTTTAACAGAATTTTTATATAAAGTTGGATTTGATATACATTTTACATCATCTGGCAAACTATTCCAATCTTTAATACCATTATAGAAAAAGGTGCTATTACATGTCTTATTACAAAGAGGAATTGAAAAATTAAACTTATTTGATCTAGTGTTGTAGTTGTGTATATCAGACATCCGAACAAAATTTGTTTTCATATAAGTTGGACACGTATTATAAAAGATCTTATGCATATGATTAAGTCTCAGTTGTTTAACTCTGTTTTCAATATTTAACATGTTAACATCTTTAAAATCAGAAGGAGTTAAACTAGTTCTTGGATGGTAATCTTTTATAAACCTTATGACTTTGTTTTGAGCTACTTGCAGTTTCTTTTTCAGACTTTTATTTAAACTTTCGTACCAGGACGAACAAGAATAGTCAAAATGACATTGGATTAAAGCAGAACAAAGCAATTTTCTACAGTTAAATGATAGACATTTACTGTTTCTGTACAAAAATTTAAGTTTAGTGTTTACTTTAGATATGACTGCATTAACAATTTCTTCTCCAGACAGAAGATTTTCAATTTTCAAACCAAGATATTTGACTGTCTTAGTAGATTCAATAGTGTGACCGTTACAAATAATATTGAACTTATTAATCTTTTAAAATTAAAGTTTTTTCTTTGGACCAAAAATTTCCTACACTGTAAGTGGAGAGAGAGTGTATTATCAACCAGCTAATCTGAACAAGATTCTAGAGCTTTACCTAGCTAATTTCTGTGATATAAAATCAGGATCATGATGAGAAAAAAGTATATAGTGCTGTCATCAGTATATAAAATGAGCTTACACTCAGAATCGATACTGGTGATCATATCATTTACATAGCATAAAAAGAGCAATGGACCTAAAATACTTCCCTGAGGAACACCACAATTTACTATTGATGGAGAAGAAGAAACTCTCCAATATGTACTAATTGTTGCCTGTTATTAAGATAAGATCTAAACCAGTCTGTATTGGTAATTCCCATCAGATGAAGTTTTCCACAAAGAATATTATGATCAACAGTATCGAATGCCTTTTGCAAATCTATCATTATCATTCCAGTAAATAAGCCATTGGAATTATTCAGTCTGATATGATCTAACAAATGTATGAGACAAGTATCAGTTGAATGTGAACTTCTAAAACCAGATTGGTGTTCATACAATATATTATTTTTAACAAGAAATGATTCTAATTGATTATATACAGCTCTTTCTAAAATCTTAGAGATAATACTTAATATACTAACAGGCCTGTAATTGCCCACTTCAAGTGTACTATTTTTCTTATATAATGGTTTCACCCTGGCAAGTTTTAAATCATCAGGGACAAAATTTTCTCTGATGGACATGTTTATTATGAAAGCAACAGGTAATTTTAGAAAACTTGCTCCATCTTTTAAAAATCTTGCAGGTATTCCATCCAGACCTGTACTTTTACAAACATTTAAACTACAAAGTTCTTTAAATACAAAATTTTCTGACACAGTTTTTAAAAAGAATGTTTCACTATGTGAGTTAGAATTGGAGTAAAACTGTTTAATAATAGTGGAATCAAGAGTAAATAAATTCTTGCCAGTCGGCAGTTTTTCTACAAGTTTGGCTGCTACAGTTGTAAAAAATTCATTAAAATGATTTGCAACAGAGACTGGCTCATGTGAATTTTCTCCGTTAATATTTAAAACAATTTTTGTATCAGATTTCTGTTGATTTTTATATCCCAGAGATTTTAAATTCTGCCATAGCTTTTTGGGATAAAATTTGTTTTCTTCAACTTTATTAGAAAAATATTCAGATTTAGCTTTTCTAATGTGTCTTTGTACTTTATTTCTGATTTCACTAAAAACTTTAAAATCTTCCTTGCAGCCATTTTTCTTAAATTTATATAGGTATGAATCTCTTTGTTTAATCATTTCAAAAATTTCAGACGACATCCAAGGTTCAGAAGATTGTTTAAGTTTGATTTCTTTAATAGGAGCAACATGGTTTAAAATTTCCATAAAAATCTCTTTAAAGGCCAACCAGGCTAAATTCACATCATTTGCTAAATAACAAGCATCCCAGTTAGTACTGGTAAGTTTATAGACAAACATTTCTTTGCTATAATTCTTTAAAGATCTAATTTTAACAATATTATGTTTGTTGGAAGGTATTTTCACAGATTTCCTTGTACAAAAAGTAAGAAAATGGTCGCTAACTCCAATAGGAATAGTTCCTGATTGGGAAATTTTATCTTGATGATTACAAAGAACATGATCTAACAAACTACTAGTTGTATCTGTAGTACGTGTTGGTTCAGAAATAATCTGAGACAGGTTAAACATTCTAAGAATATTACAATAATATTTAAAAGAAGAACTTGTTTTTTGTTTAAAACATATGTTAAAGTCTCCTTGAATTATAGTTTCACAGTCAGTTCTCAATTTTGATAAAATCAATTCAAAATTATTTAAAAAATCAGTTTGTTTTGTTATGCAATTGAATATTCATGATTAAAGGCAAGTTTATTTTTCAGAACTTTTGCACAAACAGCTTCTTTGCACTAGAATGAACTTAACAATTTTCACAGTATTTAATTAATGTAGCATTTAACATTCATGACATTCTTATGCTTAATGATGCCTTAATGATTGAAATGCTTAACCAGTTCACTTTTGCAATGTGTTGTCTTAATATTATGATTAATGCTAGACTGCTAGCTAAACTAATTGTACTGCACGACAAGATATTGTGCTATTTTCGTGTCTGGGCAATATCTCGCCTCTACCAAAAGCGAGATTTTGCCCAAAACGAAAATATATCAGAATCAAGCTTTGGCACGTCAATATATTTTGACTAGCTAAACAGCTAAACTTCAGTGAACAGGTTTTGTAATACTGCTAGAACTGTTTGCTGAAGATAACGTAGGAATATCCCCTAAATCATTTACGTCTGATCATTTTCCTCATACATGTAAGAAAACCAAAGTATAAGTTCTATTAATTGTGTTATAAATAGAGAAGTTTTTTCAGTTTTTGTTGTAAACGAAGATTATGCGGAGAAATTTTACATTTTCTTTGCTCATCTTTCAAGATCTCTAAAATACGATTTTTCGGCGATTTTTTTAATTTATAATTTTTCAATTTCATTTATTTCAATAAATTAGACTGGAAGAAAGATATTATAAACACCAATCACTTCCCAGGCAAATATCACTTTAAAATTATGAAGATTTTCGTAAATTCTGTTGATAATTTAAAGCATGACTGAAGCCATGCCGTAAACAATTTACGCACTGATCGAATAACTACAACCATCTGTCTTTTTCCCCTGATAAGATACGATCCTCGACTGTAAGTCATGTTGTATATAATTATGTGCTTTTAATATTTACAAAAAAAAAAACTAGTAAATTATTCTTTAAATTTCTCTTTCATTTAATGTATCCAAGATTTGAATTTCATAACTTTTATCACAGATGGACTTAGTCTAGATATTACGACTGCAAGACAGACCGATTTTATAATCTGTTATTTCATTTGCTATCAACTTACAATACGTTGCGCTAGAACAAAGCAAGGCGTCATTCATTTCTGTATGGCTTTCTGCGCGTGAAATAATTATTTCCCTGCTCTGGACAAAATTTGACCGCTGTGGACAAAAGGATCTGCATGACTTTCTGTCATTAAACTATTGGCTACTTCAATTCTTGTTGTACCGGAAGGAATGGGAAAAAAGCGCACTTTGATGGCACTTGTTTTTAATTTCTTTTTTCTATTCAATATGATTACAAAATATCTTGAATTAAATCACAACCGGGTAAACGAATACTAGGTACTTTGGACCATGCTTTAATTTTCTTTGAAATTTTTTTTGATATTTAAATGTTTCTGTCGGGATAAAAAAAGAGAGCGCGCAGTTACTTATTTTGTAAACAAGTCGTTCTATTATAGCTAGGCACATTCATAGAATCTGCCTGTTATTTATTTGTTTATTTAAAGATATTTTTATTTTGATAATACTGATCATATATGTGGAATGAAAATGTAAGGACTGTTATAATTTTTTTATGTCAATTAATTATTGTGCTGAAATTTTTGTCGGAGGGATCTTCCGGGTTTTCGCGGTTAAAAATATGTGATTTTTTCGGCGACAAGCGTACGAGAATATAATTTTTAAATATATATTCATCACCAGTGGTTTCTAAATCTAAATGAATTCAAAATATTTACTAACACCTTTAAAAATGTTTATGATATATAGCGCTTTTGTATGTGTTTACCGCGTGCAGCCTCCTCGGGTGTACGTACATGTTTAAATGAAAACAAACGTTTTCATTGGTTATCACGTTCGCTGTTTACATTTCAGCGACAGGTACAATTTTAAAGTTTTTTAGGTAATTTAAGTTATTTTTCGTCATTTTATGATTCTTTTAAGGACAATGTATGGTTTATATCAACAAATTTACATGCCAGTGTGAAAATTTTCATGTTGCAGTGAAAAAATTGAAATTTTGCTCAGCTCGATTTCCGACACAGTTTTGATCGTAACTGGTTGAGACGTAAAGACAGACATCTATGAAATATCAGATTATAAAATCGGTCTGTCTTGCCGTCGAAATATTGAGACTAGCTGAAGCCAATCCCATATCAAAAATCAACAAGCACTGTGAAAGATTTATGTCCTGTTGTCATTTACATATTTGCATTATCTGGATAAAAGCTGTTCTAATATGAATAAGGCAAGGCCTCAAAGCCAGCTCCTTGTACAGTCTATGAATTGGGAAGTGGTTAAAATAATAATTCATTTTAATTTTACAATATCTGTTTTAAAAGTGTCATTTGGCATATTGTGCACTGCTCCCGTTTATTCTGGTTCTCTATCCTATAATGGTTCACATTGAAGTGCGCAGGAGACCAGTTAAAGCATCCGTTTTCAATCAGAATACCTTGACTTTTATCCTATCTTGTATTAGTTGTAAGTTGAAAAGTTGCTATTGACCATAATAGACCATTACCCATAATTTCTGGCGAAAGTTTTCAAAACCATCACTATCTTGCAGGCTTGCTTATACAGTTAATGAGTTAGTTAGATCACAGGAACTTAAAATTCTGTCAATAATAGCTGTAAAAGTCAGATTTTATATATATACTAGGTATGGATTTTTTTTAAATCTGGCTTTTCTGCTACTATTGACAGAATTTCAAGTTCCTGTGGACCACAGGAACTTGAAATTCTGTCAATAGTAGCAGAAAAGCACAGTGGTTAGAACTTAGATATATACTTTGCATACTTCAGTCTAATTTTTTATAAAAAAAAGGTTAGATTGACGGAATAATGCCTCAAAGTTTATCAGTGTGTTTACATTTCATAATATTTTCCACCATTGCTACCCTAATCATCATGTGACTTGCCAGAATTTAAGTACGGATACCTTTGCATGACATTTTTGTGACCCAAACTTTTATGCTATTTTTAATTTGAAGTCCTTCAAGATTTCATTTGAAAGCAGACTCCATATTCTATCTATCTACATTGTATCTTCCATTAATGCCAAACCCCTCGCGAGGACGTAGACATGACTAGACAAGTCACTGCAGAGACAGCTATGAGATACAAGGGAATCCAGGAACCAGTCCCTAGCTCTTATTGAATAGACCCCTTGGTTCTTTTACATGCCCAGTGTATAGCACTGTCAGAGTCTGATACATGCACATTACCTGGATTTCTTACCAGTACACCTCTGGTTAGGTGGGAAAAACTGAAAGTGTCTCTGAAAAATCCTAAGGGTGTTACCTAGGATCAAACATGGGACCTAAGGAGTGACAGCCAGTGGTTTAACCAACTGAGCTATCACGCCACCAACATATTCTTGATATTGGTAGAAAATCTCTAGTTGGGTACATGATGTCATTGAAGTCTCATTCTATACCGCCTCTGTGGTCAAGGGGTTAGAGTTGATGACTTCTAATCCAGTTACCTCTCTGGTGTGGGTTCGATCCCCAGGAGATGCTTTGGTAGTTTAGCGTGGAGGAAGGTTGTCTAGTACTGGTGTAACTCTCCAGGAACGATGGTTAGGAAACTACCCGCCTATATGACCGAAATACTGTTGGGAAAAGGCGTAAAATGAAACAAACAAACAAAATTTTTAAAGAAAACATAGATTCAGAATTGATTTGTTTACCAAAGGGTAATTTTTATTTTACCCAAATTTGACAAATAAGGGTGATTTTAATAGTTATTTGTACTAGGGCTGTCATTGAATATCGCAATATTCATCATCCCATACAATATTATTATATCAATACACACTTTCAAATATCGATACAAGCTAAAATTTATTTATTTCTGTTAGTGAATATACAATGTACCTCTCTATTTTGCCTTAAAAGAGAAGTCATTTTTTCCAGTTTTCTTGGCTAACTTGATCTTCAAATGTCAGTGACAAAAATAACAGGAAAAAACAAACTTTCTGATAGTTTATACTATTTGTAATGTCTTATACAAGCATGCATAATACCATGATCCCAATTTATAACACATATTTAAATGTTTTCATTGTATCTACTGTCAAAGTCGATATTTTGATATATCGTCGATATTTGTCTCTCGCATGGATCCTGATCAGACTGCTCGAAGCGCAGGCTGGTCTGGATCCATGCTGGTAGCAAACCCATTATGTTGGTTTTGTCGTGATGCGGCTCATATCATAAATTTATATTTCAGGTGATTTACCATGAAGGTGGTGTCAGTTGTTGACGTTACTACCCCTGGGGTGACTGCCCCTGGGGTCACACCTGATCCAAAAAATGTGAACCCATTAACCTTGCTGACAAACAGAAAAACAGCTTTGGAAGAAATTGATAAGGCTTGTAAAGGGTAAATTTTGAAATGATGTTTTATTTAAGTTTTTCTTTCTGAAGTTTCAAATAGAACTTTTATCAATATATATACTGTGAATCAATTACCAGGGAAAAAGGCGTAATTTTTTTTAATTTGAGGAATACAGTGATATTTTATTAGCATAATGCATGTTTATTTTACCTGCATTTATATGCTGTATGTCCTACATATTGTGGATTAAAATCCAAGTACTTGTATTTGATGGTAATGAAATTTAATTTTAACTCGTTATTTATTTTATGTTGTGTATCAGTATGTTTAAGAAATTTACTCAAATAAAACCATTTATTTTATTGTTTGAACAGACATTAGAGAATACATGCACAAATGATTCATTAATATTAATTTTTAGCTCGACTATTCGATAAGAATAAGTAGAGCTATTGTAGTCACCCGAGCGTCGGCGTCGGCATCGGCGTAACCACTTATGTTAAAGTTTTTGTAATACCTCAAATATTTTCAAAGTCCATTGACATATGGCTTTGAAACTTTGCACACTTTTTTACCATCATGACCCCAACCTGTAGACAGGAGGAGGTAACTCTATCAAGCATTTTGACAGAATTATGCCCCTTTTTCGACTTAGAATTTACATTAAAGTTTTTGTAATATTATACCTCAAATATTTTCAAAGTCCATTGACATATGGCTTTGAAACTTTGCACACTTGTTCACCATCATGATCCCAACCTGTAGACAGGAGGAGATAACTCTATCAAGCATTTTGACATAATTATGCCCCTTTTTCGACTTAGAATTTACGTTACAGTTTTTGTAATACCTCAAATATTTTCAAAGTCCATTGACATATGGCTTTGAAATTTTGCACACTTGTTCACCATCATGACCCCAACCTGTAAACAGGAGGAGGTAACTCTATCAAGCATTTTGACAGAATTATGCCCCTTTTTCGACTTAGAATTTACGTTAAAGTTTTTGTAATACCTCAAATATTTTCAATGTCCATTGTCATAAGGCTTTGAAACATGTTGAAATTTTATTCTCTTCTTTGACAGCATAATAGGACTCTCTCAAATGCCTATAACTGTGATATGGATTTAAAGCAAAATTTTGCTTTTTCTTTACTGAGAAAATTTTAATCAAGGCTTTTTTTACTATCAAGCACTAAGAATAGTCGAGCATTGCTTTCCTACCGACAGCTCTTGTTCACTTTGATATATAAATATCAAGAGTGAATGGAACAGGCAGTAAATTTGCTACAATGTAGTCCAGTCATAATGAGAATATGTTGAAAATACACATGTAAAGACAACAAAACTCCATTTTATTTTTCTTGCGAAGATCATCAAAATAGGTGATGTTTAAGATCCACTTGTAAAGTATCATAATCTTATGTATTTATGTATTTTTAGTCCCTTGAAGTGTATATAACTATCAGATGATACACAGAACCCATTTCGATACTTAAAAGTATAAGCTGATATTATGAAAATAGTTTCATCATTTGTTTTCATTGCAGTATTGAAGCTTCATTGGAAAATATCCAGTTTCAAAAACTTGATTTTGGTGAGACCCAGATACTGGACACATTCTACAACGCAGATGTTGTTATTGTTGATATGACCATTGCAACACAACAGTCATCTTTGTTTTACCATGTTGGTGTTAGACAGAGTATGGGAATGAAATATAATGTTGTCATAGCAAATGATACAGATCCAGAGTTGACAGTCTCTCTGAGGGTAAGTGTGATTTTTTTGTCAATGAAAACCCTATACATGTTGTATTGTATTATGGTTAAATTGACTATTGTCAGATCTTTAAGAATGACTCACATCTGTGTTGTGGTGTTCCCTACATTTACTCTGTCGATGAAGCAGTATATGTTAATATTATGAAAATCAAACTCACCATTTCATAAACTAAACAATTCTATGCAAAGCAAAACAGCAATATTTTGTTAAAGATACATTTTTTTGCACTGATACAAATTTTTTGCACTATATTGTCTAATGACTGCGCCAACTAACACTTACCTTCGAAAAATACTGAAGCTTATTTTTGCTCTCATTGCTTTAAGAGCAAAATATTTATGAAATTTTTTTTTAACATAATTGCACTGGACAAAAGTAAAGTAGTTTATTAAGAAAATAGTTTAGTTTAAGACTTCACTTAACAGTTTGAAAAATAGTTGAGCTTACCTACCAGTAGTCTAACTAGTGTTGATTTGGTTTTACTATGGTTTTGCTAGCAACTTCATCTCCTATAAATATATTAACTGTCTGCTGGTGTCAATTAAATCTATCCATGCAACCAGTGCAGACCAAGATCTGCTCGTTTTACTATTCAGTACTTCTTTAGTACTTATTTTGAAATTTCCCCTAAAAATGATGAAGAGTTTTGTCCAGATTGAAAAAATGGACAAGTTCATTTCAGATATTTAGCATAATAAGGGTTAAAGGTAATAACTTTACTCAATAAATGCATTTGGGTTTCTAGTTTAATAGGTCTCTAACTCTGGCAATGGATTTAGGGATGTTGGCTTATACATTTGCCCTTGTTTGACAGTCACACTGTCCTGTTGTCTGCCCCTTGACTGTCAGTGCAGTGGAATGTGGGGGCATCTGTGTCCTATGAACACATTGATTCCAGTCTGTTAACATGGAAACATTCTTCATAAGGGTTTTGCAAACAATTTTGTCCCCTCAAGTAACTGAAATAAAAAATATATGCTCATTTTTGCAAATATGTCTTTTAGGTCATAAATTTACTGACTAAAAGCCATATCTCATGTAAGGATATAATTAAGATAAGACCTTTTCGTGAACTTAAAACATTTTATATGCCTCATATTGTAACCATCAACCTCTGAGAATAGTCCATTGTCCTGTCTGTGTGACAGCTCTAGCTGATAAATATGTTTACCATTTATTTGTTCATAAGGTAATCTGGCTTATGTTGAAATTTGCTTGAACTAACCGTTGTAATCTATTTTGGTTTTATTTTGGAGTTTCTGCTTTTTTTGTCATTTGAATGGAATTATAATATGGTACAGGAATGAGTGTTGGTTCAACACTAAAATTATTCAACAAGTTCAATAAAGTTTTTTATGAACTATTCTGTTTATCACATACCCAACATAAAAACAGTTTACAGTTAAAAAGAATATTTTGTTATTGACATGCTTATAATGTAACTCTTAACATTTAATGTACAAGTTGTATTTGATAAAAGAGTATTTGATAAAGACCTTCGAAAAGTTTCAAAACTTGTCAATTGGTGTGGATAAATAAGTCTTGAAACTCTTCATGATACTTATGAAACACACCCAAGTAAATGTAAGCAATGTTAGTGTAAAGTATATGACGTCACATCAGAACATATGCATGGTCTTGTCATATCTATTTTACGGAGATTGCAAAAACAGCATGGGTATGTGATAAAGCATTATGCAACAGAATAAAGCATGAATTTAAACTTATTTTATTTTTTTATTAATCAGTATTCGCTATCAGCAGATCATAAAAATCGGTCGTTACATCATCATCAGGTTTGAAATGAATGCACTTATAAATGTAGATGCCTATATTTGGTGAAAGCAATTAATGAAAACAGATGTCTGACTAATTGGTGTTTATATAGTTTTAATAACTTTTCTTATCCTCTATATTGCTTTAAATACAAGTAATCCAGACTAGATTTTTTTTTTATCTCTAACCCATTACTTCATGAGCATTTTGTGAAAAATGGCTGTTTTCATTGAAAAGTCTCCCGTTACAAGTTCAAATTGTTATAATACTATAAAAACTGCTTCAACACTAATCAAACTTGGCACAAATGTTGACTGGACCATTGCCCTTGCAACAACATGCTCAGGCTTAAATTTTCTGTAACCATGGCAACGAGGGGACATCTCAAAATTGCCAAAAATCACTATTTTGCGTTGATTTTTTCCATCAAAATTGATTTCAAAGTGCTGCAACTTCTCAATGGATTGAGATAGAGTCAAATGCTTTTTCAGCGTTGGTTACATGTTACCTTATGATCAATCTGGGGTCATTTACAGCCTCTCACAAGTCCAAAATTTTCTTGGCGATGAGGGGGACTCTGTCCCCCTTCAAACCCCCCACGAAAAAAAAAAAACCGCGCCGAAAAAGAGGTCACTTTTTTTAACAACATTTCTCAAACAAAAACAAGTGTTTGCGGCCTAAATAAGGCATTTTTTCATCATTTGAGACAACAAAAAGGGGGGGGGGTGAAAAAGGCGTTAAAAGGCGTGTATATGAAGTAATGGGTTAAGCACTATTAAATATTGTGTAGTTTTACAAACTGGCTGCCATTACTGACTTATCATAGTAATGCATGGGAATGTTTGTAAGATGTCTGCTCACATTTTCTGTACTCAGCCATGTATGTAGCTAATACCTCATGCTTTTAACACATATCTATATTCAGCAGCTATATGCATAAATTATCCCTAGCTGAACAATTCTAAAGGGGGATATTAAAAGGTCATTGTCCCATCTGTCTGTCTGGATGCAGATATTAGAATGTCTCTGTGAAATTTGTTTGAACTCGGCAGGAAGGTTTATATGAATATGAATTGAGATTAAGAAGTTCCATAAAAATTCACCGAGGTGTTTATGAGTCATGGCCCTTTGTTACTGAAAAAATGGTAGTTTATAAAGGAAAATATGTGCATAAATGTTTATTGTAATAAGGAAATAGTATTCATCAAATTTTCTCAAAATATTTTTGTGAATTTTTGAGTTATGGCCCATTGAAGATTTAATATATGCATTTTTTAAAAGCAAATTATGCCTACCTCAATGATGATGTACTAGATTTTAATATTTCTTAGTTTGAATATATACATGTAGTAAAGTATGGAAATGATTGTTATCAAATTTTATTGAAGTCTGTTTGTGTTTTATTGGAAAAATGGCCCTTTATAACTTAAATCTGTATATTCACATAAACCGCGGCGCAGGAGTGTAATAAAGCCATTTAATAAAAACGATATTACACTAGACAATATTACACTAGTGTAATAACACTTTGACGTCACGTCATTTGCACTATAAACATAGCGTTAAAGCGCGCTAATATCAGCGTTACACTATAGGCTCGTCAAAGAAAAATGACTTTTGTTAACAGTTTACCGTTCTTATTTTATATATGTGATAAATAGAATATTATATTCGTGTAGATTCAATACTAAATTTATTGAACTCGTTGAATAAAACAATATTATGCTCGCCAGAGGCTCGCATAATATGATTTTATTCAACTCGTTCAATAAATTTAGTATTAAACCTACACTCATTCAATATCCTCTATATATTCCTTAATATTCTATCCAGATTCAGTATTCACTTTATAAGTTATTATTCAAGATTTATATTCAATGTTTAATGAATTTTAATTAATATCATAATCCATAGTTAACTTGTTCAATATCGTTTTTGTTGCTTTAGAGTAGACAGTTTTTTTTAAGCAAATATTTCTCTCCATGGCCATATAATAGAATAGTGGGGATACAGCATTTATATAGTCCACCATATGTTCTACATAAATTATCTTTCAAAATGTATAATTATGTAACTGTAATGTTTTAGACTTTAGGAAGTGATTACATGAAATCTTTTGTTAGAACTTTAATTGACATACATACAGTGTATTCTTATATCTTACAATTAGCATTGCTAAATAAATCTGAATTAATATTCAAATTATGTCCATACTTGGTTTAATTGGATTCAATGAATTTTATGATTTGAGTATATTAAAATTTGCATGTTTTTACTACATTTTAACCCCAAAATTGTATTTAATCTTAAGACATTTATTTAGTTCTGTACTTTGAATAAATCACCATATTCTGAAATATATAATACTTAAAAGCTTTAATCAAGTTAGTTTTATCATAAAAGGGAGGATATCAGTTCTACAAGTTTGCTTGTTAGATATGAAATGCATTTTGACCTTATTGATATATCATTATTTGTTCTTTTACAATAGACAAACAGACAGACAGACAGACAGACAGGCATATACTTTTATTTACAGTCAGGTTCTACAGTACATATACATGAGAACATGATATATTCACTTTTTATTTGTGAAAAAATGTTTGAGTGAATATCTTACAGTAAATGCCTTTCAGCCTCGAGTATCTTGAAAACATATATTCTCTTAAAAACAAAGCTTCATGTATATGTTTATTAATGTTGTAAATAAGACTTGTTGTTATGGTTTCATTTGACATCAGAGTATGTTGATATTAGCGACAGAGATGGTCAGAAAATGTCAATAGTCTTGGGATATGAAAGGTTATATTATTAATATAAGATACGCAGTACAGAAGAGTGTAATAATACCCCAGTTTAATCAGTTTAAAGCTGATCATCACAGCATTCATTAACTTGCTATGTTTTATTATCATACTTCAGCAGCAATCTTTATAAATTACAGAAAAAATAGAATTAAAGAATAGCACATTATAACTGAAGTGTTTACCAGTACTGTAAAATCATTATTATTCGTGGGGCACGAATTTTCGTGGTTTTCGTGGGTAGGGCAATCCACGAATTTAAGATCCGACGAAATTTTATCCCAGCAAATACTTCTTACCCAGTCTCTGTTCTGTATAATTATTACAAACATGCGTCAGCTCTTTTTCGGCCGATTTACGTGCAATGGACGTTTATACATACATCTAATCAAGGTTAGTGACAGATTAAATCCGTTTGCAATATTTAAGAAAGTTGAAAGAAAACTCGATTATATGTCCTCAATTTACTGTCACAAATGTCGGTCGCATATACACACTTGATCATTGTAGTCTACTTGATTGTGTCAACAAGAATACTTGACATAGTCGAGTAAATATGGGAACCATGGCAATGCAATTATTAACGCTTATAAAAATTGTCAGTTTGCTCTTATTAATTTTAAAAAAGTCTTTGATATTTATGTCGTAAGTACACAAAACTATAAAAAAAAAAATATAATATGATCGCTACACAGATGAATTGTACAATTTTTGGTCGTTTTTAAATGATCCTGTTTAAATCAATTTTGATCTGTATTAGTGCGGATGCTATTCCATAAACATCAAAGACGCCACAGACTTTTACTAGATCCATACATCCTCGTGTTATTTACTTAGATTAATTTATATGCATGTAAATTTACACAGTCGCTGTGACGTTGCGTGTAGTTACTGTCAAATATGGTAAGACCAATTCTGGGTGTAAACTTTTTTAACTGGCTGGTTAAAACGTGTCGGGTATCGTATAAATTATGCGATGTTTACATCAGAGAATTACAGGGGCAGTGTGTCCAATGGAGGTGCATATCATGTCACATAAATCAATTATCGGCAGTAACTGTTCTATATTAGAGCAATGCCCAGAGGCAAGGATTAAATTTATTGACAAGCGCTGTGTGACACGTAAAGATATGTACTTGCTGTAAGTAAAAATGTTCGGCTATTGAATTAAAGATTTTATTGCATTATGTTACCGATTATTTTTACAAGAAAATGAAAATCCACGAATTAAAAAACCCACGAAAATGCCCGTTTTGATAAAACCACGAAATTTCATGCCCACGAATATAAGTGAATTCGCAGTATGTTATTTAATCAGAAAATCTAGATTCAATGGAAATTTTTGGTTTGATTGTTTAATTCTGGAAAAAAAATACTACTTTAAAAATAATATTGGTCTCAGCAGTGTTTATTGGCTATTTAACACTGGTTTGGAGTTTTGATGCTTAGATAGTGACCACAAAGGCCGTATTGTATTCTAACATGACTATATTTTCATGTGAAGATTATTTCTACTGCTGATTTTTGTATTGGGCTGTTCTTTATAGCACCCTACCGTCACTAAGGTATTAAAGTTAAACAAAAGGAATAACAAGTGCACCTACTGTCACTAAGTTACAAAAGTTTATCTAACAAGAAAAATAAGAAAAAAGTTTCACCTTATTTTCTCATGTATTTTTAGCTCACCTGTCACAAAGTGACAGGGTGAGCTTTTGTGATCGCTTTTTGTCCGTCGTCCGTCCGTCCGTCGTTCGTCCGTCCGTAAACTTTTACTTTAAATGACATCTCCTCATAAACCACTAAGCCAATTTCATCCAAACTTCACAGGAATGTTCCTTTGGTGGTCACCTTTAAAAATTGTTCAAAGAATTTAATTCCATGCAGAACTCTGGTTGCCATGGCAACCAAAAGAAAAAACTTTAAATATCTTCTTTTAAAAAACCCAAAGAGCTAGAGCTTAGATATTTGGCATAAAACATCTTCTAGTGAGTGTCTACCAAGTTTGTTCAAATAAAAGCCCTGGGGTCAAAATTGGCCCCGCCCCCAGGGGTCATTGATTTTCCCTATATGCATATAGTAAAAACTTAAAAAATCTTCTTTTAAAAGAACCCATAGAGCTAGAGCTAAGATATTTAGCATGAAACATCTTCTAATGGGTGTCTACCAAGTTTGTTCAAATAAAAGCCCTGGGGTCAAAATTGGCCCGCCCCAGGGGGTCATTGATTTTCCTATATGCATATAGTAAAAACTTAAAAAATCTTCTTTTAAAGAACCCAAAGAGCTAGAGAGCTAAGATATTTAGCATGAAACATGTTCTAATGGGTGTCTACAAAGTTTGTTCAAATAAAAGCCCTGGGGTCAAAATTGGCCCCGCCCCGGGGGTCATTGATTTTCCTAATATGTGTATAGCAAAAACTTAAAAAATCTTCTTTGAAAAAACCCATATAGCTAGAGTTTAGAAATTAAGCTTTAAACATCTTCTAGTGAGTGTCTACAAAGTTTGTTCAAATAAAAGCCCTGGGGTCAAAATTGGCCCCCGCCCCAGGGGGTCATTGATTTTCCCTATATGCATATAGTAAAAACTTAAAAAATCTTCTTTTAAAGAACCCAAAGAGCTAGAGCTAAGATATTTTGCATGAAACATGTTCTAATGGTTGTCTACAAAGTTTGTTCAAATAAAAGCTCTGGGGTCAAAATTGGCCCCGCCCCGGGGGTCATTGATTTTCCTTATATGTGTATAGCAAAAACTTAAAAAATCTTCTTTGAAAAAACCCAAATAGCTAGAGTTTAGATATTAAGCATGAAACATCTTCTAGTGAGTGTCTACCAAGTTTGTTCAAATAAAAGCCCTGGGGTCAAAATTGGCCCCGCCCCAGGGGGTCATTGATTTTCCCTATATGCATATAGTAAAAACTTAAAAAATTATTCTTTTAAAGAACCCAAAGAGCTAGAGCTTAGATATTTAGCATGAAACATGTTCTAATGGGTGTCTACAAAGTTTGTTCAAATAAAAGCCCTGGGGTCAAAATTGGCCCCGCCCCGGGGGTCATTGATTTTCCTTATATGTGTATGGCAAAAACTTAAAAAATCTTCTTTGAAAAAACCCAAATAGCTAGAGTTTAGATATTAAGAATGAAACATCTTCTAGTAAAGTGTCTACCAAGTTTGTCCAAATAAAAAGCCCTTGGGTTTAAATTGGCCCTGCCAAAGGGGGGGGGGGGGGGGGGCGGAGGTCATTGTTTTTCATTATATGTGTGTAGTAAAAACTTAACATCATGAAACATCTTCTAATGGGTGTCTTCCAAGTTTGCTCAAATAAAAGCCCTGGGGTTTAAACTGGCCCGCTCCGGGGGCCTATATACAGGTGAGCGACCTCAGGGCCATCATGGCCCTCTTGTTATATCAATTTTTCAAAATTTTGAAGTTTGTGTCAAACTGAATTGTATTGTGTTTACACAGTTATATGCATTCTAGATAAATCAATCTTCATCCCCTACCCATGTCATTTTAAAATGATGTCATTCTGGTGCCTTTATAAACTAGTTGCATGCTTAGGATGATGTCATTATGCTGTTTACAAATTGACATAGAGTATTCTAATATTATAAATTATACCAACTGATATTGATCAAACCTTTGGCATTAGTGTATGTTAGATGTTATCTTAGTATTGCATGAAAAGAGAAAATAATAAGAACGGAAGATATCAATAAAAATGTGTTATTATCGTTGCCTAAAAGACTTTGTTTGTTCATCTTATCTTATCGGAAGGAGAACACATAAAAAAGAACAGCTGCATCTAACCAGTGTTAACAAGTTTTTTTGTTTTTTTTTCTTTGTGCAAAGTGACAAAGTTACAAGGCATGTTAGAATTAGCATTTTCTAAATGAGTCTGATTATAAGTCTTATCTGTGTGATTTATAGAAAAAGGCCATAGCTGTCAACGAAAATCATACTATATTATCTGTTTTAAATAGTCTTGTGAGAAAATTGTGACAAGAGGAAGATGATGACAGAAGTGTCTGTAGGGGAGGTAAAGGTTGTTGATTTCAAACCACTTAAATACTATTAATTTGTATGCACCAATACTGGAACATGTCTGTAAATTATACTCTCTTTTAGGTAGAGAAATTATATTGTATCAGCTTTTTATTAAAAGCCAGAATCATTCTAATAAACAAATGTGTTTCAAGTTTGCAGTATACATTTAATTTAACAGTTGCACAAAAATGTTTTGATATTTTCAGTTATCTTGTGGCACGGGTGTTGTGTTTTTCCCCTACACAAGGGACGCTAATGGCACCATCATAGTACAGGATGGGACAGTGGCCTACAATGATGTGTGTATACATCCAGAAAATGGACCTTCATTGTTGAATAAACTGAAGAAATACCTCAGTGATGTAGATGATGAAAGTGTGTAAGTGGTCAAAACACCTGTATTTATTTTTACATTGCACTTAATATTTGAGTAAACATTAGTTGATGATGACAAGCTATGGCACCAGTGTATAATTACTGCTTAGCTGATCTACATATCTGTGCGTTCTCTTAGCTTTACTTAATTAGCTAACCAGCACAGTATGTTAAAGAAAAATGGAACTTAAGATATCAATAGACATGGTAGATGTTTTGTTTTGTTTTAAGAAAAGGGGCAAATGCTCTGTTTTCATGTTTTTTATTTGTTTTGTTTTTTATGATTAAAGAAATCCTTTTTTGGCAGTGATTTTTCTCAGTTAATTGGGAATAGGCCTATGCTTCTTGATTTTGGGAAACATAATCACTAAAATTGCTAATTTTGGGAGTAAAAAAGCAGGTGTAAGTTCAGATTTTTGGGAAAACTGCACAATTTTTAAGAAAATTTCAAATGGGAAGAGGTCTTTTATAGGAGTTTGTTATATAAGCCCAGAAAATCACTGTTGTGGACTTCCAAAATGTACATGTATAAAGTTTGCCTCTTCAGTAGATGATCCAAGTATTTTATGAATTAACATGTGTTGATTTTATTGTCAATTCTATTGTTAAATTTTGTCTTTTTAGGACTCATTTGAAAGAAAGATTTCTGGCTGACTTAAGAAAAGCTCGTGAGCATTATAAGGGTGAAGATCTTGTAAAGGTTTGTGGAAATTCTTTTCATGAAGAAACAAACATTTCATGTACAGCTTTTATTTTATCCACTTTTCTAGATTTTAATTGTTCTTTTCTCATCTCAGTGTCTATATGCTTATAGCTTCCAACACAATCAAACGAAAATAAATTTTGTTTAAACTATAAATGGCTTTAACGATCTGAAAAAATTGGCATTTTTATGTCTATAGTCTAACAAAAATGGCGAAATTCCGTGCAGTATTATTGTATAACATGGATTGTTTTGGTTTCTGATTATTCATTATCGGTATATCCTTACATACATGTAGATTTATTATAAAATAGTAAAAGAAATGTAATGGCATAAACCAAATAAAATGTATGTTATTGTAGATAATGATTGATATATTTCAGGCATTGCATGGTATGAAACGTAGGTTGGATGACCCACAACTTCTGTCTGTTGATGTTGTAGTTAATCTATTGATCTCATTCAGAGAAATACAGGTAGGTCTTTAAAAAAGAAGCCTTATGCTTGAATCTTTAATTTATATAATTATTTACTAGTTTGTGGTATCGGGGATTGGCAAGTTTTCCTGTAATGTTAGATTGGAGATATTATTTACTCTTCTTTCTTCGTCACTTATTGAAATGAATTATATTGAAATGAGATTGTCATTGCATGTAAAAAGAAATTTATATCAAATGGCATTCATTTTGTAATTATGATTATGAAAAACAGGTCAATAAACTAAGCTTGAAATATACAACCTGACACTTTTCATAAAATAAAAATTCATTGTATACATGTTTAGTGTATATTAATCTGATGCATTACCTGCTTATCTAGCACAACCAAACCAAAATATAGATTTATAATTACATTATGACTGTGTTTCAAATCTATTATGACATTGTTAAAACTATGTTAAGTAATTCTTTAAGATTTTAGTCAAAAACTATATTGAAAAGTATGAAGTTTGTGAATTATAATGGACACTGTTAATATACTTTGGCCTTGAATATTGTAAAGGTGGCGCAACTGTATTTAAGAAATGATGCAGGTTCAATTTTTGTTTGCCCCACCAAATTTGCCAATCAGAACAAGTTTGTGCCAAGGGCTCTAAAGTTGAAGCCAATACTTGTGCAAGGGAGACATGGATGTATGTACATGTATACTATGTATTTTGGGCTGAAGGCCATAGAACACAAATAAAATTATTTAAATTGATCAGTTAATTGTGGGCCAGACACCTGTAAAATATCTTAGCCAGATAAATTTATATGTCACAGATGTAAGATATTCTTACAATAGCCCTATTGTATATCACTTTTAACTTTATAATTGTTGTATATTGACTATATATTTATTTTATTATAGGATTATAACTCTATGGTGAAGCTTGTTGAAGACTTGGACTCTATACCAAACTTGAAGATATCAAGTACTGTAGCAGTACAGAATCTGTATGCATTTGCACTTAACAGGAGGAATAAGGATGGAGACAGAACCAAAGCTTTAAATGTGATATTGAAGGTAAAAAATCATACAATAGCACAGCTTGATATATGTGATATACAATTATTTCTAAGGCCTTACACCCCACTATTTTTGTTACCATACCATTGTATGATATACATATATAGAATCTGTATTCTAGATAGTGGCCTTAATGATGTTTACTGGTCAAACGGAAGTGCCTGCTTGTCACCAAACCAAATATAATTATTTTGATTATGACATTTTACTTGAAACAAACAATCACAAATAATCAGTAAACAAATTACATGTAGGTTATAAAAAGTTATGTTTGAAGTTGAATTTACTTAGTTTTGATTTATAAGACTACAATTTATTTTTTTATTGAAAACTATTGATCTGATAGATAATAATAATGACGATTGTGTTTTAGGTAATAGACACAACAGAAAATCCAGTACCAGATTTGTTATGTTTAGCAGGAAGGATTTACAAGGACTTGTTTATAGAGACAGATTATGAGGATAAATCAGCACTAGAAAATGCTATAAAATGGTTTGTATATTTTGTAGTTGGTCCTTTTTTACCTCTAAAGCAGACCGTTTGACAACATATTGTGGGGATGCAAGTTGGATCTCCTACTACTAATTAATCTTTAAGATGAGACTTGAAAGACCAAGGTCCTGTGTAAGAGTTGTTTGCACCTTGCACATAAAAGCACCAGTTGTTTCTTCTGGAACGAAGTAATTTATGAACCTATTTGCTCCAAAAACTAAGAATTAGTAACAGTCTTTTTGCTTTAGTCAGCCATATGGGTTTCCAGTGGTTACTAGAAATAAACATAAATTACTCTTTTTTTCATCTAAGAACACCACAACCAATCAGGTAAAACATGTTGATTTCTGAGATAGGTAGATAATACTGAAAAATTGTATGTTACATGATTTTTTTATTAAAAAGGGGTTTTAATTATTTTGATAATTTAGCACATTGCAACTGTAATATTGTTAAGATATCTGTAAAGGAAATAATTTTAAAGATGTCTTTATTTACATTGTGTTATGTGACTTAATATGTTTGTATGTGTTTATAGGTACAAAAAGGGATTTGAAATACAGCCCAATGAATATGCTGGAATAAATCTAGCTACTTTACTGGTTATATCTGGGAAAGAGTTCTCTACCTGTAGTGAACTGAAGAGAATAGGTGAGTTTTATATCACAATAATTGTTGCATGTTTTCTTAAAGGCAGGGTTATATAAAATTATGTGCTTATTGTTTACTTTTCATATTTGCCATTTATCTTTAGGATAATTCAAGTAGATTATGCATGGCAGTTTATGGAAATTTATCTCTGTGATGGTTTTAATTTTATATTTCTTTTCTGCTATTTTAGTTGAATTGTTCAGTTATATATATCTTATATTTTGATTTTTATCTTGACTGTTTCATAGAAAAACCCGTGCTATTATGATCGCTGCATTGTTGTTGTTGTCTTGCAAAACATTTAATGTGGCCCATCATTCAAACATTTTAAAAGTTATTAACATGAAACTTTGAATGCATGCTCATCAGGACAAGATCTTGTAGGGGTGTCATTGATAAGGATTTTTGTATCGATATATCGGTAATGAATTATCGGCGATACAGCGATATATCGATTGCCAGGCAAAATTTAGCTTTCAAGTCTTTTTTTAATTTGTTTTAATATGCAGTTATATTTAAACATATGCAAAAAGATAAATAAACTATGAAAAGTGAACAACTTATTTCTTTTTTATCATTATAACTTTTAATGACAACTATAGTGTTTAAAACCTTTCCATTTTACTTCCGTTGTTGTTGCTATCACGTACATGTAGTTACGGATTATGCTAAATCCCGTCCTTGCCCTTCCATAAGTAAGTCTGTGTTTAATTGGCAAATTTATAAGTTTAGAACCGGAATAATTATTAAATTCAACATAATGTAATCATAACTTTTACAAAGAAACACTTACAAAAATTTTCTTGGCATTTTCGGTTTAAAAAAATCTGAATTGGGGGGTCTTGACCCCCACTTAGCAGACATGCAAGATTACAACGAAATTCAGCAGCATGGGAGGTAACTCTGGTGTTGATTTCCGTTTTCGTTTTAGAAAAAAAATGATTGAAATAATTATGTTAGTTCTGGCTTCCATAACTTTATATGTTGCTTTTATTTTGACGTTTGGTCTATCAGTACTATAATACCTGTTTGCTGAAGTCTCTTTAGCTAGAAATATGTGTGCATTCAATATCCGATATTTAAAAAATGGAATCGATATCGAATCGGATAACAAAGATCGTTGATACACCGATATCAATTGAATCGATTACACCCCTAACAAGATGTAGTTGTTGGGCAAGGGGCATATTTCTGAAAGCTGTATTTTTGAAATAATGCTTCTTTTTAAGTTGTCAAAATGGGTTATTGATAGTTGTTGCCCTTAAAAGACGAGTGTTAACATTGTATTCGGTGCTCTTGTTATCTGTTTATAGTGCTTCTACAACTTGTCGCTTATGACATAGGAACATGCCTTAAGAATAAGCTTATCAAAACTTTAAGGCCATTATGTACAAATAGCAAATTGACCAGAAGCGAGGATCAGATATAACATGCATCTCGGCTGAGCAAATTTGTTTGACTCAAATATTCCCATGTTTCTTATGTTCCTTTCACTAAATCATACAGAAATGTCCTCATTTTATTTGCTCCCTGTTAGCTCAATCCAGGGGTTTCTGGTTTGATCCCCAGATTAGGTATAATTACTCCATGACAATGTCTGACATTGAGTCTAATGGTTATTTGTCTCTTACTGCTGATTCAGAAATCATATGGGATTAGTAATTACTGGTTAGTTATCTAGGTGGATCAACCACAGAGGTATTACAAAAAGATTAAAACTTGCATAAAAAACATTAGAAAAACGAACAAATTTGATTTAAAACTTTCCAAAGTTACATATTTTCAGCTACAAATCAGGTACCAGATATTTTACACTGCCATAGAGTGAAAAGCTTTATTTTAATATTTCAGGATTAAAGTTGAATAATTTGATAGGGAAGAAGGGTAGTTTACAGACATTAACAGATTACTGGGATGTAGCGACATTTTTCGAGATCTCCGTGCTGGCACAGGATTATGGGAAAGCAGTGCAGGCGGCAGAATGCATGTTTAAATTAGAACCACCATATTGGTTAGTTAGTTTATGCGTTAATTTTAGAATAGTTCATTTGAGTTTATTTCATTGCTTTAGCTTATATTTAAGAAATTGCCTGTAAGATATGCATCTTGACTGAAGGATTGACAAAGCCATCTGAGTTGGGAGGAAAGGTGGGAGGTGGTTGTATAAAATAAGATAAAAGAAGAGACCTTGCCCCTTTGTTAAGATGCTGTTTTATCAATAAGGAGGTATAGGCCTACAGATCACAGTCTTCAATTTGAGTAGCCAGTATGTTATCATGTGACGCATAGATGAGAATGGTTAGTCTGGCAAAAAATTGTTATTAACTAGGGTTCCTTACCCAATCAAGACAATAACCAATTGCAAATGCTTTTCAGTTATAGAGATAAATATATATGCTTCTGCTCGCTTTAAAAGTCTTTAATGTGCCTGGCAGAAAAATGGGTCATTAGTCAACTGAGGTTGTTTCACATTTAAAGTTATAGTATTAATGTTTGTATATTATTTTATTATTCAGGTATCTGAAGTCGACATTAGGAAACATACAACTCATTAACAAGTTCCGCAAACCGAGCGCTCACACCAATCAGGAGACACAGTTGTTTAATTTCTGGATGGAGTTCTTCATGGAGGCCACTAAATCTGAGGTGTCACCACTTTGGTACCCTGTAAGTATGAAAATCAGCCGCTCTTGATATTATGCTTAAGACTTAAGTTACTCATGGAAGGGCTCAGTTGTTTAGTATCCTTTATTTCTAATTACATAATGCAAAAGGAACGAAAAACAAAACCTCATTTACTTATGTTAAGAATACTTCAAGCATGCAAAATTCAACTTTGAAAATAGCTTGAGACTGAAATTTTTTTTATACATTTATTATTATTGTCAATTTAAGAGTTGATTTAAGAAGTGAAAACTTGCCTTTTCAGGTCCTGATTCTAGAGCCAAACAAGGTGTATGTTCCGAGCTACTTACAAGTTAACATGGATGAAGACAATAAGGTACACAGTAATTTTTTTTCCTGTATTATTCTGTCATTTTGGTTACAAAAGATTGATTCTTCAGTAAATGTAGATGATATCAGGCTTGGTGAGCTTTTTTCTGTGAATAAATACTTAGCATTTGATATTGTTTACATTTATTTTCTTGTTGCTTCTTGATTTAATTGCTGATCTATTTGCAGTCAGTGCACATTTACAATGTATGCAGATCTGACAAGCTTCAACATGAGTGGGTGTTTCCTGTACCAGCTATTAAAGGGGTTAGGTATGTATTTGATTAGGTAATGGTTTCGAAAATGATTTCTTGAATAAAAATCAAATTCATAGTCTTTAAGTTGGGTATGAATTGCACTCAGTGATAGTTCTGGTTGGCTCAGTGGTTAGAGTGTTGAATAAGTGCAGACTTTGTATGTTGGAAATTCAGTCTTAGCCTAAGATTTTGACTGACGTATTACATTCTAATTAATACTGTAACCCAATTTATATTCGCAAATACAAATTTTCGCGTTTTGCCGAGGTCGGACATATTCGCGAATATTAATTTCCGCGTTTTCTTGATTTCCGAAAATAAAATATTCACGGATTGGAAATTCAATTTAAGCATTTCAAAAAAAAAAAAAATACCTTCTCCAATCGGGGATCGAACCAACGCCGAGAAAATTTGTTATATTAGTCCGCAATCTAACCAACTGAGCTAAACAAGCTGTTAAGTTTGCCGGGTAAAAAGCGATACTAGGATGAAACCATCTTGTATTTCACTGTTTGTAATTATGTACACCAAATACCCTTTTGTGATGCTCGATAGGTTTATAACACCTTTGTCTTAACAATTCAATCAAACAATTATTTTATAAGATCGAAAAACAAAATGGAGGTTGTGATGCTCGATTGTTTTCCCACTTTTGTCAAACGATTTATTCAAACATTTTATATCTTAAACTGTATTTAAATGTGAATGTTTATTTTGATTACTATATAGCCATGGAGTTATTTTGATATTTATAGAATAGTAATAGTTTACTTAGTTTGTGTTTTTATTGCTTTATGGCAATATTCATAACAATTCATTACTTCCTAGCAGGTGCCCGTAAAATTCGAATATATATATGGTCAAGTACCTTTGCATGAAAAACGTCTAAAATAAAAATTTCTCTCCAATTTAGTCGCGAAATCGTGCGAATATTAATTGGTCGCGAATATTCGTTGGGTGACAGTACATAAGAAAGGTATAGATCAAACTTCAAATTGTTCATTTTAGTTTTACTTACCTTTTTAGCTTGACAATTCCAAGATTAGGGAGAGCTATTGTACTCACCTAGGGGTTGATGTCACAATTTGATTGAGTTTTTGTGTGCAAGTTGGTATCTCCAAAACTACTGAAGAGAATTAGTTGAAAATTCTCGCAATTACTTGAGCATTTTAGCTCTGTTAAATATTGATGTCATGTTAAGCATATGAGTGTTAAGAAAAATACCACAACATAAGTGAGAATATTCAGTTTCTTTTATACAAGGATTCTTTGCTGTCTGCTATCTTATGTTTTGATATGTATGACAGTAATAGTGCATCATACTTGTACATTCCATAGGTTCATTTTTTGACTTGAATTTCATATTACATAGCATTTAAAGTTGACTTAAAATGACTGTTCTTTAATCAACATGATGTATAATTACATACTATAATATGTTTTACAGTTTATATAAGAGAGATGTACGGGCAGTATTTTTGTACGTTGTCGACAACTCAGATGATTTCCACATTTTCTTCTCATCAGAAATGCAACGGCAGTTGTAAGTTAATTTTCTTATTCCTGGATATTTTCGTCCACTATTGTTAACAGATTATTTGAATACTTTATCTTCAGGAAACTGACAAAAAAGATAGAATGAAAAATAAGTAAGGAGATTAAAAAAAGAGTATAAATTAACAAGCAAGATATAGTATTTGAAGTGGACTCAATATTATACTATTATATTTACACTGTTTAGAACCAGAGGCCTTGGTAACCTTTTCCTCTTGATAAAGAAAATCTTGCTAACTGCTGATGGCTTCAATCTGACAGTCTCCTTCCACCAGTAAAGCTGGAAAGGTACCATATGATCAAAACTGTGTTGGTGCTATGAAATCCCAACAAAAAAGAAAAGAAAACAAATTAAAATCAATTTTATATAGTATACGTAAATTTAAGTACTGAAATACTTCAAAAAGTGCTGATATAGAAGTCCGGGAACAATGGGTTTCACAGAAATCAAATAATTTCTCTGTGGCAATTGATCTTGGGCATGGCGTATATCTCACTCCTGATTCAGAACTTATGTGAGATTGGAAGTCGGTCACTTGCAGAAAAAGTCGTAATTACTAGTTAGGTATCCAGGAATGCCCGTTAATGAAGTGGACCAAATGCCAAGTTATGACCAAAGGCATGTTAAATACTCAAACCCAAATTACCTGTTGCAGTTACACAGTCATGACCATGTTATATTGTTGACAGTAAACTTGATTTACTTTTACAGGTTTTATGATGATATGTGTAAGTTAATCAAGGAACATCAGCGAGGTTTTGAGGCAGAACTCGAGGAGAGAGATAATATTGAGGTGAGCCACCACTAAATTCTTAAATTTCATTCAGAACTGTTGTTAATGAAATGGATAATGTTGTAAATATTTATAATGATTATGTAGTGTTGTGGATGTAATGAATGCAAACAGTGGTTCCAGTTGACAACCAGATCAACTTTGATTTTGTACATATATTGTAGTTATTCTAAAGGTGTTTTTGGAAACATTTTTCATATCTTACTATATTTCTTTTTTTCTGGTGAATGAAGTATTGTTATGATTTAGCATATGGTAAGGGATTTATATTTAGTTTATAAATTTTCTAACATTTCTTTTATCTGAAGGAAGACCCTTTTTTAGTCATTCCAAAAGCAGAAATCATTTAGACAGTATTCCTTTTTGTTAAATGAGCAATCCCACCTATAGCTTAGACATGCATTTTTCACCTCCATAGTTAAATTGTTATGTTCTGATGATTTGATGCAAAACCCTATATGTCTACTTTAGATGTTACCTCATTTCTTATCATAAATTAAGGATCAATTTTGATAACGTCTATGTTACAAAAACACATGCAATCAAAATATTACATTTCATAATTGTGAAAAATCTTGCTATTGAGATATTATTTGGCTATCCATTCAGTGTATGTATTTGTCTTGTTGAAGGGTCTGTACCTTTTGGGACAATTTTATGTGTTCATATATGTAGGCATTATTATACTCAATGAAACACCCTTGTGACAACTTCCGACAGTTCTTGTTTTATTCCGACAGTTCTTGTTTTATCTTTTATAATGAAAATTCGGGACACTTTGGGTGACCAACTTGAAATTTTTGATTTTGCATGCACTTTTTGTTTGGAAGAGTTTTGAAAGGTTAGGATTTTATATTAATGTTATGAAATGAAATTTGAAATTAGTTTACATAATTTATACAGTCATCTCATTGGTCAAAATATGAAAGTGTTCAGAATAAACCAATCGGATGGTAGAATATTTTGAGACCGGTTTCTAAATTTAAATTTTAATATACTAGCGACCTTTCAGGTATCATTTTAATGACCAATGCACGAAAAAACTTTGAAACATTTCAGTTGTTGAACAGTTTACAATCTGATTTCTTGATACTGCCCACGATTGTAAGTATATAAACCATGTGACTTGTATTCTCTGTTTAGCGAATAGATATTAATTTTGAGTGTGTTGTTGTAGAGTAATGTTATGTTTGAGTTCAAATGTATAGTAATACAGTCACAAAGATTGGCAGGCCAAAGTGATTTATTACAAAGCATTTAAACAATAAAATAATGTTTTATTGTACAACAACCCAGGCAAAATTGATATTTATTTCTATTCTAACATGCAAAATGACAGTGAATCGATAAAAGTGTTTTGATCTACATTGCGTAAAGAAGTAATTTTTACGACATTGTACTACGGTTTATTAATATCATATGCTGTGTAAAAATTCTTTTGCTTTTTCTGTTCATTATTGAATAGTAATATACTCGAGCATTGTTTTGTTCTTTGTCTATTTAATAAGGAAATATTGTTATGCGTGTTAGAATACTCATTAAACGTTTCATCAGTTTATTTTTCCATACACCTTTCATAGCAAATATTTTCCTGATCTTAAACCTGTCCTGTCATAATCTCCATTACTCTTTTTTATGAAATTTGAATAATAAATGATGAGATATTTGGATAATACCAACTACTCAACTAGTCTATACTCTGGTCTTTAAACCTTTTCAAACCAAGCATTGCACTTGTATGCAATAAGACCTGAATTCCCATTTTCTTGTAACTTTTAACATTTAAACTATAATGTAAAATCCATTAATGTTTGTTTTCACCATTTCTTGTCCTTCTATTAGATTTTTGATAATATAGAGTATAATAATTGTCCTGGAATGCAATTGTTGGAAAATTAAAAAGATTTTGTTAAAGTCAGCAACTTATTTTATCATTTTTTAATATATTTCTGTTTTAAAGACTACACCTCTTTCAATCTTACACTTTTAAGCCATTTTAGACACCTTTTTCTTACCTTTTTTGACTTTAACTACCAAAATGGTAAACAATTCTTATGTCCTGTAGATTAGTTATTGTCTCTTTTTCAATTATGTACAGAAATCTTTCTTCAAATTTCATGAATTATTTTATGAAGTATTTTATGAGATAATGGGTGAAATAATAAAAGTTTGATCCTACAACAAAAGCCTTTTTATCAACTCACAAACTGATTATGGATGGAATGTTATTGGGTATTTGTTTTGAATTCGACATAGATATTGTTCACTTTTGTTTCTTGCACCCAGTACACACCAAGAATGTTGTTTTCAGTGGTTTCCTAAAGACATATATTCTTGTCTTATTCATAGTGTGATTAATTCATATCTCCCAAAGAGGATGTCAACTGTTTTATGCAGAACAATTTAGCACTGGTACAGACATAGTACCCTTTCAACATTGCATGTATTCATTGATAGGTAGCAGCAATTATGATTGGTCAAACACTAGTATTATTTAAAATACAAAATAACATGTACATTGGTTAGTATATGACACCAGGTAAAATCCAAAATAACATGTACATTGGTTGAACTATGACACCAGTGTAAATCCAAAATAACATGTACATTGGTTAGTATATGTCACCAGGTAAAATTCAAAATAACATGAACATTGGTTGAACTATGATCCAAAATAACATGTACATTGGTTTTGTCTATGACACCAGAGTAAATCCAATCTATCATGTACATTGGTTGAACTATGACACCAGTGTAAATCCAAAATAACATGTACGTTGGTTAGTATATGACACCATTGTAAATTACAAAATAACATGTACATTGGTTGGACTAAGACACCATTGTAAATCAAAACTATCATGTACATCGGTTGGACTATGACACCAGTGTAAATCAAAACTGACATGTACAGTGGTTGGCCTAGGACACCAGGGTAAATCCAAGTTAAATGTCTACTCCCTTCAAGAGTTCATATTGAAATTTCAGTTATAAGTAAATGACAATTCAGGTCCAAAACGTAGCAAACCTACACAATTACATTGGGGAAGGGGTGTGGTTAAATCTGGACCTCAAAACCTTGGAAAAACAAATAGATACATGTACAACTTTATATTTGTTTTGAGTCTTGTGAATTCTATGAAATATATTTTACTAGTTAGTTTTGTAACATAGAACTGTGTAATAGAGTGAGTGACAGAGGTGATGGTTAAATTGGGCATATTAAAACAGGAGAGTTAAACTAGTTTGATTTCTTTATTTATTTTGGAACATACTTGTGTATGAACAATATGAGTATTATCTTGGAAAAGTCTTAACATTAAAAAATGAACAGTCAAACCTGGTCAAAAAACTGCCTTGAAATAAAGAGCATAAATTATAAAAAATATAACCTATCACTAAAGACAGCCATCTTATATTTCATTTACAGTGCAAAATTGTTTTCCTTTAAAAGAACCCGATGTAGGTCAGTTTTATCATGTATCAAGACTGGTGTTTCTTGACAGGGATTGACTATCTCATCATGAAATACTTTTTTTTTAGTTTTTTGTACTGATTAAAAAAGTTTTTTTTATAAAGAAAAGTTAATTGGTTTAATTAAGGAATATTTACATGAAAGTAAATCATTTGACAGATACATATACATGTATAAATAATTTTTTTATGTAAAAATTGTCCTTTTGCTCAGTAATACATTTGTTAATTATTTTGAGAATAGAAAACTATTAAACTAACTAGTGGGTTACAGTGAAAATATTGATAATAACAGCTGGAACATGTCTACAAAGTTTGCATGGGATGTGGGTTCTTTAAGCACCTACATGTATATTGGAAAAAAGCTTGATTTTGGATGTGTTTTATTGAACACATTGAATAGATTGGAAAGACATCTTATATAAAATGGTTTCATGTTTGTTACATGTTACATTGTTACTCATTTTGATTGGACAAAAACACAAGGTCTTTGTCTGAAGTATATCACTTTTACTGAAGCTGATGTAAGAAGACATCAAAACAAGAAAAAATAGTCAAAAGTTGTTTTGTTATGTCTTACATTACGATAAGTCATAGGAAACAGTAGAATGGTTGCAAATACATGTAAATTTTCAACATTCTTTGTAGCGTCCTTATATTTTTAAATACATGTGGTAAAAAAAAAGAAAGACAGCAAACTTTCTCCTTTCTTTAAGATTAGAAAATGAAGTTTTGATGTTGACTAAGTGTGATTAAAACAGTCATGTTTTTCTCTCCAGTTTATTTGGTATTTTGGAAACAATTTGTAATGATGTTTGTTTGGTCACGCATGTATAAATTGAAACAGACCAAGATACTAGTATATCTACTATATTTAACCCTTAACATGCTGAATTGGTATAAATGGATTTGCCCTGATTTTGGAATAGTCCATTCAAAGATAGTGGTTTTCAATGTCAAAATACAAAACTTGAGCGAGAATTGCACAAGCTAACCTGGCTATACTGCCTGTGGTAATGGCTACAGAGATTGATTTCAGCAGGTTAAGGATTTAATAGAAAATTATGATATTAGAGGGAATGATGGTGATTGTATTTAGACTGCTTTATCTCTTGAAATTTTGAATAATGTGCTTTCTGTAAATTGTGAATATATATAGCAGTTATTACTTATTTTGGCTGCAAACATGTTTAGATGTCTTATGCAGAAAATAATGTACTGTGGAGTATAGCCTTGATTTTTAAAATTTTAACCTATTGATATTACATTATAATGTTTGGGTAATAGCATGAACTTTAAACTATGTAATAAGTTTAAAAAAGTTCTTTGATTAGAATAATTTGCCTCTCAAACAAAAAGGTTATTTCATATACTTGGCTTGAACAAGCAGAGGAATTTTTCACATGGTTTTGTCTTTCCCTTGAGTAAATAAAATTTTAATGACACATTAAAGACTTTTGTCTCATCTCAAGAAATCAGAACATTTCAAGATATAAGTAAATTCATGGCCTATTCAAATACGATCCAGTGCAAAGAGATAGTATTGCATTTATTTATTGCATGGTGTTATAGTTAATGATAATTATTTATCAGTTTTCTTCCCAAAATAAGTTTTATTGTCAAAAAGATACATTTTCAAAATTACTATAAGAAAAAAGAAAACAAAACACTGATTGATAGACTTATGATAGTGACTAAGTTTAAGGATTTGTTAATGTAACGATCTTATAACATTTTATTTAGAATTAAAATATTGAGGGGATGATAATGTGATAGTATATCATTTAAGTCTTGTAATTTCAGGTGATTGTATAATTCATATCCTACAGAGTTAAAAGAATATTTGATATTTTTGTTGTTTTAGTACGAGTATGAGACAGATGAGAAAGGCAATCGTGTCGTACTTGGTCGAGGATCATACGGTGTTGTGTTTGCTGCACGAGATAATCGTACCCAGGTCAAGGTCGCTGTGAAAGAAGTTCCAGAGAAATTTCATGAGTGAGTCAAATAATATTATAACAGTTTTAAAAATGTTAGTATGTTGTTGCAATATATAGTTTTATTGCAAAATAATTACATAATTTTTATTTACTTAGTTGAGCTATTATAATTGCTGTAGCATCATTCTTGTCATGCAAAATCTTAAATGTTGCCTGTTATTCAAACATTTTCAAAGTAATCAATGTGAAACTTAGAATATTTGCCTATTATTACAAGGTGCAATTGTTAGACAAGAGGCATAATTCTGAATGTAATATTTTTGGAGTTATGCCCCCATTTTATCTCAGAACTTTTAGCAGACAAGCATTAACACAGGATATGGTGCTCTTATATATGTTACCTATTTATGTACACCTGTATATGGCAAATGTAATTATACTTACAGGGAGGTACAACCACTACATGAAGAAATTAAACTACATTCAAGATTAAGCCATAAAAACATTGTAAAATATCTTGGTTCACTGAGTGAAGATGGCTTTTTCAAAATCTTCATGGAACAAGTTCCAGGGGGTTGGTATTTTATTCACATGTTGGCAATCTCTTATTTATAAATTGATCTAAATGCATGTTTAATAAACTAGAAATAACAGTCATAAATTAGTTATAAGAATTTAAGAATCTGTCTTGAAAATCTCTTTAAGTGTTTTATTTACCCATTGAAGTTATAATTAAAATCAAATATAAAAGGCTATTAGATCATTACCAAATATTTAAGGTTTATTTTCGAATACATTTGAGGACAAATGGAATTTTTACAGGATGTGATTTTCATGCTTGTTTTAAATGCATTCTCTCGAAAGAAAATCAGGGAAAACAATTTTTTTCTATCCCCTTTACTCAAATTTATTTTGCATGGCTCCTTAAGGTGAAACATTAAAATTTTTACTAACACTTTATCAATGGTAACTAGTTGGTGATTGATATTTTTTATGCTTTTTCAACAATCATTTTAAGGAGTGGTTTTGATTGGCTATTTACAGGTAGTTTATCTCAGCTTCTATCATCAAAGTGGGGACCACTAAAGGACAATGAGCCAACAATTGCTTTCTATACAAAACAGATACTTGATGGTCTCAAATATCTTGTAAGTTCACGCAATACCATTTATCATTTTATAATTTCAAGAGTAGATAAAGCAAAATTTGAGGAAAAAATGCATTCATTCATTCTGTTAATTAATCAAACTTCCAGAAACATACTAGGAGAAAGGTTGATTTTTGTTGTGTCCTAGAAATCTTGGATTAAACTTAATCTATGATTATGGATAAAACTCAATCTAGGAATCTTGGATTAAACTTAAATTGTTGCTTTAGAAAAGATAATTTTCTATTTATCTGTATTATTTCAAGAGATGTAATTGTCATTGATGCAACCTTCATTGATAGTTCTGTGTCTCGTTAACCTGTTTGTTTAAAAGGGAGGTAATTTGTTGTGTTATGAAGGGTGGTAATGATAAAGACTTGTTTATGTTCCAGCATGATAATAGAATTGTACATAGAGATATCAAGGGAGACAATGTGTTGGTAAATACATACAGTGGTGTATTGAAGATCTCAGATTTCGGCACATCCAAGAGACTGGCTGGAATAAACCCATGTGCTGAAACATTTGCAGGTATGTAGGTGTTGAGAAACAGGGATTGCCACCGTACATATATCTTTGTTTCTTCTATTATTTTGTTCTGTTTAAGCTGTAGTTAATACCCACTGATTATTACAAGTTGTATGAGAAAGCACTGTAAGAATGTTGGACATTTAAACTAATTGATTGTTAATTGAGTTATTTACAGGTTAATGTCAACTGTATAGATCCAGGCTCTCCTGTATTCTGTCCAACTGTTAAAGTTAGCAGTGTGGAAATTATGGTTGATATTTATGCTAGAGGAAATTTTAGCATGTTTCATCAATTCGCAAATTTTGCTAATATGTTCTCTAGCATCAATATCAAGCAATCATTATTAAATTCTACCAATGCATGCCAAATATCTGGAATTTTAAATTTGCTAACTTTTCGTCATTCAGACAGTAAATTTTAGGCTTTTGAAATTGACACCCTATAAAATAGTGTTCCAAAAATCTTTATTCAAACAGCAGAATTTATGCATAACACATATTATTGAACAATATATATATTGTAGGAACAATGCAGTATATGGCTCCAGAGGTGATTGACCGAGGAATGAGAGGGTATGGTCCTCCAGTAAGTTATTGTCACATTTAACAAGTATTGGCTTGAAGTGTAAATTTATTGCTCACTTCTTACTTGCTCTTCTTAAAGCTTGTTGTTTAAGCATCTAACTACAAGCTGTATTCATAGCTTGTGTAAATTGATCTATATATTGTTGCAGAAGAATGCATGATTTAATGATTGATTTATATATTCCTGTAAGTTATCTGAGGAAAGTATGGTCAGTTTTTCACTGAAGATAAAAACACATTTCTCTATTTCACATTTTGCATTGTCAGAGTCATACAAATGTTTCTAAGCTAGTATTAAAAAATCTATCATAAAGTCAAGTCAATTAGCTTACAGGTGCTAGAAATGAAAGAAAAATGCTATTTTGTGGATGTTAACTGCAATGTTGTTTGAACCAGTTTCAGCAATACAGTTAATTAGAGTATGTGAGGTAACTGCAATGTACCTTTGAAGCATGGTTACAAACTGATGCAAAAAAAAACAAGCGGACATACAAGATGTGACCTATTTTCCTCATGTACTTTGAATAAGATAATTACCTTCCATTCTGGTTATAACTAACAAATGAACATGTATACTTGCAGGCAGATATCTGGTCTCTAGGTTGTACAGTGATTGAGATGGCAACAGGGAAACCACCTTTTATAGAGGTATGTCTGGTCAATCATAGTTTTGTCCCTTGTTTATATACTATATATATTATATTATTTTATATTCTGGGAATGTATTTATTTAAAATTTATGAAATATGGACCTTTACATATAGAAACATATTTATTGTAAGTGGTAATGAAAATATTGATCTGCATCAGTCTGATGATGTTTAAAGACACTTCAGCCTAATAAAAGAAATACACATAAACATATTTATAATATGTAATCTCATTTGCTAGTGAATACATATGTCATGACTGTAAATTAATATAATATGCAGTGTCCTGACATTCTGGTTATTTTGAGTCACTTATTTGGTTTCTTTAACAGTTTATAGAATGGATTTAAAGCATTAAAAGTAAAAAAAATGTAGACGCAGTAAAAACATGTACAGCTGTTAATGTATTATTATAATTTTATTTTCCTCATATTTCTGGTTATTTATTGAAAGCATTTACAGCAAATGAAAAAAGGTGAAAGACTTTTATATTTATTGTGTTTGATATACATATATGATTCTAGGGTTTTCTATCAGGTATGTATACATCATATTGTTATAACTGTCAACTGTTGTCTGATTACAGCTTGGTAGTGCCGAGGCAGCTATGTTTAAAGTAGGATTCTACAAAATGCATCCAGAATTTCCAGAATGTTTGTCTGAAAATGCTAAAGACTTCTTGCTCAAGTGAGTTATTTATAATATTTCTAGTTTTTTTTATCAGTATTTCTAGGGTAAAGGTTGTGCCGTGTAAATTTTGTTTTAGTTTAAATAAATGTTCTTTAGTTGGAAGATATAAGCTGATTGAAACACTCTCAAATCTGTTCCTGGAACCAATCACTTCTAAAGAATGAGTGTAAAGTTTCTTGCTGAAGAAAACAAAGGCTAGACACACACATTAACCACTTGACTATGCCCCCAAAAGTTTTGCTTTGAATTAGAAACCTTGTCAAGAAGATGCTTAAGCCCAACATGCATACACTGCCATTCATTTGATTGTATCTACTGATTACTAAACTTTCTGATGAATATATTTTTATGATATTTAATTTTTCATGTTATATAAGTAATCTTAACAGTCATAATTGCTGTTTTTAAGTTTAACATTGTACATTCATAAGATATGAACTACATGTATATACATGTTCTAATTATTTTCACTCATTACTATTCATTACACTATCTTGTCATATACATTAGCATTTTATTGTATTGTATATTGTCATCATGGGCTTATGTGCTTTATGGAAATGAAATGATATAAAATGAAACTTACTTCACGTAGAATCAGGGGAAGTATTTGTTTACATTTGGACAACATATAAAGTTCATTGAACTTCTGTTCTCGCTAATGACTAGGTTGTGTGTATTGTTTATTTTGATCGTAAGGAATTGATAATGCAAGCAATTAAAGTGAATAATTGTCACACAGAACTGCTAGATATTATGTTGATTGACATAAATTGTGATAATTTACTGTGTTAATTTTACTGGGTAAAAACCTTGAAGAAAACAAAACAGTTATTTGTACAAGAGTTTGAAAAAAATGTTTTTCAGATGTTTTGCTCCTGAACCAGAGAAAAGATTTACTGCACAACAACTGTTGGATCATCCCTTTATAAAAGAGTAAGTACTACTTAATGTGAATTACTTTTTCATATAATATTGTAATAGTTTGCGTATCAGACAGGTTTATCTACTGTTCACACTCACTGTCTGGTGCTAGAAAAAACCAGTTTTACACCAGTGTAAGATATTTATATTACAGAATCAAAAGTAGTTCTGAAATAGAAATATATTGACGTCATATTTTATAGAGGACTCATTTGCTCTAGGATTTTGCTTTTTTCTGTAATTTGATCAAACATAAAATTATTTCTATGAAAATGTTGCTTTTTATTTGATATTCATTAGATGTTCAATCCATTATCTAAGTTACAAATTAAAGGAGCTCCACTGAGGTCAAAAAGCCTAAAAAATATAAAATTTGAAATTCTTGCACTGATCAAGTGATGCACATAAAATGAAAAAATATGCAAAAGATAATAAAGAAATGTACTGTGAGTTGAATTTATACTGATTTTTTGCACAATTTTAAGCCCGGTTTAAAAATTTGATCATTTTGCAAAATCAAAATGATTATTCTCAGAAAACAGTGAGTGAATGGTCAAAATTTGCAAATAAGTTACTAGTTACCTACATCAAATTTCGCACAAGTTTCAGAAAAAATATTTCCAGTCCATGTAAAAAAAAAATCTCAGTGAAGACCCTTTAATTGTCTGTAATTCTTTTCAATGTCTATTTTAGATTTTATGACACCCCAGTTATCTCAACCCAGACTTGTATATTATCTGCAATATACAGTTGTTGTCTAAATTAACTATATTTCTGAATTATTTATTTATTGTGTTACCCATTTTGTAGAACCCTTGCACCAAAGAAGAAAAAGAAGAAAATGACAGAAGTAGAGTATCTGAGAAGTACCTCGGGTAAATTATTACTTTTCTTGCATGTTTGTCAGTATATGTAGCTTTTGTCTTACGATTTTATTTTATTTTACTGATAAGTCTTTAGATGTCCGGCTCATAAATATGTTGTAACTTGACTATCCAAAGGATAGGGAGAGCTATTGTACCCTAGTTAAGTTTTTGCATGCAAGTTGTTATCTCTAGACTAATTAAGGGAATAGGTTGAAACTTCGCAAACTATAAAAAAAGCATTATAGGAGGTCACTGTCCAAGCACCAATGCTCTAACTTTGATTTTTACAGAATTATAGCAATTTTTGAACTTTTTGAAAATTCTACATCATCCTTGCTCTTGTTTTACTATCAAGCACTGACAGTAGTTGTCAGTAGCTGTCCTACCAATCTCTTGTTTTCAAGACACTTGTGTTAAGTCAAGATTAGCATAACGTGTCTGTATTTTTGTTTACATTCCCAGAATGTAGTCATAGTTTTATATAAATTTTTCATCTGTTTACAGTTCCAGCTAGCAGTATAGTCAGTAGAAGAACAGATAACACAATGAAACTAAAACTACCACAAAAATCAGGGTATGTAACTCTAAGTGAAAATTGCATTAGAGTTTCCTATTTAATGAGAGATCGCACCTTGGTCAATTTTGTCCTGCTTTACAGTTTTGCTTTTATAATTATGTAAAACATTGACCCATTTAAAATGAATTTTAACATGAAAGGATTGTCACCCAATGTAACAATTTTATCATTTTATTTGGTGCACTTATATTAAACCAGCTATCTTGAGTGTTTATACTCCATTTTATAGATTAATTGTTAAATTCATTTTGATATCAATATGTGGAATCCTGCCAGGGTCATTTTGATATATATCTCGCAAGTCATACAAAATGATTAAAAGTTGATAGTTCTACTTCAGTTTCCATATTTAAATGTATTTACAGGGAAACATGAATAGGCATATGTCTTTAATAATCTTAGAAAATTGCAAAATTTCGCAATCAAGCATACAAAAAAACACCCCAAAACTTGACAAATATATTGTGTAACTTTCTTGTAAGAGATTTGATATCTGAATTTTTGAAAATATAATACATGGCATGGGTTTTGCAATATGTTTTTCAGTCCTGCATCTGTGGTAGCCCGGAATGCCATTGGGTTCTCAGGAAGTATGGAAAACATTCTGGATGATCTGGACACTGTTCAAGAAGAACGGTAAGTTTATCATCAATTAAATAACAAAATCTATCTATAAAAAATCTTAACTATTTTAGTAACTATAGCAACATCTTTGTCTAATTATTGTACCTTTAACGTAGTCAGGAGTAATGCTAGAAAAATCTCTATATATAAAATGCACAATTTTTAGCTTGTCATCCCCTTAAAGCCAGATGCTTTCACATTTGATATTGAAATTAAAAAGTTAAGTAATGTTATAGATAGTTTCAGTAATCCTGTTCATCTTTGTTATTGGAAAACTGTTTAAATTATATGTTTATTAAAGTATAGGATCATAAAAAAGCATGTATGAATAAAATGGATGTTATTTTGTTGGCTTGAAGTAGAAATCAAATTTGTGTTGTGTTAAAATTGTGAACATTATTGTAGCAAATAATAGTAAATACTGCTAATGTCATCCATATTGTCATCTATTTTGAAAGGACATATAATTTTTTTGTGCCCCTACTTTTTTAAAGTGACATTATGCCCATCCAAGGGTATATAGTGGGTGAACAGGTGAATATCAAATTAAGTTACATTTTGATATAATTCCTTTTAATTTAATAATTTACTTCCCATAAACAATAAATAATAGGTAGATCCAAATAAAATTTCTGTAAATATCTATTAGAATTTTCCTCTAACGCTCAGTTTATAAAAAGAGTGGGGCAGTCTTTTTATATTTAAGGCAGATTTATAATTTTGGCCTGAACGTTTTCCAATATCAATTGTTGGTCAGACACCATTTTAACAGTCAGTCTTTTGAAATATAAAGTCAATTCAGCTCAACTTGTCTATGAAAATATGAGCATAATGTCACTTTAAGGGAGTGGGGGTATTAAGATTTACGCTTGTTAGATTTTTTCATGTTTCCATCAAACATGAAGTATGAATTAATTAATTATGACCATTTTGGAAGTTGTATTCCTTTAAATTAATATCAGCAAAAACTTTTGATTTATCCAATTTATATAATAGGCCAGTAATCTGTTGATATATTCAGGTACATTTGTATCTTATTTCCATGTTTTTAAGACTTTAAATTATTCAAACTGTTTGAAACCCATTTATAAGCCCATACAATGTTAAATAAGATATTTGTTATATCAAACACAGGCAAGATTCCTTTTCATTGCTACAATTTGTTGTTATAGTTTTATACTAACTCTTATACTTTCAAAGTATTGGTCACTGGTCCCCTCCTTTAATCATGAACAAGTGGCATAACTCTTATAATATATGATGTTGATATATTGTATGTAAAAATTTTAGTGTGATATAACATAAGTCTATGAGATAGTGTTGTTGTTAAGTGGGCTGAGTAATGATAAAAGTCTTCAGTAACTGAGAGAGTGAAATATTGTCTCTAACAGTTTTAACATGATGTATATAATAGTTTAGGACAAATTTTTGATGATTTATGGTATGATAGTTGATTCTTTATACAATGGTGCCTATATATTTAAACTAGATTTATAAACATGTAAACTTGTATAAAAGAAGAATTATTTTATAATAATGTATTGCCCGTAAGGATCAGCATCATGCAGGGTTATAAATTTATGAGTTCACGTTTGAAATGCTTAGCTAGCTTGTGTTTTGTCTAAATTTAAAAACAATTGACACTTGCTACTGAGTTTGTTTGGTTTAACTGAAGTAAAAACAGAGTTGAAGAATCCTAAAGAATTCCGGTCAAGTTTATTTTAACTGGAAAAATAAGCCAACCTTATTCATTATATAATATTATACAATTATTGACTAGTGAGCCATTGAATATGATGTGATATTCACCGGCAGATGACATATTGACCGAGGCGATAGCCGAGGTCAATATGACTTTCTGCCGGTGAATATCACATCATATTCAATGGCTCACTAGTCAATAATTGTTTTATTATATGAATAGGCTAAGAATTAAAAAAAATCACGAAAAAGTACATCCTTATATACATGTACAAATTTTGCCTCGTTGAAGCGCGGGAAAAAAGACGCACGTGTTAGGCGTGCAACGACTACGCGAACGCTGCGCATACAAAAGTAATTCAAGTTTATACTCATCGATGCGGTTTAGCCTTTAAGTATAACAGTAAAGTAATGATATTTCAATCGAGAAATATGCCATAAAGAACAAAACGCAACAATTATTTTTTAATTAACACACGTAATTAACAGTCTACGGTGTATGGTCATTGAATATGAGTCTCAATCTATATTTAGACTTGGAAAATCCAATTCAGCCAGTTAATATGATACTACACCCAGTGAATATGATTTTATAAAAAGTTATGTTGACTACAGTTTGGACCAATGAGATTGCAGCTATTTTTAGATCATATAATAAAATATAATATTGCCCCTATTCCTTATTATTAGTTGTATATTTATTACTAGCTGTTCTTATGCCTGTTTACTGGATGTCAAACTACTCTTTTGAAGTTTCGTTAATAAATGCAGTGTTGAAAAACGTATAAATTTATCTGCATTTTCATGTGTGTGTTTGAATATATCCCATGTAAATTATTATAGTGATTTGCCCCCTACATATTATGCTTAGTTTTATTATTTACCCCATGCCATGCAGCAATTTAGTTTGAATAGTACATCCCCATTTTCTGTTTGTATCCTCCATTGGAGTGATAGAACATAATTATATAATAGATAAAATATAGTGATATATTTATAACTATTTGCTACCCAATTTTTAGGTTTTTGTTTGAATATTTTGTTGTTTTCTCTGTAGAACAGGCTAAGTTTTATCCTATCAGATTAAAAAACTTGTTTAAGCAGGATTTTTTACCATTTTGGGAACATTACCTGACTTTCAGAATTGAGAATTTTTGTTTATGTTTTACAAAAATTTGGAAAAAAACTGTATGAAATTTATCAAATAAAACAAAGAAATGAAATATAAGGTTCATTCAACCTGTTTTTATATTTCACTTATGAGCACATTTTACAATTTGCTTGTGCAATGTGCAGTTAAAGGAACTCCACTGAGGTCCAAAAGCATGAAAACATGAAGTTTGAATTTCTTACATAGATCAGCTTGGGCGCTTAGAAAGATATACAAAAAATAATTTAGAAATATACTTAAAAATAAATTGGAAATGAGCTCATGATCTGAAATTTTGCACAGAAGTTATTTGTATAGATCTACATCAAATGGAACATGAATCTCGAAAAAATGATTTCCAGTCTAGTCATGTCATTAAACCTCAGTGGAGTCCTTTTAAGATCACACTAAATGATGATAATATTTTTAACACTTCATTTATTTTTTAATATTTTTTGTTCCTTTGATATTGGTAAAAAAAGCAACAGAAGAATACAAATCAGAAACAAACAAAAAAAGAACAAAAAATGGTATTGACTTTCTTAGGCTTGATAATGCCGTTTGTTTAATAAAAGGATAAAAAGACTTAGCCGTGTTTACAGTAGGTTTTAGCATGCGTCCTATGTTATGCTTGCAGCACGGGACAAAAAGGTCACCATAGGTCACAAAGTGTCCATACTTTTGGTGGGCTTGATTTGGATACAAGGTATGCAATATATATCTAGAGTTACTTAGAATGATTTTCCCCAAACTTTTACCACACTCATTCATGTAGTGAAGTGAGTATATGGTATATTGGCTAAACTTTCATTGTTGATCATTTTTAAGGGATATTTGGCTGATTTTTAAAGTCTAAATTGGTGAATTTAGACTAACATGGCTATGTTTTTCTAACTTTTGTAACTAAAACATCATATCGAGGTGATGGTATCAGATGAAATGAGCTGGACAAAAACCCAAACTATAGCTTCTTACTCTGACGATAGGCATGAACATTTTTGAAAATTTTTATTCACAAAGTTTAGCCAAAATCTGCTGGCCTTGCATGTAGCCATTATCAGGGTATTTGTACATGTTAGTAAGTTCACTATTGTTGCCATGGTTATTATAAACCTCCACCATACTTGTTTAACTTGTCTATGAATAGATTTCACAAAATAGATTTTATTTTGTTATATTAGCTTATACTGATGTACATTGAAATATTTTAACACTCTATAATAGTCGTTTTAGAGCATTATCACTCTATATATAATAGTTATTTATTTTAGAGCATTATCCTTGTTCAGTGATCACATGTACCTATCTCGGTAGCTGTTTATCTAGCTCAAAACATTTGCCTTATTAGAATTAAATTGGTTTGACATTTGCATAGAACAGCAAAATTTTTAAGTATTAGTTTTTCTAACACATTCTTGACATTGTTTTAAGTAATATTATTTAGCAGTCTTGAAACTTTTAAAATTGCTGTTAATAAATATGAAGAACTGATTTCTTTAATAACCAGTGTTGAAAGAAGTTATTTTCAAAACATGTCAAATTTGTTACAAAAACAAGTTTTTTGGGTGAATTTCACAACAAGTCTGTAAGATTGTTTCAAAGGTGATAAATGGACATGAATTGCATGACTTCATGAGAGTTGTTTCCCTTTGACTCCTTATTATATGTTATAATCTGTCTTTATCAAATATCCTGAGATGACTGGTGCATGGTAATATTTTACATTATTATGGAATTTCTATCTCTCTAGATATTGTATATATTGAGCATTGTTAGCCGTATTTCTAGGCCAAAGTCTTTCCGCAAGCGTGCAGAATCTGACGGTACCCTAGTACATGCAGAGTAAGTGAAACAGTGTTTACTGCTATTCCCCATGTATGATTTTTCTTGTTTTTTTTTCAGTTCTTCATATGCTTGTTGTTTCTTTAAAAAGAACTTATTTTGACCTAAAGTTATAGTAAGTTATTTAGTGATGGTTGATTGTCCGTAAGCAGTTTATGATCCCTTCTTTTTGCATGGTCTGAAAGTCGTCCATTAGGCTAAGTTGTTGAGGTTGTTTACTTTGAAACACTTTCCCTGTGAGCTGTTTATTTAGTTTTCTGTTAGAAAATTTGTCGCTCACTTAGTAATTTCTCTGTAATATAGATTTGATCTCAGACATTGAGAGTAATGGTAATTTTCTCTCACTGCTGAATCAAAGTAATCAATTAGTAATTACTTGTTAGTTATCAAGAAAAATTGGTTAGAAATATAACCAAAATACAAACATGTATTACTTAAAGTTGGCTGGCCCTGTCCTAGGGATCACTAAGTTTACATAGACTTATATAGAAAAATACATTTCATCTTCTTTTATGAAACTGCACTGCCTCAAGCTAAGATATTTGGCTTGTGGACCTATAAAAAGTTATGTAAAGCATGCATCTGGGGTCAAAATTGGCTGCACCACATGGGTCACTTAATTTATATAAACTTTTAGAGTAAAAAGAAAAAGCTTCTGAGAAACTACAATGCCTAAAGGTTACCAATTCACCTTCTACAATAGTTATATAAATCATGCCCATAGGGTAAAAATTTGGCCGACCCTGGGGGTCATTTAGTTTATAAAAACTTACAGTCATGTGAAACAATTAATTGATTAATTAACATTTCTTGTGTGAAATAAGAATGCCAAAAACTTGTATGTTTGCCATGCAGCATTTTGTAATAGACATCTACAAATATTTTTTTAAATCATGCAACCTAGAGAAAAAAAAAGACAAATCCAATGTGACTTTATTACTGTCTTTACCCTTTTCTAGCATGAATCTCAGGTGAGCAATTCAGGGCCATTATGGCTTTCTTGTTTTTATTTATTTCTATGTAACAGCTACAGCTTTTAAAATGTGTGGTTTTGATTTTACAGTTTGTTTTGCCAGATTTTGATACATTTGTATGTGTAATTTTCAATCACATTAATATTCACTCACAATGAGTTTGTGTAATTAGTTTTACATCTGTACAGAAATTTGCCTGTTTTTGTCTTTCAAGATGACTAAGAGTTTAATAATGGAGCAGGGGTTAAAGTGACATTATGCTCTTTTGTCGATGTCAAGTTCAGTTGGTGACTGACCAATAATTGATAATTAAAACTGTTGAGGGAAAAATATTAAATCTACCAAAGTTATTAAAAAGACTGCCCCACTCCTTTTAAAGATTGAACTTTGCTGATATATTCCGAATAGTAATCATGAGATTTCGGTGGGTTGCGTGGAATTATTGACTATTTTTGCATGTTAAGATATGAATAATCTTGATTGTTATGTTTTGCTTTGTCAAATTTAAAAGAAACAAATGAAGAACTTTCCAGTATGTTTTACATTCTTTAAATAGTCGAGTGGTTTAGGGTCTTATCTCAAATTTGGTTTCAAGAACTTGATGATCTCCAGCTTGTATCACTACTATTGGGTGTCTGGTTAACAATACTCTGTGATACTATGATCTGTGCATATCTTTTGATAATTGCCTATCTGTTACACTTGTGTATAGGCCAGGCCAGTTGGTTACATACATGCAAACTTATCAGACCCTACATGGTTGGCTTCACAAGTTCCTTTAAATTAAATATGGTTTGTTTCAATTTTTAAAAATACTAATACTGTGTTTTCCAAGTAAAATAAATTTATATTATAATATCCCTTTATTTAAGAATGTACAGATTCATTATGTCCATTTTGCAGAAGAATAAAGGTTAAACTTTTATCTTGATTGAAAGTCTTTATTTGTATTAAAGGTTATATTAGACTGATGTACAAACATAATATCTTAATGTTATAGAAGCTTTGCTATTTTATTAAAACCAATGGCATTTATTGGAAACTTTATTTTAAGGAAATAAGTATATATAAGACTTTATGATAATGGCAATTATTATTGTGCTTGACATTTTATAAGGTGACTTTCAAACTCTAGAATTTATTCATGGTAGTAATTCATCATGTTTCTACTGCTAGATAAGCAAGTTTCTGAAGAAAAAAACTGACTTAAAAGGAAAAAAAGTATAGAAGACACAAGAACTTAATCTTTTTTCATCAATTTTTAGAACTGGAAAGTTTATAACTACCACAAATTTGTTTATGGTTATAATGAATTAAGTTTAACTAGTGATGTTACTTTTGTATCTCAGAAATATAAGAATTTACTTTAGAATTTTAATTTATACACACAATATTTGGTGTTTATTTTATTTATCTGCATGTTTTTTTTACCTATTTGCATGGAATTATACACAATTTTTTACTCAACACATTATACAGTTTTGTAGAATGAATAATAACAACAATTTGTGAGCTTTTTATTTTAAAGATATTTTATCAATTAATGTAATAGCATTGTAATTATGATAATGGATGAATAACTTAATAAATGATACTCTTTAACAGTCTGTGAAATTGGACTTTGTAATTTGATCATGTGAAAAAGCAGGGGAAAGATACACATTGGCACAATTTTCATTTTGGTTAATTCTTACTGCTGTAAGTAAAAATGTACCCCAAAATATGATTGAACAGTTGTTTTGGATTATAGATCTAGGTTTCTCTGAACATTTTTTTTTAAGATAAGAAGATTTGTCATAAATATTCATATTTTTTTCTAAAAGTATATCCAATTTGATGTTTTCCTACATTTTGCTTCTAGCATTGGATATTATTAATGTAATATCTTCCGATCATGTTTAACCTTTACCCTGCTGGAACTTTTACTGTTTAGCCTTTTGGTACCAGTATAAAGCCAGATCAACTGTTGGCACATAAATGCAGTCTGACCAGACTGTATGCTGTTGGCTGACAAATTTTTCATTGATCATCATTTTTGGATTGATGACAATTGAATTTTTATCTTGATACCTGCCAAATTAATAATAAATAACCAGTTCCAAAAATTGAAACTGGCAGCAATGGCTCCATTTTAGAAACTCAGCAGGTGAATGGTTAAGCAACACAGACCAGAACATAAGCTAATTTCACAGACTGTGAACATTTAAAAGAAATTATATTGTATTAATAAATAAAAAGCAGAGAAAAATATAGTACAGATAAAGATGTATAATGATGTTTATTTTATTTCCTGTGTAGGAGAGTGTTATACAAGGGGTAGGTGTTACATGCCTGATAGCTTCTAGTAATCAATGGTTGCCATGTTTGGTCTTATAAACACACTATTTTATCTTATCTTAACTTGCCTTTTTTAACGAAAATTTGTAATAATTTTGGACTGACAAAAAGTGAAAACATATGGAGAGACAGATTCCACTTTACCTCAGTCTCATCAAAGTTGGTTTTAGTTAACTTTTTCAGTTACATGTAGGTCTATTCTCTCAGAAAGCTATTCAAATTCACACAATGTAAATATGTCATCTCAAGATAATCATGAAATGATTTTTTGCAAAGTACCTAAATTAGCTCAAGTTAGTGTTTTTGTTTGGGTTTGTTTACAGGAAAGTTATTTTCTTCAAACTCAGTTAATAATACATCTATTATCAAAATGTTCTTCACTTTAAACTTTGTATACATTTACATGTTCACAATCAAGTCACCATTTCTAAAAGGCATACTGTTTGCAAAGTTTTGCACTTTTTTCACCTAAATTTTATTTTTCCACTTGTTTCAACTCGTAATTTTTTTAACCCTTTTGTTCAGATACATTTTTCAAAAACTTTAAAGATATCCACATTAGACTAATGGAATACTAAATTGATTATCAAACTGTAAATGCTTTCCTATTGGACAGGTAACCCTTTAAGTCGTTTTTGCTAAATTATTTCCCATTTTGTTACAAAGAATATTTCCCTTTTCTTACAAATTGTTAAAGGTTATCACTTTACAATACTTATAATGATGGTCAGGTAAATCTGCTAAGCACCTTTGCCCCCTTTTCTAAGCACTGAGGAAAGTGGAGTGTGTGTGCTGTCCTGAATAAGTCTTAAATGGAAAACATGAACTTAATTGACCCTTAGATTGTCTATGTGATGCTGTTTAAGTTTCGTTGGATTTTTTTTTAATGATGATTTTATTATGATAAAAAGAATTCTATTTTTAAACTAAAAGTGCTTTGCTGTGAGCTAAAATAATACACAATTTTATCAAAGCTTGCAGTTTTCATTTTATCCTTGCTCAGCTAAACAAAGTGTGAAACCATTAATTTTGTTTCAAGCTTTCCTCCTGGTTGATTGTATTTATTTGAAATTGACCAATGATTTGCTACCCATTTTAACTGGCTTCTACTGCCTAATTGATCAAAAAAGTAATCATTATTAATCAATGCTACAATTTTTTGTGTGGATTTGTTTGATACAATCAGTTTATTATAAATTGATAATTGAGCCACGTCATGACAAAACCAACGTAATGTGATTTCGACCAGCATGGATCCAGACCAGCTGCGCATCAGCGCAGTCTGATCAGGATCCATGCTGTTCGCTTACAAACTCTATTACAAATAGAGAAACTGATAGCGAACAGCATGGATCCTGATCAGACTGCGCGGATGCGCAGGCTGGTCTGGATCCATGCTGGTTGCAAACGCATTACGTTGGTTTTGTCATGACGCGGCTCACAATTATGTGTGTTTATATGGACCAAATGATCAGTAGATATGTTAGGAATGTTCCCTATACTGAATGATATACCTCCTTAAATGCAGGAATGATTAGTCTTGGTCACACTTCCTATATCTGCAGTGTAGCAATCTACCCTTCCTAGATTTATTTCATTGCAATGGTGTGGATAGAGTTAGACAAATAAAATAATGAATGAAATTGTCAGGGCATATAGTAAGAGAAAATTAACTAGAATTATTACTAAATTCTAATGCTTTTTAGTGGTAGCAGTTGAGAAATCAGTTTTGGTTTTATATTAGCTCACCTGAGCACAAGTTGCTCAGAGATGCGCTTCTGTGATGGCAATATGGCCATTGTCTTTTGTAATCCTCAATTTTTTTAAAACAATATCTTCAAATTTAGACCAAACAGTATTGATGTCAGTTGTCCTCTTATGAAAGTTATAAATGGTTTCAGTCTGTTGCATAGTTAAGTTACAAGAGCTGAAAATATACTTTAGAAATTTAACTGATACAATACCAAAAGAGTTTTCCAGATACCTAGCTTGAGCATCACCTTAATTTTAAAAAAATTATATCAGTCATGCCCCTGACTTAGTTTATACAAATCATATAAGTAAACAAATTTAAATGTTGTGAAAAAAATACAATGCCCAGATTATGTAGCAATTCATAGCATACCTATTAGGATAATTTTATAAATTATTCAACTGTGGTAAAAATAATACACCAAATGTGATCTTACTTCTGCATTGAAAATTGTAACCATTTCTTGCACTGGATTTCAAGTGAGCGATATATGGCAACCATGACTCTCTAGTTTAACTTTTGATATTTTAAGGAGTGAATATTGTCATTTGAAAAAAAACTTATTTTGAAGACATTTCTTCTAAAATGAAAACAGTTAACTTATGATCCAACATGACTAGGGGATAAGTTTCTTAATTTACACATCTGACACCTTTTAAATCTGTTTACCTGTAAATGATTTATTTTTGTTCATTAATAAACTGATCATTCTGTAAAGATGCATAGTGTTTAAGAAACACCTACCTGTCCCCACAAAACTTCACATAATATTATTATATGATTTTATGAAAAAGTAATTTACATAAAAGATATATCAGATTGTAAAGAATTTTGAATTTTTGCTTCTGTATACTTTGAAAACCAGACCTAAGATTTCATCATGGAATTGCTAAGTTGTACAAAAGTTAGTTTTCCGAGTTAGATTTTATAGGAACAGTGCTGTTGGTTTTAAAGTTTTTCCCTGACTTTAAATACAGAGTTGATTGTTTTATTAAGTAGATGTTTATTTCAGTGGTGTTCTAAATGAGCTTTTAGTTTGCCATGCAAAACATTATAATTGCTTTACATTCCCGGATTGTTCGATGATACTTGCATGTAAAGAATTAGTGTAAGCTATAGAATGATGTAAATCTGTCATATCGTAATATGGTGAAAAAACTGGTACCAGTAAATAATGAAGAAGTTGTATAATTAATTTCTATACAGTCATCGATTTAGCACTGGCCCGGTGGCCCATGGCTTGTAAAAATTAGTTTGGGCCAGTGTAAATAAGTTTCGGGCCAGTGTAAATTTTAAGAAAATTTAGTTAAATGTATAGTAGAATAAATTCTAGACTGGAATTTGGGCCAGTAAATTCAAAATCTTAAATTCAATGACTGCTGCATCTCAGGAAAGAAATAATAAGTAAATTGATTTAATGCATCCTAAAATTTTATTGAAATAGTCAGTTATTTTATTACTTTATTTAGGGGTTGTAAGTAGTAATGGCTTGTGCAATATGTATCTTTGCTGTAAAGTTACACCTCTATTTATTTGTATTGAAACTTAACTTGATTTCTCAAACTCTGGCATTGTGCTTTAAACTGGATAACTTTTGTTAGTCTTATACTTATAGACAATAGCTACATCATACTTGTACAGATGATAAAGATCATAAGAAAATTAAAAGTATTTAAGTTAATATTATGATTAGAAATAAAGTAAATTGACAATAAAACTGTTACCTAAGGTTTATTAGAAAATAAATGCAGCATATAAAATAATGCCTCATTACAAATGTTAAAAATTATGTTAATGTTATAATATTAAATTGGTCTTTGCTTGCCTGTAGCATTACTATATCTCTCTGGAGGAGTTTGACTTCCCACATGTTATGTTATGTTTTGTTTTACCACTTTTCTACTACTTATTTCTCCCTACTTTCTATAAAGGGCTACAGAGAGTTTTCAGGAAACAGCAAAAAGAAGGTATTGTAACCCCACCCATCTGCTGTCTGCATGCTTGTGACTTTACCCACAATGCATTTTTCCAGTGATCTTCCTCTGTACTTGCTTGACTGGTTTCGAAATACTATATTCATTGCCAAATATTTGGAAGAAAATGTTTAGAACCAGTTGATATTACCAGCAAGCATCTGCAGGAGGGGAGCATACATGTAGTTAATTAAATAAAAAAAAGAGAGTGATGTTGTGCTGTTGTTATGTTGATTTGCACGATAAGCAGCACAAACAAGTCCTGTAGATTGTTTTATAAAAATAGATATGTGTCTGCATTTGATATGGCAGCACTATAAACCTAGTAGATACATATTTTAGTAATAATTATGTCCTCCCCTAATTATAACTATAGAGATATGTAGCTTTGCATATGTTAAGTTGTTGGTTTAACTATTGCAGTCACCCGAGCGTCGGCGTCGGCGTAACCACTTATGTTAAAGTTTTTGTAATAGTTCAAATATTTTCAAAGTCCATTGACATATGGCTTTGAAACTTTGCACACTTGTTCAACATCATGACCCCAACCTGTAAACAGGAGGAGGTAACTCTATCAAGCATTTTGACAGAATTATGCCCCTTTTTCGACTTAGAATTTACGTTAAAGTTTTTGTAATAGTTCAAATATTTTCAAAGTCCATTGACATATGGCTTTGAAACTTTTCACACTTGTTCAACATCATGACCCCAACCTGTAAACAGGAGGAGGTAACTCTATCAAGCATTTTGACAGAATTATGCCCCCTTTTCGACTTAGAATTTACGTTAAAGTTTTTGTAATAGTTCAAATATTTTCAAAGTCCATTGACATATGGCTTTGAAACTTTGCACACTTGTTCACCATCATGACCCCAACCTGTAAACAGGAGGAGGTAACTCTATCAAGCATTTTTTTACTATCAAGCACTAAGAATAGTCGAGCGTTGCTGTCCTACCGACAGCTCTTGTTACTTTAATTGTGACTTGTCAAGTAATTTTTGGAGGGTATCTTTTAACTTGTATGTTATTGTAGATCTTTAGTAGAAATGTAATAGTTTTGTTTGAGTTCTACCGTAGATAACAAATGTTAGATGAACCTCTTTTAGCAACATTAGCTCATATTATGGCTCATAACAAAAGTCATTGATTTAAGATGTCCATTATGTTTTTCTCAATTATTTTAATTAGCTATTAATTTCAAAAGTTAAAAACATAACAAGCCAATATTCAGAGCTGGCTTATGTATAATTTTCTATATTATATATTCACAGAAGTCAAAACATTAGGCATCTGCTGTACATAATCACATGTAATTATTTACCAAGAAAGTTAATTCATTGTGTATATATATAGCCTTCTTTCACAGAGCAAAAGTTAACATTTCAGCTACAGTCAAAAACTATTATATATGAGATCTTTTGGTGGTTGGATACTTTTTAACCTTTTATTGCTTTAAGTTTAGTTAACCTCTCCCTAAAACCCATTCTTATTTATTGGATTGTCTTGTTGAAGGATTTATTTTATATTATTTTCTTATTACAATATAGAAAAAAAACAACACTTTTAATTTATAGGTTATGTATGAAATGTTATTATAGTCACTTTTATGTTATATTTTTTGACAAAATAACAATGTTGTTAAATGTATTAACTGAACATATTTCATGTTATATAACTCAGGGTTGATGTTACTTGTGTAAAACTCAGTTAACATAATTATGTGGCTGTTAAATATAAAATATTGATTATCCTACATTCAGTGTTACTGTATATAGCAAAATAATGTTCTGCATATTAACATGTGAACAGTAAAAGAAAGTTCTCTATATTACTATTTTTAAAAGCTACCATATATTAAGTTCTGTATACATATTAATATTTGTACAGCCAAATAAATTTCTAATTGTATTAATTATTTGTGTACAGTGAGTAGAATAATGTTCTGTTTATTAACATTTGTACAACCAAATGAAGTTCTGTATATTAATAATTGTACAGTCAAATAAAGTTCTATGTATCATATTACTAAAGTTTCAGCACTTGTACAATCTGTTGATTTGATTGTCTCATGTTCATCATTTAACTGTAGATTGATAATACTGTCATTACATTTTAATTTCCTTAGTTACTTTTCTATAAACTCATTCTTTTTTGCATTATTTCACAAGTTATGAAATAATCAACTCACTGCAGTATTTCAATCTACAGTATTTCTGTATTTCTGTTTGACTGTAAAATCAGTGCCCGAGTATATGAACAGTTGCATCTTTAATGAAAATTAAAGAAACAGTGTATTTTATTGAAAATATAAATATAATGGGATATTTAAACACTTGCAACAAAGATCACCTTTGGAAATATGCATATATATAGATCATTAGAATATACATGTCTCTTTTCATATTTAGCTTGTCTTTTCAAAGAAAAAATTGAGCTATTATGATCACTGTCTTGGAAAAAACTTTAATGTAGCCCATTAAAATGTTATCAAAATGAATATGGGAAAACATGTACTTGCTTATCGTGACAAAGTACAATTGTTAGACAATGGACAGACATATGAATTTTGAAAGTAGTATTTTTGGTGTTTTTCCACATTTATTTTTGCAACAGACGAGCGTTAACACTTCATGCAGTGCTCTTGTTAGTACTTATAGTTATTTAAATACCCATAGCACAGTATATATGGCAAGGCAAACTACTAAGTGATACAATTTGATAATTTTTTCATTCATCTTACATGTAGTTTATACTGAATATTTGGAATTTGAAAGCTAAAGATAAGAAACATTATTGTGATTACAGAGTAAAACAAGGAGATTACTAATGATTTGTCATTCCTTAGTGTCTTATATTTTCTCTGTACATTGCCATGTAATATAACCTGACAATTAGATGATTGCTTATTCCCTGATATACAATAAGTGTATAATGTTAATGGTCATCTTTAAACACTCATTGTTTATATTCCAAAGGTGATCTTTGCGAATAGTATAGAATATAATACAGAGGAAAGAAGGAAAATTCTTATCTCAGTGTACATATCATTGCATACATGTATGTGTACGTACACAAATTTATTGAATATTTCATAAACAGTATACTTTTTAGGAAATATCAAGATAAAAAATTGCAAAGGAATATCTTTCTTTATTTGGACGTTTGAATCTGAATGAACAGAAATTGTGATTTTCTTATAAAATGATATAAAAGAGTACAGGGTGACAAAATGAAGGTGTGCCCTATCATTGAGTTTACAGTGCAGTCATATAACTGTGTGTGCATGTATATACTTTCAGATCATCTTCACCTTATCTGTCTGTGGAGTATGGAAGGTATTTTAGTTCAATCGTTTGTTTTCCAGGACATTCTTATCTATATTTTATTAACAAATAAAAACAACAACGTATTGTTTTGTTTTGTTTATTCTTCGTGTATGTCTTGTCTTATAGCTTGCCATGTGGGGTTTGGAATGTGTTTGTCATTTTCTTCTCTCTTTATAAAGTCACAGACATGAATGTGTTCTTTGAGTATATTTTGTATTACAATTAAATCTGACTAATGTTCTGGTTTCACTAAAGCATGAGAATTTAAGCCCTTTAACCTGCTATATTTCTATAATGGATCTGTCCAGCTTTGAAACAGTCCATTCAAATTTCAAGATATTTCAGTATCAAAATAAAAAAATTGAGCTGCCAACAATATAAGAGCCTGGTGAGACTGCACGGATTTGCAGGCTGGCCTGGCTCTATACTGGTGGCAAAGACTGATCACTTTTAATTCCAGCAGGTAAAGGGTTAGTTTATTTCTTTGGCAATTTAAAAAAAATAAAATGATTTATTACCTTCTAATTTCACACAAACCTTTGACATGCTAGCAAGAAATTGATTAATTCCGTAAAGGACACATTCTGTTTGTACTTATTGAACCTGAAATGAAATTTAGAGTTAACAATGTTGATAAAATTTTAAGTCTCATTTTTTGTGGAAATTGCCAAAAATTAAAAGAATTGATTTTAGGTGGGAAATCATTGTTAAATATAAGACCTGAATTTCATTTCAGATTCTTTGTCTACAGTCTATGTAATGGTGGTAATGTTTCTTTTTTCAGATTTTTAACAGTCTGTATCAGTTTGTTCTCTCTCTCTTTCTCTCTTTATTTCAAGAAAACATAATCAGCACTTTACTTTGTGTTATCTCAAAGCAAAAATGGTTAATGGTTTTTACACCTATTGTCTGACTTTTTACACCTTGTTTTTAGTTCACCTGAGCACAATCTGCTTGGAGGAGAACTTCTGTGATTGCTTGATGTCTGCTGTCCTTTGTGCCCTGCTTTTCTTTTGGGTTCGTTGGGAGGATTTGGTTACAATAGACTTGGGACATTAAATAAAATGTTCCAATCTGATGCAACATTTGGTAAATAAGGGAGATTTTGAAAAAGGAATCCCTATATGCTGAAGTAACAAGATTTAGACCTAATGATTATATTTTGATGTAATTATGACATTTTCTAATGAGACTTGACAGAATTTATATAAATCATGCTCTATTGGGGGAAATGGAACCACTATTCTGAAACAAATAAAGTAAAAGTCTGAACAAATATCTCCTCTGAAAAAAAACCCAAAAAACTTGGGCTGTTTTGAGAACTTTGCATCTGCTATTCCATATCTGTACTCAGGTGAGTGATATAGACCCACTTGGGCTTCTTGTTTTACAATTTCACCCCACCACTGTTATTTGTAGAAATATATGGGGTAATAGAATGTCTTTTATACAGTTGTTATTATGTCCACTTTCAGAAACATGTCAAATAAACTGCTTAGTAAACAAATTAAAATGGTGGAAGATTCCGTTGTAAAATGTAGCCAGTTTCGATCTGCATCAGTTTTTGTAAACAAAGAAGTTGAATAAAAATGATCGATGAAACAGCTAGTAATTTTTTGCCTGCTAGACTAAATGTAGAAATGTGTTAGCAAGAATATGATTTTGTGTTGGGAATTATTTGTAATTTATGATATTTTTAACCTCATCTGTTAGTCCTTAAAGGTTAAATTTTCCAAATTAAGAAAAACATTCTACACCTTTGTTGCTTATTTATATATTTGGGACAAGATATTTTCTCACAAATAGTTCTTATTTAAGACTTAGTTTAAAGTTCAGAAAAAAAATATGCAAGATTTCTTTCATTTCTTGAAACGCTTTCAATATTATCTGTATTCAAGCTGGTTCAATGTTTAAGATCTATATAACTTATGCTCGTTTTGAAATTTAACTCTTTATATCATGTGACTTTAACAAAACAAAATATCAGCATATTGGCTGTGCAGTCTAACTTGTTTAATATGGGCTTACACTTTCAGTTCTGTGATAATGTAGCTTAACTATATATTCTGCAGAAACTTGTTACATGTTGGTCATAAAGCTTTCATTACCTTTTGGTAATGAAAGAGATGTTAAAATTTGATTGAGATTGAAAACTTCCTTATGTTTTAAAAACGGTCCGTTTTAAATCAAAGTTGTTTCTCCTTTTCAATTTTTGTCGAGCCCCCTTGTTGAGAGCTCCACATGGTTGTCACAATGGCAGTTCAGTGTATGTATGTGCGTCCAATTATCTGTCTGTGTCCATCTGGATTATGCTTGTCCGGTTGTAACTCTGTAGTAGGCAGAATTTCAAAAAACTTACCACAAATGTTTACATTAATGAGACCCTGTGTCATGCGCAAGAACATTGTGGGTTACTAAGGTCAAGGTCATACTTTAAGGTCAGATGTGTCAGCAGGCTCATTGACATACTGCCCTTGATAATCTAGTGTTATCTTGTGAGATCATTTTTCTAAAGACTATACTAAGTGTTCTGTTGTATAAAGGAAAACTTTTTTTGTGTGTTTTTTCTTATATATATTTTTTTCTAAATAAAAATACATGTAGCTATTGTTTGAGCTATATTTTTGTATACTCTTCTTATTATTCTGCAAATTGTTATAGGAACATTTTTGTGCCAAAGAGGTGGATGGAATGAATTCTTCATAAGATGTATCATGAATGATTTTCAGTATCTTACTTTTTACAATTTAATTACTAGCACAATACTTTTGTGAAAATAAGTACTTTATATACAGTGACTTTATTCCATGTTTATTTGTCTCTCTTGATCTTTCAGTCAATATTTTATATAGAATGTAATTTACCACCTGTTCCTAGCTTATTATTGTATGATGCATGATTTGTCGAGATAATTCACAGGCACGAAGCTTGCTCATTTTCCATACTACATTACACGTAATTCTTCCAGCCAATCATTTTGTCTTTCAGTCTTAGTTCCTGAACTATTATAGAAATGTGATTATTTTACTTTCAGCCGGTCCCCATCTCCGACATTATCATCTCCCGGGCCGCAGTCACCTACACTTGGCTTCAGTATTTCTATGAATGAAGTTATATCAGCTGATTCTGACGGTACAAACAGCATAACTGGGTCACATGACAGCCAGAGTCGGGAAGGATTTTATTTGTTGCGAAAAGACTCTGAGAGAAGGGCAACCCTTGTACTCATGCTTTCTAAAGAAAGCGATTTTCGTCGGGTTAGCTTTTGCATAATTTTTTTTTTTTAAACAAAGGTTGTTTTGTCACAAATGTTTATGTAGTATTAATTTTTAACTTTTTTGAAACATTTCGTAGCCTTATTATTATTATTATTATTATTATCACTTAGACACTTAATTAAGTTACTTTAAATGTTGGAAAATTAAATCAAATTTAAAATAAATTGGTAAAATAATTGTTGGAAAATTAAGTCATATTTAATAAAATAAGTTGATGCTAGTACTTGGTCAAAATCAAATTGATTTTAATTAAACATTTGTCTTAAACTGTTTATGTTTTTAGGTATTGATTTTTCCAACAATTGAAATCAAATAAATATTTAATGAAATGCTTACTTTGAACTGTTTAATGTTTTTAGGTATTGGAGACTTGGATGGAGTTGATTCACAGAGATGCTACCATATCTCATCCTAAACTTGGAAAGGTAATTGCACAACTAGTTTATATGCTGAAGTAGGAAAATAAAGTTTGACATCTCAAAGAAAAGCATTATTTTAGTTATTAAGAAATGAACATAAGGGGAATCTCAATTCTGGGATCATGTGTTTGAGCCCCACTTGGGTCACAACCATGTTACTACATGTACATATGACACCAGTACTGGTTGGTTCCAGGAAGCGGAGTTTAAACTAACATAGGGCTTAAAAGTTCTCTTGTACATTAAAAAATAAGCAATCAAATGACATAAATGATAAAGTTCCATATTGAAAATTGAGTACTGCTAAAGCTGGTGCTAGTGGGCGTTAGGGATGTTGCACTTTTTCATTATCCCTCATGTACAGATTCAATCAAATCAAGTCTGCAAATCAAGTAATTTTGTTGTGATTAATGCTTCAGAGGGATCACACTTCATCTAGACTTTTTTTCAGACTTTCTGTTGTTTTCAGGAACATTTGAGTACACTATTGAAGGCATTGTGTGATTACATCAGAGATCAGAACACTACAGTGATAAAAGATGCTCTAGGTATGTTATAATCTCTTCTTTAAAACTGCATGCCTCCAGATGAGCCAATTTTGTTTATAGAAAATTTATTCATAACTTGAGTAATAATTTACATGCTATATGCAATGACTTATTTTGCAGTATTTATCACCATATTTCTACACCATGACTAAAGCAGTAATGACTATTTTTGCATATTTTGACCTTTATTTGATTACCTATGTGGATTGAATTTGCTTTTACTTTCTTTGTTCACATAACAATATTTTACTTATTAATACATTTCCAAAATTTTCATGAAAATTAACGTGAACATTAAGGCATGCTGCTTTAATGTATGCAATGAAATTCTTAAAATTGAAATATATCTTGCGTTTGTATTAAATGAACTTTGAACACTTTCTTCTATATTGGAAGAATGACTCTCTTGCACTAAAGCTTAAGGAGATGCTCAGATGTATTAACTGTGGTGACTAGATAATCTTATATATATATTATCCAACTTGGGCACATGCCATGGGAATATCACTAATTATACTGTATGTTCAAGAAATAATATTTTACCAGGTTTTCTGATTGGGAAAAAAACTTGATTATTAAATTGGTGAATGTTGGCATGCAGGTGGGTGTTAAACAATTTCTTGTGCAGAACTCCTACATTTCTCAAGGGATTTCAACTTAATTTTCATATCAAGTGCCTTAGTACATGTTTACTAGATTTTCTCATTTGTTCATTATTTGTAGAATTACAGACCTTTGTTTTTTGTAGATTTGCCTATGTCTCTCCATCCATTCTCATGTTGTATGTACCTTTAAAAGTATTTGACATAGAGTCATGAAACTTTACAGACATGTTGATGAGCATGTTAAGTTGTGCACCTGGGTATTTCATGCGTGGATTAATTCGGTTTTGTCAGGGTTATTGCCCTTAATTTAATAAAAATTTGCTATTTTCAATTTGCCCAAAACATATTTGATCTAGAGTCATGAAACTTTACAGAAATGTTGGTCAGCATGCTTAGTTATTCATTTTTAGTTGGGAAATACCAAGATGTCAACATTGGAAAAATTGGGTATCGTTTTTATTCCCCCACCATTAAGGTGTAGGGGGAGTCATGTAGAATGTCCTTTGTCCCGTTTTCATACTGTCTTGCTGTATGCCAGTAGACAGTGGAGAGTGGGGGTAATCAAAGAGCTAATAAGGGCTGCTCAGACTTTGAAATGTTAATAAAGCATGTGTGTATTATATATATTTCAGATGTAGTAAAAGAGAAGTTAGAGTATGATCACACTGCCATGATGGAACTCCAGCTAGCGCTCTATGTTTTCCAGGAGGCCGTAAGATTTTACTTTAAATTCTTCTTGTTGTTTACATTCTTAAATGGAATATCTGAGTATTTTTGGTCATTGACTTCTAATCACTTGCTCACTACTGTGTGTTCAAATCCCACTGAGGGAGTTAGAGTTCAGTATGTGAGGAAGATATCTAGGTGGTATATAAAAGGTTGATGGTTCTACATAGGTGCTTGCTTGTGCCTGACAGAATGCATGAAAGGGGAATCTTAGATCTTTATATACCAGTAGAGCAACATAATCACTATATTACCATCAAAATACAACCACCACCAAAATAATAATTATAGGGGCACTGAGGTTTTTTGACATGATGGGAACTAGAAATATTTTTTGCAAGATTTATGTTCCATTTGATGTAGGTCTAGACCTGTAACTTGTGTGCAAAATTTCAGATCATTCGCTCACTCTGTTTTTACAGAATGAGCTAAAATTGAAAAAACATTGCACTGTTAAGAATAACTTAAATACAATACATTTTCAGTAGAGTTCCTTTAACAAAACAACATTTATTTAACATAATTGTTTACAAATTTGAGCTGAAATATCTCAGAACTATGTACATTATGAGACTCTTGACATTGTATGTTATGAAATTAATCTTGGTACTAAATATTGTCAAAGCTTAACCAGATCTGTTTTATTTTACCCAATATTGCCAATAAATGTGATACACTGATGTGCTGATAATGTTAAATTCTGCTAAATTCTGCTAAGAAGATAATTTGAGGCATATTGAGTTTTTTCTTGTGTTTGAGTTTTTTTCTTGTTTAAACACTTGGTGGCCTCCTTAAGGACTAGATTCTGGTTTATTGTCTGAAGTTACACTGGGAAATTTGATAGTTTGTCTGGTTTTTGCAGCAATTTCTTTACTGTTACTACTTTTCTTAGTGACCTAGGAAACAGGGAAAAAGATTTGAACTAGCTTTAATGAAATATGAGTTGGTATTTCCTGTTTGACAATCAAATTGTATTTTATGATTATATGAGCCGCGTCATGACAAAACCAACATAATGGGTTTGCGACCAGCATGGATCCAGACCAGCCTGGACAGTCTGATCAGGATCCATGCTGTTCGCTAACATACTCTATAACAAGTAGAGAAACTGATAGCGAACAGCATGAATCCTGATCAGACTGCGCGGAAGCGCAGGCTGGTCTGGATCCATGCTGGTCGCAAACCCACTATGTTGGTTTTGTCATGGCACGGCTCATATACCTTTTCATGAAGTTTCGTGCTTTTTTAAATTTCAGAAAATAAAAACTAAAACATTGAATATAAAAATATAGAATATTACCTATTATTATTTGATAGAATAGAAAAGTCTTCAATTGATTTTAAATTTAGATGATGAAATAGAAAAATAAGAAGATTTTTTAGTGTAAAATGAAATAAAATATTAAAATTTGTCAGGGAAAAATGAAATTATTGTAAACAAGAATGTGCATATAAAACATATACATCTGTAGTTTGGAGTCAAATCCACTGCCTGTAGTTACCATAATGAATATTTTTCAATGAAACTTATAATAAATACTGATATTTATAGATACAAAAAACACATTTTGTTACTGTTTAAAATGATACGAGGGGCAATAAAAGCCCTTTGCCATAAAAAAAAGAGTCAGACTAGCCTGTACTTGTACACTATGTATGTGACCTGACTTTGTTCTATGGACTGTTCAAATGTATCACAATATTTATATCCATTGTTCCAGCATGAAACATTAAGCAATGAACATTTCAAAAATCAAAATAATGCAAGTCTGTAAACACAGGGGTAAAGAGGTAAGGAATGAAGATAGAGATGGTAATTTAAAGTTATGAAAAAAAATCTGTATTTTATTATAGGTGAGTATTAACATGAGAATGAGGGATATTCAGCCTCACTGGATGTTTGCATTAGACAATCTTCTTAGAAACGCAACACAGGCAGCTATTACAGTACTGTCACCAGGTATGCTACTTCAGATCATTTATACCATAATAGGCATTTAAGTTAGATTTAGTTTTTGTTACTCGACTGCGACTTGGCCGTGACTAGAATTGGGCTTGAATCCTTCATCCACGGGTAGAAAGGCAGACACCTTAAGCACTAGTCCAATACTTCCATTGATAAGCTTTTATGCATTGGTTATAAGTATGTTATGTTATGTTATAAGTATATACTGTGAACTAAATATACTGTAAGATTTGACAAATTTTGTATAGATATCAATGTTGAAAATGTCAAAGTTAAATATGATGGTTTATTAATGTTACTAGCAAATTCAGTTGATAATATTAGTTCTTCAAGGTATTAGAGTGGTTCCCAAAGTAAAGAAGACATTCCCTGTTTTAGAGTACTTAGCTGTTAGATTATTAATGTGTGTCTGAAATATTGGTACTTTCACTTATTTGGACGTCTTGGTCAGTCAATTAGTCAAGGCAATTAAGTAAATTGCTAAGTAATTCTGAAGGGAAATTAAAAAAGCAAACTTTTATCCAAAGTGCAGTGTTATTAAAGAACAATCAAATATTGCCCGACCTTAATTTTACTGCGTACTAGAATAGCGTAACTTTGTCATCCAGAAATGTCAATGTTCTGTGTATTATATTTCACCTGATAAAAGATGTTTCCTCTATGAATCTTACTTTCTGCAAGAAATTACTACAGACAAGAGTAATAATCTTTCATGACAAGTAACTGAATATTTTATTTTCTTCTATAGATGGAATTTAGTCTTTTAGAGGATGAAGAAGATTTCTGTCTTAAATTGGAATATAGTGATTTTATTTTCTATATTTTATTAGTGTTTGCAACTTTGAATTAGTGAAATTTTGCAATTGAAATGTTTAAAAGTGTGTAAATATAAATAAACATACAAATATACAACAATACATGGAAATTGAATCCGGTAGACAAAATGAAGTTTTGAGGAAAAAGATTTTGTGGACTTTGTTATGTGAATGTTATTGAAAACAAATTTCATTCTTATTCACATCTGCCAAAATATTATAACTTTTGAAAACAGTTTTGAAAAATTCATATTCCTGCCAGTTGCCTACTCAGTGGCCTACAATATTATAAAGAATGTAAAAAAAAAAGTGAATACAAAATACCTTATGCATATAGATAAGAAATATATATCAAAAAGAAAGATAAACAGAACTTTTCCCCAATTGTATTGAGTTATTTAGATGTTTTCTCCTTACATGTGATGAGTTTTGAATATGTTTATTATACATGTATAATTGTATTGTGATGTGTACGTAATCATAGCTTCACTTATTGCAGACATAATATCATTATGATAAGAGAAGTACATATATAAGGTGTTGTCTTGGATTTCATATCTTGGGTCGCAAAATGTATTATCAGGTTTTTAGCTCACCTGTCACAAAGTGACAGGGTGAGCTTTTGTGATCGCTTTTCGTCCGGCGTCCGTCTGTCCGTCCGTAAACTTTTACTTTAAATGACATCTCCTCATAAACCACTAAGCCAATTTCATCCAAACTTCACAGGAATACTCCTTTGGTGGTCACCTTTAAAAATATTTCAAAGAATTTAATTCCATGCAGAACTCTGGTTGCGATGGCAACCGAAAGAAAAAACTTTAAATATCTTCTTTTAAAAAACCCAAAGAGCTAGAGCTTAGATATTTGGCATAAAACATCTTCTAGTGAGTGTCTACCAAGTTTGTTCAAATAAAAGCCCTGGGGTCAAAATTGGCCCTGCCCCAGGGGGTCATTGATTTTCTCTATATGCATATAGTAAAAACTTAAAAAATCTTCTTTTAAAGAACCCAAAGAGCTAGAGCTAAGATATTTAGCATGAAACATGTTCTTATGGGTGTCTACCAAGTTTGTTCAAATAAAAGCCCTGGGGTCAAAATTGGCCCCGCCCCAGGGGTCATTGATTTTCCTTATATGTGTAAAGCAAAAACTTAAAAATCTTCTTTGAAAAAAACCAAATAGCTAGAGTTTAGATATTAAGCATGAAACATCTTCTAGTGAGTGTCTACAAAGTTTGTTCAAATAAAAGCCCTGGGGTCAAAACTGGCCCCGCCCCAGGGGTGTCATTGTTTTTAACTATATGTGTATAGTAAAAACTTAAAAAAATCTTCTTTTAAAAAGCCCAATGAGCTAGAGCTTAGATGTTTAGCATGAAACATCTTCTTATGGGTGTCTACCAAGTTTGTTCAAATAAAAGCCCTGGGGTCAAAATTGGCCCGGCCCCAGGGGGTCATTGATTTTCCCTATATGCATATAGTAAAAACTTAAAAAATCTTCTTTTAAAGAACTCAAAGAGCTAGAGCTAAGATATTTAGCATCAAATATGTTCTAATAGGTGTCTACCAAGTTTGTTCAAATAAAAGCCCTGGGGTCAAAATTGGCCCCACCCCGGGGGTCATTGATTTTCCTTATAATGTGTATAGCAAAAACTTAAAATCTTCTTTGAGAAAACCCAAATAGCTAGAGTTTAGATATTAAGCATGAAACATCTTCTAGTGAGTGTCTACAAAGTTTGTTCAAATAAAAGCCCTGGGGTAAAAATTGGTCCTGCCCCAGGGGTTATTGATTTTACTTATTTGTAAACAAAATAGCTAGAGCTTAGATATAAAGCATGAAACATCTTCTTGTGGGTGTCTACCAAGTTTGTCCTGGGGTAAAAATTGGCCCTGCCCTGGGAGGTCATTGTTTTTCCCTATCTGTATATAGTAAAACTTAAAAAAATCTTCTTATAAAAAAACCCAGAGCTAGAGCTTAGATATTTATCATGAAACATCTTCTAATGGGTGTGGGGGGGCTATATACAGGTGAGCGACCTCAGGGCCATCATGGCCCTCTTGTTTTGTTTTACATTTGACTCCTTTGCAGCATTCTTTTTCAGAAAAAAAAAGCATAGGAAAAAAGAATATTGTGTTTGACACAATTATAAAATATGTCTCTTAATTATTTTTTTAGGGAAAACAAATGGGTTCAACTTTTACCACAATTCGCATACTATAAATGATGGTGAGACAATATATGGTAGAATTTTATACTGATGAATTTTCTCTGTAAATAGACTATTAGTGAGATATAGCTAATACTTGACCAATGTTATTTTTTTTCTACATTTATAGAGTTAGGAGCAAATTTAGCTGGTGATGCTGATGACAGGGACATGGGTACCTCAGGGGTGCCCTCAACAACTTCAGGAAAGTCAGCAACAGGGGTGTATAGGAAATCAGTGAATATGGAAATTAGAAGCCAGTTAGAATCATCTGAAGATGAGAATTTATCGTAAGATTTTATATGAAATTATGTATGAACATTATTTAGGCCAAGTTCTTGTGGTTTTAAAATTCCTGTATGTTGTAATTAAGGATGTAACAACACTTAAGTGAAATTTTATATATGTATAAAATTATTCTTCTAAAAAAATTTTCAAACATGCAAGAATATGTTAAATATGTACTGCAAAGGTTTATAAGCATTATAAGTAATCATTAAAATGTATGCGTTCATTTCTTATTGAAAAATTTGGCTTAGACTTTATCGAAAATAAATTTCTAATTACCTCCCTTTAATTATATGAAATGTAAATTCGGTAATATCTTTACAAATAAAACTTTTTGAACATTCAATATTGATAAATCTTCATTTGAGCATCATATATATGATATAAAACCTTAAAAAAATTGAGTTACAGGATCTTTATTTTATTCTCATGAAAGATTTAATGTAAAATGCTTTTAGCTTCTATAGATTCTTAAATATATAGGTGTTGATATTGAAACAATAAATATGTCTCAGATAACCAAAGATATGTGAAGTCACTGTAAACATGTATAAGAAATTAATAATTGTAGAAATATTTTTTGAAGAAGAAATTTAGATATAATCAGGATAGAATAACAAGTATAAAAATGATACATCTATTTGGAACACTCTGTTAAAATTTGAAAAATAATAATATAACCTGGAAAAATGATGCTTCAATTGGAAAACTATTACTTTAATTGGAAAATAATACTTTAATTGGAAAGGTAGTTGGTAAAATGTGATATATTTGCTTGTAAACAAGAGGCAATAAGTTTAATAGAAGCATGTGTCTGGTGCCATGTTTTATGTTTAGGTTTCTAAAACAACTGAGTTTTGAATTTGCAACACTATACACTCTTAAAAAGACAATGTTAGACGATTGCTGTGATACTATCCATAATGTAAACTTTTTAACAAAATACCTTAAGTACATTGTTATATACTGTTTTATACTCAATCAAATTAAAACCATGAAACAAGTGATAGACTTATAAATCTTTATTTTTGGCATAACTGGCTAAGAAACATCAGACCAAATGAATGATTATATGATAAATATAACTAAAACTTGAAATAAGACATAAAACATGTTAAAACCATTAAGTCTGGTGTAGTCCGAGCCAGTATGTCTCCTTCTTTCTTGGTATTGGCTTACGAGCCTAATCCCCATATACTGTCTAAGTTATTCTTTTTTTAAATGTTTACTGTTCTTCCTATAATAATGAATGTTTTCAGGTTGTTACAAGAATTGTTAGAGGTACAGAAAGCTTATAATGATCTGTTGAAGAAATCCATAACTGAGAAGAAGTTGCAAATGGAAGTATTGCAGTGAGTATAAATCATCCTTACTTCATACAGTGTCAAGCTAATCTTTGTCAATTGTTGACTAACTTAATTGTTGTACAAGTTCTATTAAAATCAACCACTTGCCCCTCACAGCTGTGGGTTCGAATCCCGACAGGGACTTTGGATTCTTTCATGTGAGGAAGCTATCCAGCTAGCTTACGGAACATCTGTGGTTCTTCTCAGGTGCCTGTTCGTGCCTGAAATAATGCACCTAAGGGCACCTGAGGTCTTCCTCCACCAGTAAAGCTGGAACGTCGTGATATGACCTATACTGTGTGGATGTGACGTAAAACCCAAAACAAATCTATTAAAATCACTTAGACTAATCAGCACACATGCCATATCTGTGGGTTTGAGTCTCATCAGAATCCTTTATGTGAGGAAGTTGTCAAGGTAGGTTCTGAAAGGTTTGTGGTTCTACTCCAGTGCCAGGTAGTGCCTTAGATAACACTTAAAGGGATACCTGAAGTCTTTCTTCCTGACAAAAGCAGGACAGTGGTCACATGATCATTACAATGTCAGTTTAAAAACTGATAAAATTCTCAAATAAACTAACATCGTCATATGTGGAAACATAACACAGAATCATATGTGGAAACATAACACAGAAACAATAAAACCCTCAATCTCTTGGTTGAAGGATAGGCACCATAACTACTTGGCCTTTGTTTAACCTACTCATGAAAAGTGAATTTTTATTTAAAATTATTCCGGTAGAATGAGTGCTGTTAAAAGTCGACATTTTATAAGGTCTGAATTGATCCAGTTGATGACTACGGTGTATTAGTCATAACATTTTAATGCATTTTGTGAAGAAATTAATTGAACTACATTTTATATATTTCATTTGTTTTACTGTACAGGTAATTTTCAATATTTGTTAAGTTTTCTTAAAAATATTATACCAAGAAATGATCTTTTGAGATATACTGTTTTTAATTGCAGACAAGCATTAAGTGGTCAGAGAATAGTTGGAGCATCAAGCCCAGGTCCGTCACCAATGACACCTGCTGTAGTGATAAATGAACCACCAGATGAACATTTGGTACAGTGGTTGAAACAGTGTAGAATAGATTCCAATTCCAGAGATCAGGTATGTTATATCATTCTATTTCGTCAAAACACTTTCGGTCTAAATGAGAGATAGTACTGCGCATGCGCCAATTCAGTGTGCTGCATGCCGTCGTGAGGACGACACGCTAAGTCATATCAATAATTTGTAAACGCGGTTTACAATAAGATTTATCGAGTTTTGTTGCTTAATATCGGATATATTTTGAGTAATATTCATCAATTGATTATCGGACGACGTTCGATATTTATATTATTGTGTATTTTGTGTAAAAATAGGATTTTTCGTTGTAACACGTGGTGTTCAACATAAAATAATGGCGGAATCAAGTAAGAAAAGTCTCGTTTAATTTTCCAATTATGCTGCAAACTGTTTTATCATTAAAAGTATGTGATACACATGCCAGCTTTATGTGGTGTAAGACACTCATCTTTGCTATTTCTGTTCTTTATGCAAATAAAATTAGCACATCATTAAGGTAAAAAGCTGTCAAATATCTATTACATAGAGAGCTGTTGTAGGGTGTATAAAAGTAGTTATATAGTTGGAGTTGATGTGGGATACATTTGCAAATATAGCCAGAATGAGGTCTATATGACCCAGGGCCCCATTTACTCTGTAATACACCATTACACACTTGAGATTATGACATTTTCAGTTTGTTTTAGGGTTAAAAAACTTACCAAACTTCTACCCTCAGAGTGTTAAGTCCATGCATATTCCAATTTTGGTTTAGTACACTTTTTTGAGAGAGTGGTTGTCATCAAAAAAGGTGATGTCATTCCTATTATGTCACATAGATTTACATTAATCCTAGTTTATATGTTTATTTTTCAGATTATCAATGAACAGTATACATTAGATGACTTGTTGGAATATGTTACATTAGAACAGTTACAAAAACTCAATATAAAGTGAGTTCCTTACTCATATATAGATATACATATTTTTCTTTTATCCATTAAAATAATAAGTTTGAAGGGTTTAAAATAAGGGACGTTATCTCCCTGTGTGTTAATTACAATGAAAGTATATTTCATCTTTACACTTAAATTCATTTTGATTAATTATACTAAGTTGAATACATACTGCAATAGGATTTCAAAAGTTTGAGTAATATGTTTTTTTAAGAAAAACAGAAAATTTTATCATTATACATGTATAGGCATTATACACATATAAAAGGAAAGATGTTGGTAGTATTTTGGTTTTTACAGCTATTCATTTAAATACATGTAATTGTTTATACATGTATATTTTTTATGTTACAGAGGCGGCATTGTTTGTAGAATATGGAGAGCTATACAGGCACATCGTGCTAAACATAAGAAAACTAAGAGGTAGCACTGACTCACACATTCATCCTTATACTTGTCTATATTTGTCCATCCATCCCACCAACTGCCAACTCTGTGTGTGTAAAGAATCATGATAAATATACAAAGTACTCAAAACAAATACATGAACTCCCGCTACATGTGTCAACTTCTTGTGTATAAAAAAAAAACATGCATACAGTCATGGAATTTTAAAACACATTTTATGTGCATGTGTGATACTCTATAGCATACCTTGAGATGTTTTATATGTGTTAAGCATGGATGTTATACCATCATGACTTGTGTGGGGGCAATATAAGCTACCAGTCAGAGCTAGCTGGCCTGACATGTTGAGTGCCATAATGTGAAATAAAAATAATAGGCACCTGGATACTGACTGGGATGCTGGAATGTGCATAATAATTGGGCTAAAACAGCTCCTTATGATTGGTTTGAAAATAATATGCGCAATCTAAACTGCTACAGTTCTGTTGAATCTATAATATAAAGGCACCAAGCTTCATACAAAATTTTCACCTGGAGGTGAACTAAAATAAAAACTTGAACAGTGAATTTTTAAAATAGAAGTCATGATTTATGGCTTGAATTACTGTCATTTGATGTTGATGTAATTTGAATTGAAATAACCAAAAAAAAAGTGCAGGCACTTGGGATATTAGAGATGAAAAGGATAATTACATGGCTAAAATTGTCTAACAGCAAAATTTACAGTTGATTATGGAATTTAAACAGAACTGAACAAGAAAAGTGAAAATAGTTTCAATTATTGTTCTTATTGGCAAACTCGCAACATTTGATTTTTTAAGATCGATAAAAATATAAATGAGCAAGGTGATATCGCCGATAAAGATTATTTTACTTATGTATGTAATTTGTTTTACAGAGTTAGCTTCAAGTTTTAAAGTTTTGTCTATTTTTATATTGTATGTTGAAGTCTGGCTCTGTTAAAGAAATAATGATGCTTGATAAGAGAGTACCTATATGAAAATAATGTATTTTAACATACAGACAGTGATCCTATTCAAATAATATTTATTGTCAGACATTAAGTGAAAAGGAAGTCATACAGAGTGTATGGAAAAATAGAAAGTAAACTTATCACTTTTCTTCTGTAGCTACGCATAAAAACAAAGTTTGTTCTATTTTTATTTTTATTTTTTTTCAAAATGAAACTTTACTTTTCACCCTGTATGATGCATCAGAATTTCTTTCTAGAGTTAAGTAGCATAGTTTTTTCATAGAATACATTTTTAACATACACTTTTTCTGTTTGTAACAATCTTAAATGAATTTTTTGCATTTTTTTTATCATGATTTTATATCATTATTTTGTCATTTTTTTTGTCAGTTGTTAGCCCTGTTAAATGTTTATAGTAGAACAGCTCCCATTTATTGTCCTGACTTGATTTTATGTTTTAATTTTTTTTTATTATTATTATAATGTAACTGATTTTTAATGTTTAGTGCAATACTGTATTGATTTATTTTATTGTATTTTTTTTTTATTTAATTTTGCCTGTTTGTAGTAATAATTTCATTTTAGCTATTTTAGTGGTTTAATGTTTTACAGTCAGTATTTTATAATGTCAGTGTAAACACGGTCATACCGTCAACATTTTTATATTTGATCACTTTTGTTGATTTTTTTTTTATTTTACTTTTCTCCCCTCACAAGTAATTACAAGTGCTTAGTTAAAATAATTTTACGTCATTGGAGACACTTTAGGTCTTGGTCAGGATCATGCTTCTAATGGCTGGGGATATTGCCCATAGATAAAATAACTCGAATATTGTTATGATAACCAGTGAGATACTGGGTTTTATCAGTGAAATAAAACCGATATCACTCATAGTATATCACTTGGTGTCTTAGTGTGAGTGACAAAGCTTAGCAGTACTCCTTGTGCTGTGCATGATGCCATAAATTTATGTTAAAATTAATTGTTGCATTTGGTTCTTTATGGCATATTTCTTGATTAAAAAATAATTTCATTAAATTTGCTTAGTTACATTGCAAAAATGACATATAAAACTTTAATAATTTTTCTTAATGCAACCTTTGAGTGCCTGATGTTATCTTTTTATTTGTGTCTTTTTCCTGCACTTCCTCAAAAACAATTGAAAAGTACTGTTTAATTAGTTATAAGGCATAAAACAAAAGAGATTTTTTTTTTGATTTTGTGAATTTGGTACATGTCTCGCATCAAAGTGAAAAAATATCCATGTTATCACTGTCTCTATGTTCTTGTGAAAATATTGAAATTTTCTCACTCCTTTAAGCATATTCACTCAAATAAAGTTATCCTCTATATTTTCACTGGATGAACAATAATTTGGCCTACATAAGTGCTGAAGTGTGTAGTAAAATATTTTTGCGGAGTTTTTTATTTGACAAAGTTATTTAAATCAAAAAGAAAAACATATAAGATATTCATTGCTTATAATTATAATATATTATTAAAATAATTGTATGTGTAACAGGTTTTACAACATGTCAATGATGACAAAATATCCAAATATAACGAATCAGCCATGCTTTATCCAGAATGTAGGACAAAACCCCACACATCAAAACCCCACTTATGTCCACTCTATAAAATCTAAGGTGTGGGGTTTTCCCACTGTAAAATTTATGTGTGGGGTTTTGTCCACTCTATAAAATTGAAGGTGTGGGGTTTTGTCCACTCTTTAAAATTTTGATGTGTGGGGTTTTGTCCGTCTTCAGCTTTATCCATGTTTTGTGTATGTTTGTTTCGCACACATCGTTTTTTGTTGATTTGTGCTTTTATATAATCAGCCCCTGATCTCAATTTTTTTTCTTGTGGAGATTATGTTTTTGGTGATGTGCAAAATATGCTTCTGTAAAGAAATGATATAATATACATAAAGACATTCTCTCCCCCGATATACATGTATTGTATCATGTTGTACATGGAGATAGTATTGTCTTGTGTGTGATATTGATGGGGCATTGTTGTGATATTGGTTTAATTGTTAGAAATATTGGAAAGGTGTTTGTTTGTCTTAACTTTATCGTACATGAAATATTGGAAATCGTGTGTGTCTATAAAAATATATTATAAGTTCATGTTTAAGAGGGGTTTGTTAGAAAAGGTGACTACAGCTGTTGCACAAACATGGGTTAAATGAGAAAATTATGTGTAAAAAGAAATAGAAGAAAAGTGTTACGTTGAATTACATCAATGCTTTAATGTTAAACTTGTTACTGAAATATCGAGAAAGACTAATTTGTAGAATTAATAGTTTAATTACATTCAAATTAAAATGATGATCTTAATTTGTGAGTAGAATATTTAAGTGACATCATTTTTGAAAAATAATGTTTTTTTGTTTTTTTTTTTTTTTTTTTTTTCAAATTTCAGCAAAATTTATGATTGGAGCATCTGTGAAGTATTTTTACATTGAAACCTTTTTCTTTTCCAACTTAAAACATACAAGACATAAACTCCAATGTTGGTGCATTGTTTTCCCAGTGCCTTTTGATGGACTTGCATGCATCAGTAGGTTGCAAGGTTTACACTTATTTCACCTCTCTGTGTCAGTGATAAGTGAATGTTCATATATCCAACCCTTAACCTGCTGAATTTCTTAAATGGACTAGTCCAACTTCCATTTTAGAACTGTCCATTACCAGTTTAAGGGATATCAAGATGAAAATTTAAAGTAAGTCAGCCAACAATATAGAGATCAGCCTGGTCGGACAGCATGTAATGTGCAAACTGGCCTGACTTTATACTGGCAGTAAAGGCAATTTTTTTCATTTCCAGCAGGTTAAAAGTCCGTGGCCGAGTGGTTTAGGTCGTTGACTTCAAACCACTTGCCCCTCACAGCTGTGGTTTTAGAATCCCGACAGTGACTTTGGATTCTTTCATGTGAAGAAGCTATCCAGCTATCTTACAGAAGTCGGTGATTCTACCCAGGTGCCCGTCCGTGCCTAAAATAATGCATGGAAGGGCACCTGAGGTCTTCCTCCACCAGTAAAGCTGGAATGTGGCCATATGACCTGTAATGTGTGGGTGTGACTTGAAACCCAATTAAACAAACAAACAATCCAGCAGGTTAAGAGTTTTAAATACATCAATCAGGTCTGGAGTTGGAATGTTATCATATTTTATAATTCATTTGTAAACAATAACTATCCATTTGAAGTTGAAATGCCACATTTTATAATGTTAGTTCATTTGTAGAAAAAAATAACTATCCATTTTAAATCACATATTTTATTTTGATATATAAATAAAACATTTACAGCATTCTAAACATGTTTTGAAAATTTTGCTCACAGTGTACGTTATGTTTATATATGCATACCTTGTTTCTGTTTAGCCATGTTTAACTCGTTTATATCATCTTGAATACAATCAAGCTTAAACCTTCTCTGTCATTAACTTGCTTTGTAGTGCTTATTTGTGAATAATACACATTTGTAAGGTTAACTTGTCACTATTTTATTCTATTTAATTGCTAAAAAAACTAAGGAAATGTCACTTGTTGAAAGCGTGTTATTTTAAAGATCATTATAAAATATTTTATTTTTCTCTCCTCATAGTGATCAAATGAATTGAAAATTGTTAACAACACAAATGCAGTGTATTTATTTGTGATTAAGGGAGTTTGTCTGTTATATACAGTTGTATACTTCTTTTGGGTTTTAATATTGAAATTATTAAAATACATTGAAGCATATAAATGTACATGTACTTGTTTACGTTTCATCATTTATTGACAAGATTTTAAATTTCATGTTAATGTAGCTCATGTTAACTTTTTACAAGTTTAGAATTTAACATTCTGCCTCTGCCCATCTTTGTAAGGTGTTATGAGGTAATTTACATTAGCCACCCTATTGTATTTATTGTTAAACTTTAACTATTTTTTAAAAAAAGCAAGTTTACTTGTGCCTTTTCTTAATTACCTAATAATCTTATTTTTACAGAATGTTCTTTTTTAAATGTGTATTTAAGTATTTGAAATCTATGTCATTTTAATTAGATTTTTTTTTTCCATGTAGAATATATATGTTTACCAATTTTTACAGATAGGAAAGATACTCGTAAGCTGAATAGGGTGCAAATCTTGGCCTATTGGAAATAAGACTATATTAGGAGTTGTGAGCTCAGCACTATTTTGCCAATATTTGTATTCCTTCACTTCAAAACTCAAAAAGCTTTTTCGCATAATTAGAAACTTCTACTTTATAAATATTTTTTTAGTATTGATAAACAGAAATTCCTTTAACTTTTAATTACCAATTTCAAATCTAAAGTATGTTAAGTCTCACTTACACAATTCAATTGGGAATGAGTAATGAAAAGACTTGATATTTATAAGAAATTTTTAAGCTTTGAAAGTAACAATTTGAATTTCAGTCCTTTGGTAGAAAATTTATTCTCTGAATGACTTGAATGAAAGGAATAATATGATTAAAAATTTCAACACTTATTGATTAATTTTTGGAAAATTGATATGCTGATAAGTACAACATTAAACCTGAAACAGAACAAATTAAAGATACATGAACTATGTATATCATGCAAGTATCTATAGCTGCTACTTTGACCTTACAACATGAGTATTTCATGTATATTCCCTTTACTGGTCATCAAAAAGGTTCTTGTAAAGGCATTAAGCTGTAACAATGCATTTCACAATATGGATGATAACTTAAATCTTGTGTAATTATACTGCTGAACTTCACTGTAGAGATAGATATATTGATGTAAATATGATTACAATATGTAATATACACTAGCCTCTCTTACATTCCTGCACAGATTACATATATATTGGGCTAAACAGATGTTATTTATATTCACCTGCACAGATGTCATCTGTTTACATTAGCTGCCCATTATGGCATGCACAGATGTCCTATATTGGTCTGTACATGTGTCAGCTACATTGTCCTTTATGGATGTTATCTGTATTTGCCTGCACATACATTGGCTGCATATTATGGCAGGCACAAATGACATCTTCTATATTGGCCTATATGTGTGTTGTCTGTATTGGCCTTTATGGATGTTATCTGTATTTGCCTGCACAAACATTGGCTGCATATTATGGCAGGCACAAATGACGTCTTATATATTGGCCTATATGTGTGTCGTCTGTATTGGCCTTTATGGATGTTATCTGTATTGACCTTTTCAGATGACATCTGTATTCACCTGTATATTTATCATCTTTATTCATCTGCACAGATGTTACCTTTATAGGCCAGCACAGATGTCACCTTTATTGGCCAGCACAGATGTCACCTTTATTGGCCAGCAGATATTTCATCTATATTGGTCAGCACACATGTCATCTGTATTGGCCAGCACATGTCATATATTGGCCAGCACACATGTCATATATTGGCCAGCACAGATGTCATCTATATTGACCAGCACACATGTCATCTATATTGGCCAGCACACATGTCATCTATATTGGCCAGCACACGTCATATGTAATTGCCAGCACAGATGTCATATGTAATGGCCAGCACAGATGTCATATTGGCTAGCTCAAATGACGGCTTCATCGGCCAGCACAGATATTAATTTATTTTGGCCTGCACAGAATGATGTCACCTATAATATTGCCATCATTGTTTTTCTTGCCATTTCACAAAGTTAAACATATTTATAACTCTCCTTCTATACAAATTGTTATGTTTTTCACTTAGTGTTTTATCAATACAAACTTCCAAATAGAATACATGATTATTTCCAGAATCAGGAATAGTTAAGTTTTTAAAAAAACACACACCCACACAGTGAATTATTTTTAAATATCTTAAATTGGCTCAAATTTTAGTTTAAACTGTATTGTTTTAACATGTATTAAAATTTTTTATGTTTTGTTGTTATGGGATGTTTTGAATTGTACATTTATTTTGATTTCACATTTTAGATTGTGTTATCATTATTCTTATATCATTAAGTTTGCCTAAATTTGTAATGTATGTTGGAGTAAATGATTTGAGCCGCATCATGACAAAACCAACATAGTGCGTTTGCGACCAGCATGGATCCAGACCAGCCTGCGCATCCGCGCAGTCTGATCAGGATCCATGCTGTTCGCTATCAGTTTCTCTACTTGTTAAAAGATTTAAAAGTGTATAGCATGGATCCTTATCAGACTGTGCGGATGCGCAGGCTGGTCTGGATCCATGCTGGTCGCAAACGCACTATGTTGGTTTTGTCGTGACGCGGCTCAAATGATTTATCATTTTGAATACTGATTAATCATATTAAGTAAAACTTTAAACTATCATGATTAATTGTTTGACTTAAATGACATGTATGAAGAAAAAATAAAATCTATTTCATATATAGCCTCTTTGATATTTTCTGTAATGACCTACGGATAAGCTGTGTATCTTGTCAACAACATTTCACCACTTACACTTAGACTGATGTGAGGTGTGTAGGTGTTAGAAATATTCTCCTAGTTATAACACATGAAAATACTATCTGATATGTGTGTGGGTCCACGAAGATAACAGCTTGTAACACCTTGGGGATTTATTTTTATTCACACGTAAAACACAATGTAGTTTTATATTTATATGTGATTGGATCTTTCTGACAAAACCATGTTTCTGTATCATATATCTTCAGGCATGTAAAGCATTACAAAAGTTGTATACATACTTAAACAAAATTTCTTTTTTTCCCATTCTTAAATTATGAAAGGCTGGAAGAACTAGGCAAATTCAGGGTAGTAGTTTACTAAAAATCTAACTTACAACCAATCACAGGTTTCCAAAATTCATAGCAGAGGATGTAGCAGAAGTTACTTAATTTGGTACTACATCCTATGCATGTTGTCAGGTCACTTCACTCTTGTGATTTGATCAGCTATTTTTGTATAAAGACTGTGGGTCTAAAAAGAGATCTTTTTCACTGTATTTATTTAGTTAATATTTGTCAAAAAAAGCATTCTTTCTGGTGGTTTCTGTGTTAATCAGACCCTTTACCTCATGAGCATATTGTGAAAAATGGCCGTTTTCATTGAAAAGCCTCTTGTTACAAGTTCAAACTGCTATGAAACTGTGAAAAATGCTTTAATACTAATGAAACTTGGCACAAATGTTGACTGGACCATAGCCTCTGTATCAGCATGGTCAATCTGAAATTTTTCTGTTACAATGGCAACAGGGGGTGTTTCAAAATTGCCAAAAATCACTATTTTGCATTGGTTTTTTCCATCAAAACTGATTTCAAAGTGCTACAACTTGTCAATGGATTGAGATAGAGTAAAAGACTTCTCAGTGTTGGTTACATGTTACCTTACAATCAACCTGAGGCTATTTTAAGCCCGTCACATGTTTAAAGTTTTCTTTGCGGTGAGGGGTACTCACCGCCCCCCTTCAAACCCCCAAACAGAAGAGGGCACATCCCCCTTGATGTACCTTTTTGATGAGGGGCGACACACTTTTTAACAACATTTCTCGAATGAAAAACAGTGTTTGGGGCTTAAATAGGCTAATTTTTCACTGTTTGAGGCCTCAAAAAGGGACAGGGGTGGTCGAAAAAGTCCTCAAAACACATCTTTATCAGGTAAAGGGTTACTTCATGTTAAAAATGTAGATTCTAATTGGTTGAACAAATTTGTGGGCAAATTGTCGAATTCATGTACCATTGAGCATTTTCAGCTTAAAAACAGCATAATTTTATTCATATAATGAGTGTGCAGGTAAAAACAAACTATACCTGTATTTTCGTCAATGGATGGAAATGTGCCCAAATGAAATAAGGAGCCATTTCTCTTGTTCTTTTCTTTAGTTTAACATAGGGCCATTGACTAATTATTTTATTGTCACAGAATGAACTTGATTGTTCTCATTATACCCCCGCACAACAAAGTTGTAAGGGGGGTATACTGGAATCAGCTTGTCCCTCCGGCTGTCCGTCGTTTTTTTCTTGTCTGCCCAATAACTTAAGATTCCTTTGACCCACAGTCTTCATATTTGGCATGCAGGTTAGTCATGATAAGTAGATGACCCCTATTGATTTTGAGGTCACCAGGTCAAAGGTCAAGGTCACAGGGGCATTGACTTCAAAATGCTTGTCCACCCAATAACTTAAGATTCCTTTGACCCACAGTCTTCATATTTGACATGCAGGTTAGTCATGATAAGTAGATGAACCCTATTGATTTTGAGGTCAGCAGGTCACAGGGGCCTTGACTCTAAAATGCTTGTCCACCCAATAACTTAAGAATCCTTTGACCCACAGTCTTCATATTTGACATGCAGGTAAGTCATGATAAGTAGATGACCCCTATTGATTTTGAGGTCACAAAGTCCAAGTCACAGGGGCCTTGACTTCAAAAAGCATGTCCGCCCAATAACTTAAGATTTCTTTGACCCACAATCTTCACATTTTGCATGGAGGTTAGTCATGATTAGTAGATGACCCCTATTGATTTGGAGGTCGCCAGATTAAAGGTCAAGGTCACAGAGGCCTTGACTTCAAAATGCTTGTCCGCCCAATAACTAAAGATTCCTTTGACCCACAGTCTTCATATTTGACATGCAGGTTAATCATGATAAGTAGATTACCCCTATTGATTTTTAGGTCACCAGGTCCTTGACTTCAAAATGCTTGTCCACCCAATAACTTAAGATTCCTTTGACCCACAGTCTTCATATGTGACATGCAGGTAAGTCATGATGAGTAGATGACCCCTATTGATTTTGAGGTCAAAGGTCAAGGTCACGGGGGCCTGGACTTCAAAAAACTTGTCCGTCCAATAATTTAAGATTTCTTTGACCCACAATCTTTATATTTGGCATGAAGGTTAGTCATGATAAGTAGATGACCTGTATTGATTTTGAGGTCACCAGATCAAAGGTCACAGAGGCCTTGACTTCAAAATGCTTGTCCGCCCAATAACTAAAGATTCCTTTTACCCACAGTCTTCATATTTGACATGCAGGTTAGTCATGATAAGAAGATGACCCTTATTGATTTTGAGGTCACCAGGTCAAAGGTAACAGGGCCTTGACTTCAAAATGCTTGTCCACCCAATAACTTAAGATTCCTTTGACCCACAGTCTTCATATTTGGCATGCAGGTTAGTCATGATAAATAGATGACCCCTATTGATTTAGAGGTCACCAGGTCAAGGTCACTGGGGCGTTTACTTCAAAAAGTTTGTCTGCCAAATATCTTAAGATTCTTTTGACCCACAGTCTTCATATTTGGCATGTAGGTTAGTCATGATTATTAGTAGTAGATGACCTTTATTCATTTTGAGGTCACCAGGTCAAAGTCACAGGAGCCTTGACTGAAAAAATATTTTCCGCCCAATAACTTTAGAATCCTTTGACCTAGAGTCTTCATATTTGGCATGGATGTTAGTCATGATTAGTAGATGACCATATTGATTTTGAGGTCACTGGGTCTAAGGTCAAGGTCACAGGGCCTTTAGTTCAAAAAGCTTTCCGCTCAATTGCATAAGAATGCTTTGGTGAACAGTCTTCATATTAAGTATTGAGGTTGGTTATGACTATTAGATGACCCCTTTTGATTTTAAGGTGACTGTGTCAAAGGTCAAGGTCACAGGGGCTTTTATTACAATAAGCTTTCCTGCTCAAATGCTTAAAAATGCCTGTCCACAGTGTATTGAGTTTTACATTTTCACATTTGAAGCATATAATTATGTTCAATATTCATCATAAAACACCTCCAGGCAAGGCTGCAAGGGTATTGAGGTCAAAGGTAAATGTCACTTTGATCTTTGCCACTAAAAACATAACTTAACAATGCTCTCAGATTTGGCTGGGAGGAGGTTGTCCTTGAGCTCTAAATGACCACTGTTGAGTCCGACAAAGTGGTTTGCGGGGGTATTCAGGCCATGACAGTGGCAGTTCTAGTTTTGTTCTGTTAACAGTTAAATTGGACAACGCCATAGTTTAATTCCTTCCCTGAAAGTTTTCCTGCGTAAAAAAATCATACAGCCACTGTTGGACTGGGGCAACACACGACTTTTTAGTGGTGACATGGCCAAATGGTCAACGCGTCGGACTAGATATCTAAGAATTGCTGACTGCATGGGTTCAAACCCTGTCAATGGCAATGTGTTGTTTCCTTGAGCAAGAAACTTTACATTCATTGTTTCATAATGGCTGGTTCCAGGAACAGATCCGAGACTGTTCCAATAAGCTTATAGTTTCCAACACAAACTAAAATAGATTTGTACATTTATAAACTAAACTCAAGGACAAGAAGTAAGTTACTTTTTCAAAATATTATCTAGGTTCAATCTAACTTTACATCTAAAAGTGTGCATATGCTCCAAATTTCACAGCTTTACATCAAAGGGCAAGATGGTAATTTTGTCAAGTTATCTAGGTCAGTTGATATCACAATTTTACATCTTAAACCGTGCACATGGTCCAAATTTCATGGCTGTACATAAAAGAACAAGAAAATAGTTAAAGCTAAATTCAATATTTGACCTTGACTATCACTGTCATTTATAGGTTAAGGTCATATCTGAAATAACTGAACATGTCTGTTTTGTTATAAGTGATCTTTTGCCCAACCATGAAACAAATCCGTAAATAAATAGCAAAGTAATGGCCAATTGTAGCAAAAGTCTCTTATTTGATCTTTAGTGTCAAGGTTAAATGAAGATCAAGTCAATCTTCTTTGATGTCATGTCCCAAGGAATATTGTTCCAAGGAATGTAAACAATCCAAAATGAAGTTCAAAAATTAATTTGACCTTCAAGGTCATATAATGAGTCAAGGTCATATTGAGTTTGATCTCCTATTAGACATTGTCCAGAACGTTGTTGTGCTCAAGCATGAAGACAATCCATAAGCAAACAACAAAGCTGTAGCCAATTGTAGCAATTGATATTGCGATTACAAGCACATGGTACTTTCTGCCACTGTCGATCTATTTTACCTTGAAACAGGAAGTTTATATACTGTGATAAACAACAGTTATAACCAATTATAAGAAAAGTCAAGCCAAATTCAAACATTTGAATTTAAAGGTCAAGGTCATTTATGAGTTTAGTATTTTCACTGTATAATCATGTTTTCATGAACCATTTTATAAATATATTTTACATTCACATTGATAATCAGTAAAACAAGTACATTAGAATTTTCAAAATTAAATGACACATTAATTGTTAAACAAGTCATTTTATGTCTTTAAGGCGATTTATTTTAATTGCTTCTCTTTATAATTACATAATGTCAATAAATGAGAACTTTCTTTTTAAACTTTTCAAATTCCTTTGAAAAGGCTAAGCTAAATTAACAAAAACAACAATGCACAATTCTATTTTTTTATTGAACATAACAACCAAATACCACATGTATTCTGTTATCTTTTTATACAGCTGTTCATGTTCTATTCACACATTTTTCAAATATATTGTACTTCAAAATCAATATTATTTAGTTATAAAAAAGGTTAAATGTATCTATTGGATCCGATCTTTTAAAGGAATATAGTTTGGGGGATAAATATCTTCATCATCTGGAGGTATGCCTAGTTCTTCATCTGTCCATAGTGACGGCTCCATCTTTGGAAACTCGCCCTGGAAACAAAGAAGTATATTATATTATCAGAACAAGAGGGCAATGATGGCCCTTTTAGACTCATCAGATGATAAATATAGATAGACAAGATTTAATTATCAGGAAATACCTTTGAAATTGAAAAACTATGCACTTAAACTTGGCTAAGAATTGCATAAAAAAAACAATATTCAATTTAAATGTGACTGAGTATATTCTTTATAACACTTTGAAGATTTTTCCATCTTAAAGCTATATATCTGATACAAAAATTATTGTTTGAATTTTAAAAAGGAATACTGCCAAAATGCTTGTATGAAATAAATATGATAATTAATTGCCTTAAAGCGAGCGGCTCATGCACAAAATCATTGCTAAATGGATAAAATCCTACTTAAAATAGCAAAATAATATTCTGTTCCGGATTATTTTATTTTGTTTACGTACAATATTCATGTGTGTTAGATAACACAGACTTTCTATGTTAAAACTTTTTTGGGAATCAACCATTTAATAATGGAACCAATATAATTTTACTGTTGATAAATTTTATAAAAATATTTCATAAGATATAGATTTATACCCTTTAATTAAGTGTGAAGAATTTCAAATTTTATGTTTTGAGACTTTTTGACCTCAGTATAGCATTAATGATCAAGATTAAATGACACAAGTAAATACATGTTAACAATTTCTAATTGGAAGTCATTCATAATACACTTTGATGCTAAATACAATATTATACCCGATGTAAACTGCATCATCATGTATATAGCAAACTCTAATTACCCAATCAGGTTACTTGGTTTGTTTTTATATGCCCGAAAGAATTTCGGGCATATTATGTTATACCCCCTGGCGTCCGTCTGTCTGTCTGCCTATCCGTCCGTCCCTCCGTCCGTTAGCAATTTGGTTTCCGGAGCATAACTTAAGTTCCATTTGGCCCACAACATTCAAACTTCATAGGATGATTTTCCATATTGGGTAGTAGACCCCTATTGATTTTGGGGTCACAAGGTCAAAGGTCAATGTCACTATGACCTTAAAACTGAAAACAGTTTCCGGATCATAACTTAATTTTTATTTGGCCGACAGTGTTCAAACTTCATAGGATGATTGTCCATATTGGGTAGAAGACCCCTATTTATTTTGGGGTCACAAGGTCAAAGGTCAAGGTCATTATTACTTTTAAACTGAAAACAGTTTCCGGAGCATATCTTAAGTTCAATTTGGCCGACAGTGTTCAAACTTCATAAGATGATTTTCCATATTGGGTAGAAGACCCCTATTGATTTTGGGGTCACAAGGTCAAAGGTCAATGTCACTATGACCTTAAAACTGAAAACAGTTTCCGGATCATAACTTAATTTCTATTTGGCCAACAGTGTTCAAACTTCATAGGATGATTGTCCATATTGGGTAGAAGACCCCTATTGATTTTGGGGTCAAAGGTCAAAGGTCAATGTCACTATGACCTTAAAACTGAAAACAGTTTCCGGATCATAACTTAATTTTTATTTGGCCGACAGTGTTTAAACTTCATAGGATGATTGTCCATATTGGGTAGAAGACCCCTATTGATTTTGGGGTCACAAGGTCAAAGGTCAAGGTCATTATTACTTTTAAACTGAAAACAGTTTCCGGAGCATATCTTAAGTTCAATTTGGCCGACAGTGTTCAAACTTCATAGGATGATTGTCCATATTGGGTAGAAGACCCCTTTTGATTTTGGGGTCACAAGGTCAAAGTCACTATGACCTTAAAACTGAAAACAGTTTTCGGAGCATAAAATAAGTTCCATTTGGCCGACAGTGTTGAAACTTCATAGGATGATTTCCACATTGGGTAGAAGACCCCTATTGATTTTAGGGTCACAAGGTCAAAGGTCAAGGTCATTATTACTTTAAAAATGAAAACAGTTTCTGGAGCATAACTTAAGTTCCATGTGGCCGTCAGTATTCAAACTTCACAGGATGATTGTCCATATTTGGTAAAAGACCCCTATTGATTTTGGGGTCACAAGGTCAAAGGTCAAGGTCACTTTTACCTTAAAACTGAAAACAGTATCCGGAACGTAATTTTAGTTCCATTTGGCCGACAGTGTTCAAACTTCATAGGATGATTGTCCATATTGGGTAGGAGACCCCTATTGATTTGGGGTCAAAGGTCAAGGTCACTATTACTTTAAAACTGAAAACAGTTTCCAGAGAATAACTTAAGGTCTATTTGTCCCACAATATTCAAATTTCATAGGATGATTGTCCACATTAGGTAGAATACCCCTATTGATTTTGGGATCACAATGTCAAAGGTCAAGGTCACTATTACTTTAAAACTGAAAACAGTTTCCAGAACATAACTTAGTTTCTATTTGGGCCATAGTGTTGAAACTTCATAGGATGATGTCCATATTGGGTAGAACACCTCTATTGATTTTGGGGTCACACGGTCAAAGTTCAAGGTACCTTTTACCTCAAAACTAAAAACAGTTTCCAGAGCATAAGTGAAGTTCTATTTGGATTGCTATTTGAAGGAGGTAATACTTTATTTAATTTATGTAATGTCTTACAAATGCTTCATCCTTAGTAAAGAAAAAACACTTTCGGCATATAATGCTCCGCCTAGCGCTGCTCTGTTTTTAAATGTCAGCATCAGTGATTATTTTATATGATGATTTATGATAAATAAACCTTGTTTTTAAATGTTAATTAACCATATAAAGCTTCATTGTATATCCAGGGTTCGACATTAACGGGATCCCGGGATTCCGAGGATCCCAAAAAGTCGGGAGGAATCTCTGTGATTCCTTGCTGGTGATTCCGTCGGGATCCTTGAAAAATTGCTGTGTAAATTTTTTAAATTGTCTGAATTAATATCATTGAATCACAAATATTCAAGAAAAGTGTAAAAAAGACTGGCACAACTGCAAGGTTCAAGAAAGAAAAGAAAAATCCCGCTGGTAAAATCTACGCTCTTGTATCATGTACGCCAGTTTTCCTTTGTGCAGTGACTGCTATCAACTCATTTGCGATATAATATGAACAATATTTTGGCTAAAGAAACATTCTTGAATAATTTTATATCGTGCATTGACTTCATAATATTAAGTTGTGAACATTCAAAAAAGAAATGTAATTATCGTATAATTATTACACAAGCGGTGTGTACTTCAAATATGTGCTGATCGGCGTTGCCGGCGATAGCTACAAAGTAGACAAGTGTTTGTTATTGTTTGTTTTTTGTGCCAAAATTCGGTATTTGTGATCATTGTAAATTTTCGTAAAAAATAGAGAAAGAAAAAGATTACTGATGTATTTTTTTTCTCCCTGCAGTGCAGTACAGCAAAAGTATGATTAATAAACAGAATACAAATAATCCATACTTTTCAGTTTAAAATCCTTTTTGAAACTCTACAGCCTTAAATGCTAAAAAATATTGTCTAACTAAAGTCTGAAGTGTTCTAAGGTCAATCAAGGTCACGCATAATTTACCGACAGAAAAATAGAAAAATCCTTAGGTGAAACATACACCAAATGACGTATATTTCATCTGACAGTTCTTTCAGCCAATCAGTGTTTTGAACTACTGTAGTCTACATGACTGCTGTATGCGGTGAGTGCCTTTGATGTGACAGGTGTCAAAACTTTAAAAAAAATCAATACACACAGTCTGACAGAGAGGAAAAGAATCGGACATTTCAGTGTAAAAATTGAGAACAATAAATTTGGATATTACACATCCTGTCATGGACTTGGAGCAACTTTTTATTTTTAAAAATGAAATCATTTGAAGGTACCCTACTTGTAATGCAAATAAAACTTTTTTCTGAGTAAAAAAATAACAAAATATTTAATTTACAAAAATCTATGGGATATTTCCTTTTAAACAAAAAAATGTACAGTAAGCTGAAAATCACTTAATTTTTTAAAGTGATCATAATTAAACATTTCTTTTCAATGACATGATAGTAAATATTTTCAAAAAGTTATCCATACCAGAACTTACTGGAATATGGATCCTAATCATTCATTACCTGTAATTTTTTAAAGATCTACAGATCATAAGTGGGCTCTATTTCAGTGAACCCTAGGCTATCTGGGAAAATGTTTCCCCAGTTCATACTTAACTTCAAAAGTTCAAACCCTAAGTCCCGTTGCCCAGTCACTTGCATTATACCTTCATTTACAGAAACTGGTTCACCAGGGAGAAAACAGGATTTAGCAAAATTTGTATTTTCAAATCGAACTCTTGTTCAGTGAGCTTAATGTTATTCTGTTTCTGTGCATGTAAAATGTATTATGTTTTAATTTATCATAGCGGTCAAATTATATATATATACTAGTAAACACTTTGAAACACTTTTAAAACTTTAAACAGCAATATTTCCAGAGGGCTTATAAACTACATTTTCTGCATCTGAAACAAGGAAATATATATCCTGTATGTGGTCTTAAAAAAAAGAATTTGAAATCGGATTGCTGCACTCCCTTGTTATTCTTCGCCTTCATATTTTACTATTTTGATCTGAGGAATCCCTGACATTTAGGAGGAATCCCTGAATTAAATCTCAGGGATTCCTATGGGATCCCTTGTAAAAACAGTTAGTGTCGAACCCTGATATCTAATGAAATAATTTATAAAAAATGTAAATTGATGTTGTTTCTATATCTTTATGGTAAATTTTCAAAAAGAGTTGTAACATAGAATGTTTCTTTTATCTAACACATGTGAAAAATGTAAGTGTTCCAGAACAAAATATTATGCTGCTACTTTATAAGGTTTTTAACTCATCAGCTATAATTTTGTGCATGTGTTATTTACTCTAATTGAAATATACCAACATAATGCTTTCATACAGGTATTTTGGACTTGTTCTTTTTCAAAATTTAAACAAAAATTTTGTAACCAGCAGGTAGCAAATTTATAGCTTTATACATGTACACTATAAACCAGTACTATGCTATTATTCCATAATTAACTGCATCATATCAACCTTTAGAAAATAACACTGGTGGATAACAAATAGTACCGGTATATCAGATAATAATAAGATTTAATTTTCAATCTGACATTTGCTTCATCAAATGTAAGAGAAACCCCGAGAAGAATACTGGTAAAGAACATCAACCAGATTCTTAACGCCCAAATTTTCAACGTCACCATTATTGAAATAGACATTAAAATATTATCATTTACGGAAGTTGAAATAAATTTAATTAATTTATTATAGTAGAAACATGCATCTATAATTGTTGATAAGAAAGTGACTGAACAAAGAAAGAAAACTAAATTAAGCATTTTTGGGGCTGTCTGGGTTTGATGGTGCCCAACCAGTGTAGCATACTTACTCTGGAATTTAACATATTTTTGGTTTTCCCAGCTAATTTTGGAGTACAAACTTTAAGATTTCAAAAATAATTGGTACAGATTGACAAAATCATACCAGACAGTAGTGTACCCTGAAGTTTTAATGGTAAATTTGTACTGGGGAATTAGCTTGGAAAACCCAGACTTGACTAATTTCGGATAACAACTATTGTATAACTATTGATTAAATTTGTTAACTTACTAAATAATGTTGAGGATGACGGTACATGTTATACCCTATATATGTAGTGACAACGGCGGGAACTGCGGTACATAAAACCACTACCCAAGGAGGGAAATAAGTTAGTTGTTCTCTGTATGTCTGAGGTGCATCAGCATCCCATCTGAAACACAAACATTTATATGTATAAATAAATGTATTCAACACAGAGCTCCAGATAGCGTGCGTATAAGCGTAAAATACGCATAGAAAATCTAAAATACGCATCACTTTCAAAATTTGTGCGTCACAGTTACGCACAACAAAATGAAAATACGCTTGTATGTCAAAAATTAAGTGTGAAAGAATTGAAGTGTAAACATTTGATATTGAGAAAGAGGATGTTTTGAGCATAAAAAATACAATATATTTCCATTTTACTAAAAATTCTGTTGTCAAAAACGAAAGTAGCAGGAAGTACAGAAGGGAGGTAACTCCCATAGATCTACCTGTGAATTTATTGATAAAATTTGTACCAGATAATCATCGTAGTCGTTAACATAGTATAAAGATTGTTTAGGCATCTATTGACATGCTTATGACTCAATATAAACGAAAATATATTTTAATTTCCTTCACTTTTGTTTTTGCAACAAAATAACATGTTTTTCACCTGCAGTTTTGTACTCAATATTTTCATACCCAGTCTGCATTTACGGACAATTTTCTCTCAGACCAATACTTCTTTTTAGGAAAGATAAAAAAATCTTGTTTATTATTTTCTAATTCTAATTTTAACAATAATTGTTCAGACTGGAGTACATGATAAGGTACGTGCCAACAGAAATAAAGAAAGAAAAATATTGACTCTTAGAAAATAAAATAATTTCAGTGCTTCCACTAGTGGAAGCTAAGGAGTCATTTACTCCTTCATTTTGGCCTGTGACTTCCGGAAATCTAATACGTTTCGTTCATTACCTATATAATGTGACTTCCATTATCAGAAATTTTGAAGTCTTTTACTTCCAAATTTTGAAAAGGGAAGCCCTAATAATTTTGCTGTGTATCCTAAACTTGAGTTCCAGTATACTCTGAAAGTCTGACTTTACAGGGCATGTTTTGTATTGTTTCACATTGAATCAGTATTTTATTTGTAAAGGTTTTTCTAAAAAAAGAAAAATAAACAAACAAACAAACAAACAAAAACAATAAGTTTAATTTATTTATAAAAAATGCAAAATGCTTTTTTGACAGATTTTACCCCTTACGTTTTTCAGATTTTGCATTTTACCCCTCACTCAAAATTTTGAGGGGTAAAAACCCCTTGGCCAAAAAAATTATCTGGAGCTCTGTCAACAACTGTTCAACCCTTAGCTAGTCCCAGGGATTTTTTCCAGGATTTTGGGAACATAACCCATACTCATAGAATTTGGAATTTCAGCGATGTTTAGTTAAAAAATTGGGAAAAATGCATGACTGAAATTTTGCAGTGATTAAATGTATGCAAACAATCACTGTCTAGGATGGCATCTTCAAACATTTAAGCACTATCACAGTGAAGAACTCTGAAGCCCTTATTTTCAAAGAATTTAGAATTCTTTATTCAATATTTTTATTTTTGTAACATTCAATTGGGAATATTTTTCTGTGGATTGGGAAATAATATACTATTTTCAATTGGGAATATAACCCAATAACGGCTATAAAAAAAAGCCAAAAAAAATCCCTGACCTGTCCACAGGAGCCTGACATTCTATAAATAATTGAAAAATATAAGCAAAAAAATAAGAAATAATGGCTAATATAACCCTCTTTACTATAAACAAACACTTTTATAGTATAAAGGGTTATATTTGCCGTTATTTCTTTTTTTTTTTTTGCTTATAATTTTCAATTATTTTAATATAGAATGTCTACTGTAGCTCCTGTGGCTAGTCAAGTTATCAGTCAAGATTTCATTGATTTAACATGGATATTAGCATGCGAGACGACACATTATCAGCAGAGAGAATTCTCTATAACTTCTTAATATTAATATCTACTACATCCGCTGTACATAGAGAATAGTATCTTACACTTACAGCCCACATTCACTCTAATCATCTAATGTCCGAAAATTGTATTGTATCCGAATACAAATCAACCCGGACAATAAACAATTTCAAAATAATTGTTAAACACTTAACATATATGCATGGTATACTTACATTCCATTTCGTTTACTATTTTTATTAATGTTCTTTGCCCGACATAATGGACGCCCTACACACCGTGAAATCCGGAGAAAAGACATAATTTCTCCTCAATGTCGTTTCACGGTGAATATGTACAAATAGCCCAGTACAAAATAGCACATTTATTTCGTGCAGTAGCATCGTAAATTGCCTGAAGTAGAACACTAACATACAACCCCAGAATGACACAAATAGTGAGTGTGAATATTCACTTGTTTCCTTTGTTGTCCAGGGTGTATAAGGCCTATGACATGTCCTAGCAAGGCACAATCTTGAACTTGTTTTACATTTACATGCAATCTAGATCTACATGCAAAAAATAGCATGGAAAAAGACTTTCTTAATTCTACTTTTTCAGAAACCTTGAGAACAGTAAACTGTTGCAGAATTCTTTATAATTATTATATTGTGGTAGTTTAGTTCACATGGAGCAACATGTTTTTGCCAAACTTTTTTAACTTTAGACATTCTAAAACACGACCCTTTACTAATTATATAATTATAAACAGCCTATTATAAAAAATCAAAGCACAGAAGGCGCTGAATTTGTTTGGGTCTCAGAATGTTTGTTTGTTTGTTTGATTTTACGCCTTTTCCAACAGTATTTCAGTCATATAGGCGGGTAGTTTCCTAACCATCGTTCCTAGAGAGTTACACCAGTACTAGACTACCTTCCCCCGCGCTAAACTACCAATTAAAGCATCTCCCGGGGATCGAACCCACGCCAGAGAGGTAACTGGATTAGAAATCATCGACTCTAACCCCTCGACCACGAAGGCGGTTCGTCAGAAAGGTGAAGTTTGTGAGATTAACAGCATTTGCAATTAACAGCATCAGGGTCTGAAATTTCGCTACCAGACAGGTAATGAGATTTATCTTCCTGTTGATACCTCTTATGGTTTTACAGCTATGTCCCGTCCGAAGGTCAACGTGAAAAAACGAACGTAAGGCAATAACTCCAAAATAAGGCAAGGCAGAATTATGGTTCTTTTTTCACTGCACTTCTTCCCAGTGAGATCTAGCTACCTACAAAGTTTCTTGTGGATACCTCTTATGGTTTCAGAGCTATGTTCCGGACAATGTTCAAAGAGACAATAATAATAATAATAAATAATGAACAAAGGGCAATAACTCCAAAATTGGGCGCGGCAAAATTAATGTTCTTTGCACTGCACTTCTACCCAATGAGATATATATCTACCTACAAATGTTTAGGTTGATATCTCTTGTAGTACTTGAGTAATATCCCGGACAATGTTCAAATTGTAAAAATGAACAAAGGGCAATATTTTTAAAATACGACAAGGCAGAGTTACGGTTCTTTAGCAATGCACTTCTTTTTTAAATGAGAAATATCCTCCTTAAAAGAATCATATTGCTATCTCCTGTAGTATAAGAGTTATGGTCCGGACGAAGTGATCAAAGGGTTATAACAGGACAAGAGTTATGGTTCTTTTGCACTGCGTTTCTATTTAATGAGATCTATCTACCTACAAAGTTTCTTGTAAATACCTCCTATGGTTTCATAGCTATGTCCCGAACAATGTTCAAAGTGAAAAAATAAACAATTGGCAATAACTCCATAATCAGACAAGGCAGAGTTATGGTTCGTTTGCACTGCACTTATACCCAATGAGATCTAGCTACCTTTAAAGGTTCAGGTCGATATCTCTTATAGTACTTGAGTAATGTTCCGGACAAAGTTCAAAGTGTAAAAATGAACAAGGGGCAATGTTTTTAAAATACGGCGATTTACGGTTCTTTTGTAATTCCCTCCTTTTCATGAGATATATCTACTTACAAAGTTTCAAGTAAAATAGTTATGTCCCGGGCGAAGTTCAAAGTGAAAAAAAATGAACGAAGGTCAAAAACTCCAAAAGTAGCAAGGCAGAGTTAAGGTTCGTTTTGCACTGCACGTCTTCCCAATGAGATCTAGCTACCTACAAAGTTTCTTGTGGATATCTCTTATTGTATCAGAACTATACCGGACAAAGTTCAAAGTGAAATAATGAAGAAAGGGCAATAACTCTAAAATTAGGCAAGGCAGAGTTATGGTTCTTTTGCACTGCACTTCTACCTAATAAGATCTATCTACCTACAAAGTTTCAGGTTGATATCTCTTATAATACTTGAAAAATGTCCAGGACAAAGTTCATAGTGTAAAAATGAACAAAGGAAACTACAATTAGACAAGACAGGGTTACGGTTCTTCTGCACGTTTATGAAATGAGATCTATCTGCCTACACATTTTCTTGTTGATACCTCTTATGGTTTTAGAGCTATGTCCCGGACAAAGTTCGAATTGTAAAAGCGCATAAAGGACAATAACTCCAAATATAGGCAAGGCAGAGTTACACTTTTTTGCACGTCATTTCTATTTAATGAGATTATTGCTGTTGATGTCTCTTATGGTTTTACAGCTAATTCAGAGCTGCATCAGTACTAAGGGTGTAGTACTTAAGTACCAGTACCAGTACTTGGCAAATTATGCAGTAGCTGTCAGCTATGTCCCGTACAAAGTTCAAAGTGAAAAAAACTAACAAAGGGCAATAACTCCAAAATTAAGGGAGGCAGAGTTATGGTTCTTTGGCACTGCACTCCACCTCAATGCCATCTACCACTGTATGCAGTTTAAACAAATTATGTCTAAGGGTTTCTAATTCGTGCTCCGGGAAAACGAACAGTCAGACGGACGGACAGATGGACAGCCGGACATGGCGTCGACTATAAGCTCTTCCTTCGGGGAGCAAAAAAAAAAATGGATGAGCCAAATTGGACGCGTATACAACGCAGGTAATGCACCACCAAATTACTACAAGTGAACAGAAATAACCGATAGAATATTAATTGATATTCATTGGACTAGGTAGGCTATGGAATTCTAGTTCTTTATATTGATGTTAATGAATGATGCAACGAAATGCCGCCAGAATGCGCCACAGACGCTGAAACGACGATTTTCCGTGTTCCACATTGTTTGGCAAATGAATAGTAGGGTTTTCACCTTTCTATAACTATAATTTTGATTGTGACATTTTTTTTATAATGTTATCGGTGGTTTTGTGTTTTGTAACTTATAATAAGCGTTAATAGTGATTTTTTCAGGGTTGTAGCAGGGGTCCAGGGGCAGGATGTGGTGGGGTGTCCAAACACTGATACTGCCGACTGTGACTAGCATTCACTCTTAAAACAAATTTCACCATTCCTTGATACAGTGTACATGTATAAATTTGCCAACGGTTATATTGAATCAGCATACACGCTAATACATGTCTGGTAACATTTGAGGAGAAATTAATAATTGTGTAACATCAGAAATCCCACTCACAAACCATAGATATTTTCAATGGATATATGATTTTACGCTTTCCGTCTCTGATAACATTGTCCACTGAATGTCTGACAACAGTTGTTCTGATGAGAAAGAACTAAATATAAAGGCATAGATATATCTTTACAATTATAGTTAGATTACAGATATTCGGATGTTATCATATAGCGATCTGATTTGGATTTATACCACCTACAGTCATAAAATAAGTACACAAAAGCATCCGTCGTAAAATTCTGAAATGATCAGCAAACCAAATTGAAGCATGCAACAGTTGTCATTAAGATATCAGTTATACAAAATTGTCAGCACTAATTCAAGAGGCCCTGAAACTGTAGAATAAATAGATAGTTCTATGCCTATGCCTTTTCACAAGGACAAAAAGAACTTCTGATAATATCGACATGACTAAATTAATAAAAGGATTTTAGATAAAAAATATCAATAAAAATCAACAAGAAAAAAGGACAAAGAAAAAACGGTTTTCATTTTCTGCTACATTGCATATTTTTTAAATGTGCTCAGACCCTCATCGTACACGAAAGATCCTCATCCGCGTAAATGGCAGAACCTCATCGTATGTGACGGAAAGTATGGTTAGTGAGCTTTATGCTCACGTGGCTTTACAACTGAAACAATTGTTTCATCGCTGTTCTTTTAAACAATTATTATCAAACAAAGAATCCAGCTAATGAATAAAATCTTTTGTTGTATTATCAGTAGATTTGGCTTTTGAAATGTTACAATATGTTACAAGACAAAAAGTATAAATTCAGCACCGAATATGCTACAGAATACAGGCAATACGACTTGGAGGTCTAATCAGTGAAACACGTGAGTACAGTATATTACTATTTAATTTTCACTTTTCTTCTTTAACATTAAATATATTTGTTATATTGTATACATCAACTTTAAGTTATCACTTATTTGAATGTTTTTGTGCTTTTTAAATGTGAATTGAATCATTTTATCATAGGAACATTACTTGAGTAAAACGGCATATACGAGGGTTGATCAATAAATTCGTGGACACACTCCATAAATTGTTTTTTGGGAGAAGGAAAGTTAATATAATTATATTTGACATTTATTCAATTATTTATCAATTTGATGTGTAAGTTTCAGATAAGTATGTGTTCGTTCTTTAACGACATGCGTCTTCTGTTTTGGTGCCCATATCTTAGTAATATCTAGGGCGTCACGATTTTTTGGGATTAGATTCTGTATTAATAATTGATACAATATAATTATAAAAAAAACGTATAAAATGCATTGCCTAATGCTGGTATTTATATAAATATTTATAAAACTGTTCATCTTGCACCATGCATTTGACAATTAATAAGAAATGTTCGCGGTTCTCGCATGCTGACTGGCAATTATACTTCAGTATAGATGTCGGATAAACATGTTTATAAAATGATTTTAATAATTAAAATGTATATCTACATGTATTTATTATTCTTTCAATATAACTGAGAATTTAAGTTATATTCTGGAACACGAATGCATTGGGACTGTTACTGTTCGTGTTTTGGTAAATGATGCGTCATTGAAGGAACTCTACTGAGTTTTTGACATGACGAGACTGACAAATTAATAATTATGGAAATAAGATTAGTAACATTCCATTTCATATAGGTCTTTATGCAAAATTTTACTTCGTTTTACAGAATAATTAAGAATAATGATTTTGAAAAATGACTCAAAATTGAAAATCATTGCAAAGTTTTTCACTCAGATCGGGTTAGAAATGCGCAAAAGTATGCGTTTCAATTTATATCTGAGTTTTTTTTTATTTCTGATCTTTTAAGTGCCCCAGCTGATATCTGTAAGAAATTCGATTTTTTCTTCTTTTTTTTTACACTTTTGGAACCAAGTGAAGTTCTTTAACTCACGGAAAGCCACTTCCATCAAATTATCAAATTGAAAAACCAAATTTCAACATCTATTTGAACAACAAATATAATAATCATTACGTGGACACTGGGTACTTAAACATTTTGTTCATATTGACTCTGGTCAAATTAATCTGTCACGAAACTTTTACTTCTTAACGTTGATTAATAACATATCATTATTTGTGTTATAAAGTGGCCATAAATTTCAGGTACTCTATCAGCTTTGAAGTAATTCAGTATTAATTAAATTACAGTACACATGAAGTTATTTTTAGGCATGCATGATAATAATAATGTTTCAAAGTTACTTACCATGTAATTGATTAATTTTACATAATGTGTAGGCAGTATGAATAAAGAAATTAGAATCACCAGATATACCACAAAGTCATTTTTTACCATTTGGTGTTGCCGTTGAATAATAGTATTTTCTCCACTTTCAGTAGAGCATACTCTTTGATTTCGCTCTTGCCTTCTGGAAAATTGCCAATCTGTAAAGCATGAGAGGATTAATATTTCCTATCTCGGTATGACGTTTATTTTATTTATACTTTTCATGTATTCAATGACATACTATCATAATTTCATTGTCTGTTCAAGATTCAGTGCAATTCTTATTAACCTTTCTTGATGCCAATATAATAATATTTCTTACACATCTTATTCTACAGAATTTAAGCTGTAAGACACTTTTAAAATCCCAAATGGTATGGCTATAGATCTGTTGTTTTGAAACAAGTAAATCATATATAAAACAACCATAACAAAAGTTGTAAAATATTCATTTTTTGAAAATAATACTTCATGCAGATATGTTTGTTGCTGCTGTTGGTTGGTCTGGAAACAGTAGAATCACAGGAGTCAGGTTACTATCAGCTTATTCCTTTACACTAAATGCCTGACCAACTCTTTTGAGTTTTAGAAAGTTGTTTCACATTATTTAAAGACTTGTCCGGTCGCAATAAAAAGATGCTATTTATACACTTTTAGAACAGAAAGAGATATTTTCTCACACTACATGTACACGTAAAAAGTGATTTCATAAATTACATTTTTTTACAGATGTCATTAACCTTTCCATTAATAAGCCGTCGAAACAAATTAGTACTTGGAATAACCAAAGGAGATGGCCATCTAACTTAGGCAATGATGGCGACGCTAATAGTGATATGTATAATGACCGTTGTTTCCATACGAAACAACACATGAGCCCGTGGTGGGAAGTCGATCTGTTGGATATTTATAGCATTAGCACAGTCAAAATGACCAATAGGGCGGACTGCTGTGGTAAGTAGTTTTTATATGTTTATTCTGTATATTATTGACATTCATATTTCTACATATAATTAGATAAATAGTGAGTCGGTTGAGAATACACGTACTTGCTAAATGTCATGTAAGGTAATGCATTTATCTTTACAATTTGACAATTCGGCACATGTCGCAAATTTCTAATCTCTCTATACTAATAGGTCAGATGATAAAAGTAAGGTTAATCTAGTAATCCAAGGGTCACAGGTGCCCATGCTGCACCACTGACAATGTCTATGGTCTTCAAACCATGGCCCAACATATCAGCACCACCCCTGCTATTGAGGGAAAACTGCAGTATACATTTACTGCCTCCGAAAAGAATAAAACACACGTTGTAAATATATGTATGTACAGCAGAAATGCGACAGTAAATAAATATTAAAAAGCAAAACAATTTTAAAAGTGCAGCCGTCTAAAGCTTTTGATATCATATATTATTTTATTGCTTGTGTTTCCAATGCAAAATACTCTCGTTATTTTAGCCGACAGGGCAGAGAATGTGGAGGTCTCTGTAGCAGTAGAATACGGTGAATGGACGGTTGTAGCGAACAAGGAAGGTCCATTGGGTGCTTCGGCAACTCTAACATTTGATCCTGTTGAAGCTCGTTATGTTCGACTTACGTTGAGGGACAAGGACACATGGTTTCATTTATGTGAAGTGGAAGTCTATGGATCGAGTAAACTTTTATTTATGCAAAAACATGTATATGCCAATAATGGGTTTTAACTCTTGTACATTATGTATAAATATGTACTGTTAAAATGATTTTTCTAGTTACATATTTCATTTTTGAATGTTTTAACAAAAGAATTGACATTTTGTGTAATGGCTCAAATACATACATGTATTACAATACATGCACCATTTGAATAGAAATAAAAATGTAGGTTACAAGTTGTTTTATTGTAATTATGATTTATTTTTATTCAAAGTGTAACATTTATAGCATCGCCCATTTTTACTTCAGCTTCTGATAATCTTGCTTTTGAAAAGCCGTCTAATATGATCAGCATTTGGGGCGAAATAGATTATTGGGATGCTGACAAAGGCAATGATGGCGACGCGGACAGCAATATCAATAACAACCATTGTTTTCATACTGATAATCATGTTAGTCCCTGGTGGGAAGTTGATCTTCAGGATGTTTATTACATAAGTCAAGTAAACATCACCAACAGGGCGGACTGCTGCAGTATGTAACTTTCATCTTTTTTACCATATATTTACGATAATACTATCCATAATTTTGTTTAGCATAAATCAATATGTTTTATGGAGACAATATCGAACAGAAAAGTTACTCCAAACCTCATGCATAAAACCATTTTGAAGCTTATATTTACTTGTTTTACAAAGATTAAACAATACTGTGTTTTTGAGCCTATACATTTTCCATTTTTATTATTTCCTTACATTAAAATACTTTTTTGCCTTGAAATATCACTTAGTTGATTAAACAGTTGTCTACAAAAACAAACTGATATGTTGAGAATTGTATGTCGCATTTTTCAAGATATAAGACAATCTAATATTAAACTTACAAAGTTTCAACATAATTATTGTAACACTTAGTCTACACACATTTTTTGTAATTGTAATGAGGAATATTATTTTCATTTTAGCCGACAGAGCTGAGAATGTCGAGGTTTCTGTAGCAACAGAATTTGGGAACTGGACAGTGGTAGCGTATCAGAAAGGTGCTATGGGTCTGTTTACATCTTTTACGTTTGACACTGTGGAAGCTCGTTACGTCAGAGTTACATTAAGGGACATAGAAACCTGGATGCATTTCTGTGAAGTGGAAGTCTATGGACTAAGTAAGTCATTATTTTGAATGATATAAACTCGTAAATGGTACACTACCTCTTTCTCCCTGTTTCCTGTCGTCATGTGTGACTAAATGCTGCTTGGACTGTGTTTTGTGAACATAAATTGCTTTGTTGATCCTTATATTCACATATAGTAAACATACTTATTACGTGATCCCCTTCTTTACGTTTTTAAAGCAAATGTTACCATATGTGATAACTGAAAACTGAAATATGATTTCGGAACCAGACAGGTTTTAATTTTGTTCTAGAAGTAGTGTGTATTCTCGAAATATTCACTTTGTCTCACCTAGCTTTTCAGAAAAAGTAAAGATATCAAAACTATCCTTTTTGAGTGCATTTATGTTATCTTAATTAAGGTTTACCTGTCGACGACTGTGCTGATAGTCCATGTTTGAACGCCGGCGTGTGCATTGATGGGATCAATAGCTACACATGTAATTGTGCTCCAGGGTTTAGTGGATACAACTGTGAAAAAGGTAAATTTATTTTCTTACACTGATACTATAGTTTACTCTGATAAACACATTCATGTATCCATCGAGGCCATATATTACTTTCGATAAACATTCGTTATTTACACATGATAGTTTTAATAACATTTTGTTCTACAGTATAACATCAGTACCTATATGTGACCATGTTTTCCAAAATGAACTTGTTAATCAGTCTCTGCATTTATCATTTATTAATTTTAACCAGTCATAAAGATACAAATGGCACCGTTCTATAATATGCACCACATTACCATAAACATTTCGCTTATCTTCACACCATGAATTCATGGTGCCGTCAAGAAACTGAAACTGAGCATGTACATTTTCAATTCTGTTGTTTTGGGCGAACCATAGGCTACCGTTTTTTCTAATAAACTTCAAAATTTTATCAAAATTATTTAAGATTCCATGCCAAAAGTAAATGTTTCTCATGTCAATATAATTAATATGTTATTAAGCGATATGTATTTTTTTCTAAAATTATGTCATATTAAAACGATAGCTTGTAATATCTTCTCTATATTGACTCTATACAAAAATCATCGATAAGGAACTTGAAGGTGGTTGAAATTGCAAAATGACCGAAACTTTGCAATAATGGTTAAGAAAGGCGCCACATTCCGTAACTGTTTATAGTCAAATAGATATTAATCTACTCCTTAATTATTAATATGCCTTATAAGTGCAAATATACGTAACAGCTTGAACTCATTGGAGATTATGTTTGTAAGTAAATACAATGAATTTTGACAAAGGAATACAATTATGGCCGAAGACAGAGAAAGTAAAAGAAACATTTTGCTTCATTCTCCTAGTATGAAGTATTTTTTTGGTGAAAATTGATAGAAAAATGAACAAAAATGATAATATAACTACAAATGAAGCATATCTAACGGTCAAAATTACAAGCATGACAATTCTGTTTATTTTTGTTCCAGTTCTAGAAAACCTTGCTGTTCAAAAACCTTCAAATCAAATAAGTACTTGGAACAGCCTTGCAACGAGATGGGAATCTGACAAAGGCAATGATGGCAACGCTAATAGTGATATTTATCAAAACCATTGTTTCCATACTCAGAAACATATGAGTCCATGGTGGGAGGTTGATCTGCAGGATATTAATACGATAAGTAAAGTCGTCATTACCAATAGGGCGGACTGTTGTGGTATGTCGCTGTCAACTGTTTATTCCATTAAGCTTTGGTTGTCACATAACGACATATAAAAAGATAGTCCGTGTTTTTGTTTAACTTTTTTAATTTTATGTGGGTAGCTATGAATTTATCAAGTACACATGCTATCTACAAGTTGCGTAGTATATTACTGACAGTTACAAAATACATTCATAACTTTGAAGAAGCATTGTCTTTTGAAGTTTCAAACTAATTCATCCCCGATATTGAAATCATCATTCTACCTTTGTTTCTAATGTAACTCATTTATTATCAATTTAGCCGACAGAGCTGAAAATGTGGAGATCTCTATAGCAGTAGAATACGGTGAATGGACGGTGGTAGCGAGCAAGGAAGGTCCAATGGGTGCTTCCGCAACACTAACATTTGATCCTGTGGAAGCTCGTTATGTTCGAACTACCTTGAGGGACAAAGAAACATGGTTGCATTTCTGCGAAGTGGAAATCTATGGATCGGGTAAATCATTAGTTATGTTAGAAAATGTGCTAAATAAAAGACTACTGTTACAATCCATATTTTACCTTTGATGGCTTGTATAATTTTGCATAAATATGACAAGAAGTGTTTTTAATAATAGACATGATTAGTCAGTATCTATAAGAATATTTAGTGACCCCTTTTTTCTTTCAGCTTCTGATAACCTTGCTCTTGGAAAACCATCCAATCAGATAAGCATTTGGGGCGAAATGAATCATTGGGATGCTAACAAAGGCAACGATGGCGACGCTAATAGTAATATTTATCAAAACCATTGTTTCCATACTGATCAAAATACAAGCCCCTGGTGGGAAGTCGACCTTCAAGACGTATTTGAGGTAATTCAAGTGAATATCACAAACAGGGCAGACTGTTGTGGTAAGTGAGTTTATGGAGGTACTTTCATATTAACTTTTTCTTGTATACGTTTATATAAGGTCGCCACCAAAAAGCCCATATGGGCGACGTACACACAAGTCGGACCATCCTAGAGCGTCACGATTTTTCGTCGATTTTTTTCCAGCTTTATTGATGGAGGGAGACCCAAGGTGCCCCTCTGTGCATTATTTCAGGCACGAGCAGGCACCTGGGTAAAACCACCGACCTTCCGTAAGCCAGCTGGATGGCTTCCTCACATGAAAGAGTTCGACCCAAGTGAGGATCGAATCTACAGCGGTGAGGGACCTGTGATCTCAAGTCGTCGACTTTAACCACACGGTCACGGAGAATATTGACATTAACAAATTAGTTTTGAGTCATTATTAAAAATTATGAAGCTTATAAGGACTGAGTCAAGAAAAAATTACCTGTAGACTATACACATTGACATGACACATTCTGGAATTTGAAAAAAATATCGTAAGGTTTATCAAAGGGGCTTAGGGATGTCATTCAGTTCGTTTCTTTTAACTTTATTTTTGCTTCTTAAAATCGGGATAATTGTATGTTACATAATATTCGAGATTTACAGTAATGCTGTAGTACACCTACTCAATTTAAAAACAACTTACTGTTCTTATTATAACGTTATTGTAAGTGTTGATGAGCTTATTTATTTTCGTTTATCTTAGTTGATAGAGCTGAGAATGTCGAGGTTTCTGTAGCAACAGAGTATGGGGAATGGACAGTGGTAGCGTATCAGGAAGGTGCTATGGGTCTGTTTACATCACTTGCATTTGACACTGTGGAAGCTCGTTACGTCAGAGTTACATTAAGGGACATAGAAACCTGGATGCATTTCTGTGAAGTGGAAGTCTATGGATACAGTAAGTCAGATCTTTAATAAAATTTACTCTATCTCTAATTTTTCTTCTAATCAAAATATAGTTATACATTCATATGGTATTATAATCAACAATAGACAAAGGTTCAGGTAAATGGAAAATAATCATTTTCATTCTTCATTTTGTGTTTTTTACAAAACTGTATCATTGTTATTTCGTTGCTGTTATGATTGTTGCAATAAACATAATGCGTGTTAACATTGAGAGTATACTATTTTCGTTATTTTTATATACAGATTAAGACGGGGAGATGATCAAGAAAGCAGAGCTAATAGGATAGAAACAACTGTTTAAAATCTACATATTTTTTGCAAGAACAAATATCGAATGCCGCATTTAAGTTGAAAAAGTTAGAAATAAAAATTATTTAAAAAAAAGCTTGTTGTTCTTCTGTAGTGTAACTAATAAAGCCGTCAAAATGAAATTACAGAACAGAACGGAACAGATTTTGTTATACAATTTGACTTGAAGAAAACAGTTCCTCGCCATTACATATGTATACTGCATACATTAAATACAGCGAGATTGAAAATACAATCATACTATTAATCGTATTTACCTCTTTAATACTAAATGATTTATTATAAAATATATCTTTTTCAAAGCATTCATATAACATGTATAAATTTAAACGTACAATGATGCATTTAATAACAAATACACCAGTACACGTGCAAATTACACGAGCACTGGTAGTACGTTTCATAACGATTCACACATTTAACAAAATGCAAGTAGGTGATTATTAACCAAAGCTGGTTCACAGAAAGAAAACATATCACGGTAGTTACGATATATCAACTAATTTAAATATAACATCCTTCTATGACAGTACTAAATTCATAAATATTGTTATAAATATGAATCCAGGCATAGATATACATTTTTAATAGCTTAGTAGAGTTCTCAGAAAAAACAATGCTGATGAGGATAAATTATAAGACATGTATATACATGATGCGACCTGTGATTGTAACCGATAAATGAATTGTGTAAAATGGCAGCAATAATGAACACTATCGTTCGCTTTTTTCATTCATTCTTTTACTAAATCAACGGGAAAACGATTGTCAAGCAGTGCCAAGCAGATGTAGTTATCTTTGACTTCAAACAGGCTATAACTGACCGCACCTTGTAATATACCAAACGATGCTTTTCTGATGCAATAAACTAATGGACTCTTCCGATTTGAAGGCAGAGCACTATGTATTTGAGGAATATGAAAAAATAACGAAAAATGACATTAAGACATTAAATATAGTTTAAATACAATATCTGATGAGTAATAACACATTTGCCTTTTTTCTAAACTTTGATTCTTTTGTTCAATGATCACAATTATATTGTTTTCTGTCGTCTGCTGCTAGTAACCTCTAAACTAAATGTAAACCTTCCTTATATCAAAATGGCGCTGTGCATAGAACAAAATGACCAGCTATGTCAAGTATCCAATTAGGTACCAATGAAGGCAAGCAAGTTTCAACTTTTGCATTAAGAGAAATTCCTCAAACTTTCCATTATGTGAGAGACTAGACATACCTAGGCACACAACGCCTCGATCTGTCCATTCTCCAACATAATGGACAGTTTTCGGAGCTTCTCTTTTACAATTGTTTTTGCATAAAAAAATTAAGTACTGCATTATCGGTATCTTTAGCATAAACTGACTTTGTTTATATCTAAACCAGGGTCTTATATTTGATCTACTATTTTTTTATTTCATAAAAGAGTAATTCCTAATGCCATACAATGCATAGGCACAAATAAACTGTATATTGAATGAGCAGTGCCGCAGTGGTTAATACAGAATCCTTCCTTACCACGTTAGTAACCACCTTCAATTTAAATTTCAAAATTCCTTGAAAATCGAATTGTCAACAATGTATATAAACATTAAATTTCAATTAAATCATCATTTATGTACCTACATATGATTGCATGTATGGTAACTTCTGTTGTATACAAGAGAAATTAACAATTGTGCAAAATCACAAACATAGCATAATAAAATATTACGTTTTCTGTCTAATAACATTGTCCTGTGCATTATTAACAACAGTTGTTCTGATTAAAACTCTATACATACAACTAGAACAAAACTCTTTACTGTCATTTCCAGATTACAAGCTGATTCGGATGTTATCATAAAGCATTCTGAATTGGAATTATACATTTAACCACAATCATATCAAACGTACAAAGAAGCGTACAAAGAACAATTCGTTGTAGAATTCTAAAATGATCAGCTAACAGATGTAACAGTTGATTACAAAATTGCCACCTATATTTGAAGAGGCCCTGGAACTGTAGAATAAACAGATATAGGTCTATCCATGTTTCAGTACTTTTAAAATAAATTTGGTTCAGATTGCTGATAATATCAAATTAAGAAATGATTGCATATAAAATTAACCATATAAAAACAAAGACGAAGGGTGATATTCAATGAACGAACCCCCATCCTAGCTTAAATTTTCTGCTTTTTTTAATCTACGCAGAATAAAAAGATCATACGGGAAGATATAATAAGTAAAAATTATTTTTTTAGTATATATTTTTTCAACTCGCCGAGAGACTATATTATCTCCCTGCTTTAAAACAAAATATGAAGGAGTGCGTAGAAATTTAACAAGCAAACAAAATAAAGTCAATTCATAATTTGGACTGATGTATAATATGTGTACATGTACATGTATGTTTTGATAATAATAAAATGAAATGTTGCATCTTTCCATAAAACATATATCAATTGCATGCTACTGGAATTGGAAAATTTATAAATCACATCTTCAGAACCTCATCGTGGGTGACAGAAAGTATTATTATTTGAAATGCTCTTCTGTTTTATTAACCTTCTTTAAGTTATCACTTACATGAATATTTTTGCCAATAGCTTTTTGCTCTCGTGGCTTTACAAATAAAACAATGGCTTGCTTGAAAATCTTATATCTTCATCGCCAATCTCGTTCTTTTAAACAATTGTAATCAAACAAAGAATCCAGCTAATGAATCAATTTTTTGTATTATTATCAGTAGGTTTGGCTTTTGAAATGTTTCAATATGTTACAAGACACACAGTATCAATTCAGCACCATATGCAACAAAAGAAGATTTGTGATGATCTCTTCTCTCTTCATAAGGGTTATTTCCCTTGATTGATTTGCTTTGATTAATTGGTTTTCTTCAAAACAAAACAGCAATTTTGTATTAGTTAAATAATAATAATCTGTAAAAAATGTAATCAAAACTATGAAGGGAAAACAAAACAATAATCACTGATAATAAAATTATATATACTTTTAATTTGTTAAATAAATATTCATTATAGTCCCAAACTTATAACCGTTAGTGATGTTTAAATATTTCTGGACATGCGTACAAAACATGACAGTAAAGTATAGAAATCATGTTTTTAACTTTATGTATTCCCCAACCCCCTTAAAAAAGAAAGTTATGTCAAGTGTCCAATTACGTTACAATGGAGGCAAGCAAGTTTTATAAACATTCAATTTCTATAGAATAATCATGTATGTTAATTTTAGTACATGTCTTGTAACATGTGTTGTGTAGAGGAGAAATTAGTTGTGCAAAATCAGAAATCCACAATAAGAAGAGTACATGTTGTATACAGGAGAAATTAATAATTGTGCAAAATCAGAAATCCGCAATCTCAAACCATAGCCCTATACAATATTACGTTTTCTGTCTGATAACATTGTCCTGTGCATTATTAACAACAGTTGTTCTGACATACAACTAAAACAAAACACTTTACTGTCATTTTCCGATTTCTAGCTGATTCGGATGTTATCATAAAACATTCTGAATTAGAATTATACATTTAACCACAATCATATCAAACGTACAAAGAAGCGTACAAAGAAGCATGCGTTGTAGAATTCTAAAATGATCAGCTTACAGATGTAACAGTTGATTAGTGATTACAAATTGCCACCTATATTTGAAGAGGCCCTGGAACTGTAGAATAAACAGATTTATGTCTGTCATGTTTCAGGACTTTTAACAGAAATTTTGTTCAGATTGCTGATAATATCAAATCAAAAAATGATTGTATATAAAATTAACTCTGTAAAAAGAAAGACCCAGGATAGCTTTAATTTTCTGCTACATTGAAAACAAATATGTTTTAAATCTACGCAGAATAAAAAGATCATTTAGGAAGATAAAATTTAAAAAAATATTTTAAGTTTATATTTTGTCAGCTCCTTGAGAGACTTTATTACCTCCCGCTTTAAACCAAAATATGAAGGAGTGCGTTGAAATTTAACAAGCAAACAAAACAAAGTCAATTCATGATGTAGATTTATACAAAATATGTGTACATGTGCATGGATTTATAATAATAAAATGTAATATTGCATCATTTCACAATTCATACATCAATTGCATGCTACTGGAATTGGAAAATTTATAAATCACATCTTCAGAACCTCATCGTAGGTGACAGAATGAATGATGATTTGAAAAGTTCGTCTGTTTTACTTATTCACTTTAAATCATCACTTACTTGAATATTTTTGCCAATAGATTTTTGCTTTCGTGGCTTTACAAATGAAACAAATTCTTGTAAAAGCCACTCTCGTGCTTTAAAAACTATTGTTATCAAACAAAGAATCCATCTAAGGAACCAAAAATTTTGTTGTATTATCAGTAGATTTGGCTTTTGAAATGTTACAATATGTTACAAGACAAACATTATGAATTCAGCACCATATGCAACATTTGAAGATTTGTGATGATTTGTTGTCTTTTCATAGGGATATTTCCTTTGATTGAATTGCTTTGATTCTATTGAATTTCTTGGAAGAAACAAAGAAAAACAGCAATTTTGTATTAGTTAAATAATGTTTATCTGTAAAAATGTAATCAAAATTACGAAGGGGAAATACAAAACAATAATCAGTGATAAATTCAAATATGCATACTTTTTTTACTTTATTACATCAATATTAATTATAGTCCCAAACTTATGCCCGTTAGTGATGTTTAAACATTTCTAGACATACGCACACAATATGACAGTAAAATATGTAAAGCCATGTATTTCCCCACCGACTTGAATAAGAAAGGTATAACAACCCACTCCCAATACAGATTTCAAAAAATTCCTTGAAAAATCGAATTGCCAACAATGTTTATAAATATTTAATTTCGATTGAATCATCATATATGTATCTACATATGAGTACATGTCTGAAAACATCTGTTGTATACAGGAGAAATTAACTATTGTGCAAAATCAGAAATCCGCAATCTCAAAGCATAGCCCTATATAATATTACGTTTTCTGTCTGATAACATTGTCCTGTGCATTATTAACAACAGTTGTTCTGATGAGAACTCTATACATTCAACTAGAAAAAACTCTTTACTGTCATTTCCAGATTACAAGCTGAATTAGAATTATACATTTAACCACAATCATATCAAACGTACAAAGAAACGTACATAGAAGCATGCGTTGTAGAATTCTGAAATGATCAGCTAACAGATGTAACAGTTGATTACAAAATTGCCGCCAATATTTGAAGAGGCACTGGAACTGTAGAATAAACAGATATAGGTCTATCCATATGTCAGGACTATAAAAAGAAATTTTGTTCAAATTGCTGATAAAATCAAATTAAGAAATGATAGTAAATGAAATAAACCATCTAAAACAAAGAAGAAAGTGGATTTTTAATGAACGAATCCCCCATCCTAGCTTTAATTTTCTGCTACATTGCATACAAATATGTTTTAAATCTACATAGAATAAAAGATCATACGGGAAGATAGAATAAGAAAAAATTAAATTTTACTGAATATTTTTTCAGCTCTCTGAGAGACTGTATTATCTCTTCGTTTTAAACCAGAATATGAAGGAGAGCGTAGAAATTAAACAAGCAAACAACATAAAGTCAATTCATGATTTTGACTTATGTATAATATGTGTACATGTATTTTTTTGATAATAATAAAATGAAATATTACATCATTTCATAATCCGTATATCAATTGCATGCTACTGGAACTGGAAAATTCATAAATCACATCTTCAGAACCTCATCGTAGGTGACAGAAAGTATGATTATTTGAAAAGTTCTTCTATGATATTAACCTACTTTAAGTTATCACTGACTTAAATATTTTGTCAATAGCTTTTTGCTCTCGTGGCTTTACAAATAAAACAATTGCTTTAAAATTTTATATCTTCAGCGCCACTCTCGTTCTTTGAAACAATTGTTATTAAACAAAGAATCCAGCTATTGAATCAAACCTTTTGTATTATTATCAGTAGGTTTGGCTTTTGAAATGTTACAATATGTTACAAGACAAACATGTGCAACAATCGAGGATTTGTTGTCTTTTTATACATTGTCATAAGGGTTATTTCCCTTGAATAACTTTGATTCTATGTATTTCCTTGGTAGAAAGAAATCAAAACAGTAATTATGTATTAGTTTAATAATGTAAATCTGTAAAAATGTAATCAAAATTACGAAGGAGCAAAACAAAACAATAATCACTGATAATACAAATATACATACTTTTAATTTATTATATCAATATTTATTATAGTCCCAAACTTTTAACCGATAGTGATGTTTAAACATTTCTGGACATACGAACAAAATAAGACAGTAAAGCATGCAAATCATGTTTTTTTTAACTTCATGTTTTCCCCTGCCCCATTCAAAAAGAAAGATATGTCAAGTGTCCAATCAGGTTACAATGGAGGCAAGCAAGCTTCAACTTTTGCATGGAATGCATGGATTGGTACAACTCTCTGTTATTAAGACAATAGAGAACATGTTATAAGCAAGAGAAATTCCTCAAACTTTCCATTATGTGACAAACTTAACATATTTATACACATAACACCTCGATCTGTCCATTCTCCAACATAATGGGCAGTTTTCGAAGGTTCTCTTTAACAAAAGTTTTAGCTAAATACTACCGTACTAGTACTTAAATGGTTGTCTTGTGATTGATAGAACTTGGTTTTGGTGTTGGTGATATCTAAACCACTGTCTTTAAACACATTACTCTAATATTTTTTTTATTTCATAAAAAGTAATTCTTAAGGGCATTCGCCTGTCGCCGTTACAATTGTTTCTCTCTGGGCAGCGTGATTGTGGTCTTGGGAGCTTACATCTGTTAATATTACCCCACACTTATTCAGTAAAATATGATAAACAAAATCAACAAGGAAAGGCGGCGTTCAATTAACGCAACCCCCACACGACCCAGCAAAAGAACCAGTGGCAAGGAGCCCAGAAGGACTCCAAACAAAAACAAGTAGGTAAGTCTGAAAAACTTATAAATTAATATTTGACATGTAACTTTGAAACTTGGTTGTGCTGACATTCTTCATTTAGTTTACAATGATTAAGATATATATTCTATGGTTTTATAGCCACCCGGGTAGTCTTTATGTAAATAAATTTCTTTATAGTGACATGTTTTTAGCAATTTATAAATATTAATGGTAATTCAAAATTACACCAGGCGAAATGTCCGTATATTGTAAGAAAAAGTAAACTATATTTGAATAGGCAGTGCCGCAGTGGTCAATACAGAAACCCGTTAATACCACATAAGCACCCACACTCAAAACAAATTTCATTATTTCTTGATAAATTGAATTATAAACATTCAATTCCGATTGAATAATCATGAATGTTAATCTTAGTACATGTCTTGTAACATGTGTTGTGTAGAGGAGAAACTAATTGTGCAAAATCACAAATCCACAATAACAAACCATAGGCCTATATAAATTGTATATTGAATGGGCGGTGCCTCAGTGGTTAATACAGAAATAGAGAAAAACAGAATCCCTAAAGAAAGCCCAATACGGCTTCCTTACCACATTAGCAACCACTTTCAATATATGTCATCAAAGTATATATAAATATTCAATTTCGAATGAATCATTATGCATGTATCTACATATGAGTGCATGTCTGGTAACTTCTGTTGTATATAGGAGAAATTAACAATTGTGCAAAATCAGAAATCCACAATCACAAACTATAGCCCTATATAATAATACGTATTCTGTCTGATAACATTGTCCTGTGCATTATTAACAACAGTTGTACTGATGGGAACTCTATAAATACAACTAAAACAAAAGTCCTTACTGCGTACAAAGAACAATGCGTTGTAGAACTCTAAAACGATCAGCTAACAGATGTAACAGTTGATTACAAAATTGTGTCACCTATATTTGAAGAGGCCCTGGAACTGTAGAATAAACAGATTTAGGTATGTCATGTTTCAGGACTTTTAACAGACATTTTGTTCAGATTGCTGACAATATCAAATCAAAAAATCATTGTATATAAAATTAACTATGTAAAAACAAAGAAAGAAGAGGATATTCAATGAACAAATCCCCCATCTTTAATTTTCTGCTACATTGCAAACAAATATGTTTTAAATCTACGCAGAATAAAAAGATCATACGGGAAGATAGAATAAGAAAACATAATATTTTTAGTACATGTATATAATTTCTCAGCGTTATTATATTTTCTACTCGCTTTAGAACAGAATATGAAGGAGAGCGTAGAAATTTAACATGCAAACAAAATAAAGTCAATTAATGATTTAGACTTATACATAATATGTGTACATGTGCATGTATCTTTGGATAATAATAAAATGTAACATTGCATCATTTTATAATCCATATTGCATGCTACTGGAACTGGAAAATTCATAAATCACATCTTCAGAACCTCATCGTAGGTGACAGAAAGTATAATGATTTGAAAAGTTCTTCTGTTTTACTAACCTACTTTAAGTTATCACTGACTTGAATATTTTTTCCAATAGCTTTTGGCTCCCGTGGCATTACAAATAAATGAAACAACTGCTTGAAATAGCCAATGTCGTTCTTTGAAACTATTGTTATCAAACAAAGAATCCTGCCAATGAATCAAATCTTTTGTTGTATTATCAGTAGAATTGGCTTTTGAAATGTTACAATATGTTACAAGACAAACAGTATAAATTCAGCACAGAATATGCTACAGAATACAGGCAAATACGACTAGTGAAACACGTGAGTACAGAATATTATTATTTAATTTTTACTCTTCTTTATTAACATTAATATATTTGTTATATTTTATTAACCTATTTTAAGTTATCACTTACTTGTTCTAAATGTGTATTGAATCATTATTTTCCATTATTTTCATCAAAGAAACATTACTTGAGTAAAACGGCATATGTGTTCGTTCTCTAACGACATGAGTCTTCTGTGTGGTGCCAATATTTTAGTAATAGGGCGTCACGTTTTTTAGTGAAAATTCTGTATTATTAGATTGATACAATATAATTATATAAAAAACATATGTAATATGCATTGCCTGATGCTAGTATCTTTATAATAGAACTGTTCAACTGAAATTACATTTCTTGTAACATGCATTTGACAATTATTAAAATATGTTCATGATTCTCGTATATTGACTGACAAGAATACTTTAGTACAAACGTCGGATCAACACGTTTATATAAACGTTTATAATTATAAAATAATTATCAATGTCCGCATTAATCATTTTGACATAGAAAAATATTTGTAGAAACGATAGGGTTTTCAATTGCCCTAGTATAATTTTGTGGAAAATAAACATTCATTTGACTTTGTTTATCTCATGCAATATGAAGACATCTGTATTCGAATACGATTACAAATACATGTATAAATTAGCATTAAATACATATAGATCGCGTTCAGCATTATAAACTGACAAATATTTTCTAGTACAGTTGCACAGAAAACATATAACAACATTCATGGCCGGTCAACGCATGAAGGAACTACTTCAGGCATCCATGATTAGTGATATTTTAAAAGTTAAAAAAAAAGTTAAATTAGAAAATATGTTGACAATATCAAGAAAGAAATTTGAAGAACTAGATATAAATTTGTCACAAAAGCATATTTTACCATTTGGTGTTTCTGTTGAACAAAACTTTTTTTGGACTTTCAGAGGACAAACACTCTTTGATTTCGCTCTTGCCTTCTGGGAAATTGTCAATCTATAAAGCATGAGAGGATTAATATTTCCTATCACGGTATGACTTTTTTCAATGCAATTCTTGATGCCAATACTAAGTTTAATAAAATTTAAATAATGTTGAGTGTTGAATCCTGAAACAATCATTCTTATATATCTTATTCTGTAGAATTAAAACTGTACTTCACTTTTAAAATGCCAATAGTATTTCATACAAGTAAAATATCTAAATAACAACAATAACAAAGTTGTAAAATATTCATTCTTTGATGATAATTATACTATAAATGACTGATACTTCAGATAAGTTTGTTGCTGCTGTTTGTTGGTCTGGAAACAGTAGAATTACAGGAGTCAGGTAACTATCATCTTTTACACTGAATTCCTGACCAACTCTTTTGAGTTTTAGACATTTCTTTCACATTATTTAAAGACTTGTCAGGTCGCAATAAAAAGTGGTTATTGATACAAATACAGTTTTAGAACAGAAAGAGATATTTTCTCACAAAACATGTACATGTAAAACGTGATTTCATAAATTATATTTTTGCTTCAGGTGTCGTTAACCTTTCCGTTAATAAGCCGTCAAAACAAGTTAGTACTTGGAATGACAAACGAAGATGGCCATCTAACTTAGGCAATGATGGCGACGCTAACAGTCATATAAATAATGACCATTGTTTCCATACGAAAAAACACATGAGCCCGTGGTGGGAAGTCGATCTGTTGGATGTTTATAGCATTAACACAGTTAAAATGACCAATAGAGCGGACTGCTGTGGTAAGTAGTTTTCTTCTGTTTATTCTGTATATTATTGACATTCATATGTAAAATTAAATAAATAATGAGTCACTTGAGAATACACGTACCTAGCTAAATATTATGTTAGGTAATGTATTTATCTTTACAATTTAACAATTCGGCACTGTCGCAAATACCTAATTTCTATATACTTGTAGGTCAGATGATAAAATCAAGCTCAATCTAGTCATCCATGGTGTCACAGGTGCCCCCGCTGCACCACTGACAATGTCTATGGTCTTCAAACCATGGTCCAACATATCAGCATCGTCCCTACCATTACGGGAAAACTGCTGTATACATTTACTTCCTCCGAAAATAATACGCCATTGTATTATACGGATTGACAAAAGAAATGGGACAGTACACAAATCTTAAAAAGCAAAACTATTGTAAAAGTGCAGCCGTGTAAAGCTATTGATTTCACTTATTATTTCATTGCTGGTGTTTTTAATGCAAAAAACTCTCGTTATTTTAGCCGAAAGGGCGGAGAATGTGGAAGTCTCTGTAGCAGTAGACTACGGTGAATGGACGGTTGTAGCGAGCAAGGCAGGTCCATTGGGTGCATCCGCAACCCTTACATTTGATCCCGTGGAAGCCCGTTATGTTCGACTTACGTTGAGGGACAAAGAAACATGGTTTCATTTATGTGAAGTGGAAGTCTATGGATCGAGTAATTTTTTATTTATACAAACAAATGTATATGCCAAGAATAGGTCTTAACTTTTGAACATTATGAATAATATATATGTGTACTGTTAAAATGATATTTCTACTTTCATATATTATTTTTGAATGTTTTAACAAAAGAATTGACATGTTGTGTAATGGCTCCAATACCTTTACAGTATATGCACCCTTTGAATAGAAATAAAAGTGTAGGTTACAAGTAGTTTTATTATAATTTATGACTTATTTTCATTCAAAGTGTAACATTAATAGCGTCGCACCTTTTTGCTTCAGCTTCTGATAATCTTGCTCTTGAAAAGCCGTCTAATATGATCAGCATTTGGGGCGAAATGGATAATTGGGATGCTGACAAAGGCAATGATGGCGACGCGGACAGTAATATTTATAACAACCATTGTTTCATGACTGATAATCAAGTTAGTCCCTGGTGGGAAGTTGATTTTCAGGATGTTTATTACATAAGTCAAGTAAAGATCACCAACAGGGCGGACTCCTATAGTATGTAACTAATTTTTTCACCATATATTTTATTTAACATTTGTTTAACATAATCAATATGTTTTATTGAGACAACTTCGAATGAAAACAGAATAGCTATTCCAAACCTCATCTCATATATAAAACAATTTTGAAGCTTATATTTTCTTGTTTTACAGAGATTAA